TATTTAACGAAAGTATAAATAAACTCTTAATTGTTAGTGAATATATTTTTTTGATGGCATACGCATTTTAAGAAACTAGTTTCAACGATCCAACCGTCAAACTTGTTTGTTTATACTTCGAGATCATATACGCCAAAAATCGGAAAAAAAATAAACATTCAGAGATCAAGTAACGGGACAAAAAATTTCGATGGTTATAAATGAAAAATCATGATTTAACGGTTATTTTAACTTCGATTTTGATGATTTTTTACCGCTACACTCCTTGACCCTATATGAATACAATGACTGAATTTGATCTTCAATTTAAAATATTTACACTAGTGGATACCACAAAATCTTATGTTATATTTAATGAAAGTATAAATAAACTCTTAATTGTTAGTGAATATATTGTTTTGATGGCATACGCATTCTAAGAAACTAGTTTCAACGATCCAACCGTCAAACTTGTTTGTTTATACTTCGAGATCATATACACCAAAAATCGGAAAAAAATAAACATTCAGAGGTCAAGTAACGGGACAAAAAATTTTGACAGTTATAAATGAAAAATCATGATTTAACGGTTATTTTAACAAACTATCATCTTTACATATAATAGACGACCTTTTTTTTATTATAAAAAGCGTCATTTTTACATATAATAGATGACCATTTTTATAAAAAGCGTCATCTTTATATATAATAGACGACCATTTTTTAAAAAAAAACAGTCATCTTTACTTCATAATAGACGACGGTTTTTTTTTATAAAAAGCGTCATTTTTACATATAATAGACGACGGTTTTATAAAAAGCGTCATCTATTATATATAATAAACGACGGTTTTTATAAAAAACGTCATCTTTACATATAATAGACGACGGTTTTATAAAAGCGTCATCTTTACATATAATATACGACGGTTTATATAAAAAGCGTCATCTTTACAAATATTAGACGACGGTTTATATAAAAAGCGTCATCTTTACATATAATAGACGACGGTTCTTTCAAAACAACCATGTCTTTACCAAAAACAAGACCCTTGATTTTTAAAAGACGACGCTTGTCATACCTACTGTCGTTGTTTTTTGGTCAGATTTTAACTCTGAAGAAAACCTTTTTAATAAGACGACGCTTTTTTATTTGTGTGCGTCGTTATAAAAAAATATTCAACAGTACCTCCGTTTTTTTTGTTGTTAAAGTCACTTATCCACGACGGTTTTTTGTTACCGTCGTCTGTTTAAATACAACGACGGTTTTTTCTTCTACCGTCGTCTTTTTTTATCGTCTTTTTCACTTTTTGTAGTAGTGATTGTGTATGGGGGCAAAATAATTAGGATAATTGTGTGTTTGTTTTTTTAATAAAAAGAATTATGTGTATCCAACTCACCACAAATATATACCGTCCGTCAATTTTGGTTAGTCAAAATTTTTTCTTCTTCTAACTAAGTAAAGATAATTACCACTAAACTAAAAATTAATTAGCTAGAATAATTTGGTTTTTATAAATCTATTTCCGAATGAAAAGGAAGTTAGGCCTATTACCATTAAGAAAGAAGGATTGGATCGAATCTTTACAAAGAAAGAAAATTAGTGCTGTCGCCACTTAATAATCTCTTTCCCACATTAGAGAATAAAATTGAGTACGAGAATCTATCACTTTTAAAAAGACCCAGATTCCATGTAATTTCGGTTGAAAAGAACGTCTGTCTTTCTCCCTAACTAATGTGTGTGTGTGATTTAATCGATTTATAAAGTAACATTTTTCTTCATTCAAGAAAAAAATACGAGTAACATTTTTCATCCCTTTTGTTCAATAGGGAGATACGCATATGCTTGCTAAGACCATAATTTCTCCCTAAACTTTTCTTAATTGCTATATTCTATTTACACTCTTCCATTAATTTATAAGAATGACTAGAATCTCGTTTCCTTTCGTCTAAGTCCGAATTCCCCTTCTCGAAAATTAAATTAATTTAGAGTAATTTAGACTATTGCTTGTATTTTAAAAAAAATGAAATTTATTTACAAATTTAACTAATTTGTAAATTATTTGCATGTATTAGACTTTTGTGGACACTTCGACATGTGGCTCAAGGATATGAACGTCTAGTTTTTACATCTCTATTTAAGAATCACCCTTAAGGAAATCAACACGTTTAAAATCATTTGACTATTTGATTATCCTCACGAATATTTCGTTGTTTTATTGAAAACATTGTATTCATTTTGTTGTGCTATGTTTTAAGAGATCGTACGTAATATATAATATAATGTAAATGCTCATCACCAAACGAAAAGTTCTATAGAAAAGAGTGTATAACAACGAAAAGTTTTGTGAGAGTTGTTTCATTTTTTCAGATATATATACAGTCTCGTTCAATTGAGGGACTCCATTTAGGGTCTCCTACTAATTTTTTTTCAAAGATCCAAACTATCTATTTTTTAAGTCTACATTCATATATCATCCTTGATAATATTACAATAACACATGTTTATTTCCCTTAATATTTAATTTTCAAAGCAATTATAATGAGTAATTAAATAATCTTATGCATTTATATTTTTACTTGGTCAAATTGGTTTAAAGTCATTTTATTAACTTTGATCAATGACTTCCTATGTAGGCTTGTGTGTTGTGAAAACCAACTCAATTTGCATGCCAAGAAGTGTGCCACCCAAAGATTATATGCTAGTGCCAATTAAAGAACTTCAACATATCCATGAAGCAATGATGATGAAGGAACAAGTGCAACTAGCACAAGAAGAAAAGAATTGAAAAGAATACATGAAGTGCCACACCCATGCCAAAATAAGAAAGGAAAAGAAGTATGGGATGAAAGCCACAAGGAAAGGAAGAAAAAGAGAAAACAATTCAACAATGGATTGATTCCAACCACACTAACATAGGCAAGATGAAGTGAGAGTTAGGTATTGCATTAAAATAGGAACGATGGTGTTGGAATCCATCATGATGTTTCTCCTTCTTAGCCCTATAAATAGAGAAGTCTTCAAGCTTCAAAATAGTCACCAAGCTCACAATCTTCTCTTGAGCTCTCCCTCCTTCCTCCAATTATTCTAGTTTTAATTTGTTTTAGTTTTATTTTATGGGATACTAACTCCCTAGCTAAGGCTAGGGAGAAAGCTTTTAATATGAGTATGTAATTTTTATTAGTTTGATCCAAACTTAAACTTTAATGTGAATTTGTAGTTTTGTTCAAATGGAATTTGTAGTGTTTCTTTTTAATTAATTGATTAATGCTTGATTTCTATTTCATGAGTTCAATCATGTTTTTCCCATTGTGTAGTAAAAACTTTCATGCTTTTAAAAGAGAAGAGAATTATCAAATAGAATTTCGATGAAGACTATTTTTTGATAGTTTGTTGCCAATGGTACAAGTTATGCTTAGAATACTTCTAAGGGAAATTAAAAAGAGCTTTAATTATTTTGAACAACTACAATGGAAAATATTTTATGAATCAAATTAATAAGAGTTGCATGCTTATGTTAAAAGTGGAACCCCAATGCCTTAGTGTTTAATCAATTAAATTTTCTTTAAATCAAATCTTGATTAAATCTACTTCTTAATCACAATTGTTCTTTTTCATCTATGTTATTTTCTTTACACTGCTCTATGTGGATACGACACTCGGACTTCCGAGCTACACTGCTATACGACACATTCGCTTGGGTTTTGCAAAATGGTACTAACAATCCTTACGAAAAATTAGACAAATCGGAAACCGTTCGACCTCCATTTGTGTCCTATAAAATCAATGAAAACGGTGCTTTAAGAAAGTACCAAAATTCCAATATTTCAATTTTGTGGTCAAATGATATCGGATTCAAGTGATTTTTTGTAGTGATAATGTTTGAATGAATATTACAAACTAGACGTTTGGATTAGTGAAATACAATACAGAGTGGGCCCTATAAGGGTGTCCCTCAAATAAACTTATTTGAGGGATCTCTCAACTAAAGCTCCCTATATATATATATATATGAAATTTTAAATTTAAATCTCTATGCGGCTTGAGCCAGATATTGATATGGATGCATCTTAAGCTGCTCTACTCATATTACCATGGTGTTGACTGGATTGTAATAATCTCTGTAACATGAAACTTTATTAGTGTGAGTTGTGTATGTATACATATGTAACATATACGTAATAGATGTCAGTACACAAAATTTGTTACTTTATTTTTGTTAATCATAATATATTATCTTCCTCAGGACCGAGGGGCACCAAAAGGTCACCACCTTCGTTTCCTCTACCCTGCGCACATACATAGATACTGCGGATTACAAGTAATTAAAGACGCTTATGTTATACTCCAATTTAGATATGAGCACTAGATACTAAATTATATCATAATTTGATAGGAGTTTAAATTAGGTTATATCTTAAGACCCAAAACTTTGTGAAATAAGGAAAGTTTTGAAGACAATTAAAGGGGTCCTATTTATTTCTTTTTGCATGAACCGTTGCTTGATGGGCTTAGAGTGTTAGTCAAGTCGGCCCTCGGTGATGAGTAGAAACGACTTGACCTAGCCCTATATAAGCTTAAGACCCTGCTCTCGTCAGATACGTTCTCTAACCCTAATCTCATCATAAAGAGAGAGCTAAAACAGTTTGTGAGAGAGATCATAAGTCTTGAGCCGTTTGTGTTTTGCTAGTGTTGCTGCTGATTGAATTAGTTCTGAGATCGTGTACTCAAGGAAGATGACGCCATGTATATCTTCTATGTATTACAGGTTGTGTGAAATATCATGAACACTTATGTATAAATCTCACAGCTTACACACGGATGGAGTCATATACATGTCTGAATTGGTTCTAACACCCCAAGATACCAAGATCTAGCTCCACCAATACGTTTACATATCCACACACAAGTATATAAAGAGCTTCAGTTCAAGGTAGAACTAGTTACCTTAAATAAATATATGTAGTATCTCTATAGCAAGCACGTAAAAGAACTAGCCAGTTACCCACTAATACTATAATTAACGAACTGTATACTCAAATTGTAGGGCATACTTGACGAGCTCACGGAACTCCTTGTCTGTAGAAATGAAGCCATTGCCGTCCTCATCTGCATTCCACATAGCAAACCATGCTCTAAAAACAGGCCATTTAACGCCAAGTTCAGCGAAGGCTGTGGTCAGATTATCTATGGAAAGGCCATCATCGCTATTCTTGCGATGACGTTCGAAGACTCTCTTTATCTGCTCCTCTGTGTAGGTCGAGGCCGAATAAGATTGTACTTTCCGAACCATCTTCTTCTAATTTATTAACTACAAAACTACCAAGGATCAGGAATTAACTAGGGCTTGAATGACTTGCACTATGAATTCAATCCTATTTATAGGGCATGAATGACTTGCACTATGAATGCAATACTAATACATATGGACCAGATTTTTGCGTGCAAATAAAGCATGGAATTTTGCAAGTGATAATAAAAATGCTTCATCTGCCAGTGTTGTTATGGACAGTGATCGAAAGGAATAATTCAACTTTTCCGTTTGTGTTTTTATTCTTTCTATAATTCAACTTTTCCGCCGGCCAACGTGGTGAAGCATTTTATAACAATAACAATAAAAATCCCTAAATTCATGTTGGAAATAGAACCTCAGACTCAAAGGCATATATACAAACACGAAGGGCACATGGTTTGTCCTTATTATAAGAATCAAACCGAAGACTATTGGGAACAATTATATGGTCATTTATCCTTTTTTTTTTAAATTGAGATTAATTATGTGAGACCCTATGACTATTGGGACAAGCATCCCATTGTAGATAGATGCCATACGGATAAAACAGCATGGATATCAAACTCGACAGCGATAGCCTTCATCCAAATAGGTGGGGGGGAGGGGTGTGATTTTCTTGTAAATTATGGAAAGGTTTTGGGTGTACAATGTCTTGATATTAATATGGGTGGATACACTTTAATTTGAACTCGAATTCCAACCTACTTATCTGTACATTGGAGTAATTTAGAATATCGTTTTTGTCAAATATATATATATATATATGGACAACATAATTATTGATATTTCATGAATCTAGAGTATAATATTAATAAATAAACATAAGTGTAAAACCGGGACCTCCATGCCAGTTGAAATGTTTGCCTTTTTCCCCCTTACTTATGTGACTTGGTATTTGGTATGTGTGTGACTTTATAAAGTGTAACATTTTTCTTCGTTAAAGAAAAAAAAAGAGTAACATTTTCATCCCTTTCATTTGTTCGTTAAGCGACATGTATATATGTGTATACATATACCATAATTTCTCCCTATGTGGTTCAAGGATATATGCATGAAATAATTACTTTTTAGTCACTTCCACATGTGGTTCAAGGATATATTATAAACTGTCTAATTTTTCGATCACCATTTAAAAAAATCAACAAATTTAAAATTATTTGACTATTTGATTATCCTCACGAATATTTCGTTGTTTTATTTGATTTTTATAAATCCATTTCCGAATGAAAAGAAAGTTAGGCCTATTACCATTAAGAAAGAAGGATCGGATCGAATCTTTACAAAGAAAGAAAATTAGTGTTGTCGCCACTTTATAATCTCTTTCCCACATTAGAGAATAAAATTGAGTACGGGAATATATCACTTTTAAAAAGACCCAGATTCCATGCAATTTTGGCTGTGTTGTGAAGGTGGCATATGGCATATATTGGCATGTGGATGTGGTCAGTGGCAGACCTATTAAGGCGCAAGAAGGTGTAGCTGCACTTCTTTTCGACAGAAAAATCATTGTAAGTATTTCAAATTGCACCTCTACTCAATTCGTGGTTGTGAACTCCAGCAGGCCTATAGCCTATACGAATTGTGTATGTGAATTGTGCGACTATATAGGGCCTCCGAAAATCAAAGGCCTCTAAAGGAGGAAAACCTTGAAATTTTTGGAGTTGCAGAGCTGCAATTGCACGAGGAAGAAGACGACTATGTGCTGATTTTTCTTTTAGGTTTCCCTCTCATATTAAACGGCCCTGTTTATGACTTAGTTTGATTTTAAATTGAAACGGGGCGTTTTGTTACTTTTTAGCATAGTCTAATCCTATTCAATTGCAACCAAATAAAAAACAATTGAAAAAAATGAGATGGTGGCTGCTCTGCATCCCTACCTCTCATGTCACCTCATGACTCTTGTTATTGGGTTCTGATTGGGCTTTGACCCTAACGCCGTATTATTATTATTTTAACGTCTTATTATTAGGGACATTTTGGAAAAAGCAAAAGGAGAGAGAAAAATTTTAAAAGAAGTAAAAATGGACAAAAATGCCCTTATTTATTTTTAGATTTCCTAAGGAATCCAATACATTTGCATGTCTTTGATTTGAAAGTTGAGCGGTTTTTTTGTCTTTTTTGAAAAAGCTTTGGCTTTTTCCAAAAGTGAAAATTTTTTTATGTCTAAAACCTAAAAAACTTTTACTTTTGTTATTATTCTTTCTCAGTTTTTCAAAAGGCACACAATTGATTGGGCTCTAACTCTAAGTAAGGAAAATTTTCATTCTATTTGTGATTTGTGAATTTTGGTTTTTTATTTATAAAAATAGGTCCTCAATATTTCTCTTTCTATAAAGCCTCCAAAATCAATGGATCGGCAAAATAACTCAGCCAATGTCTGTTAGTTAGGCCTGGCCAAAAAAAAAAAAAAAAAAAAGAAAAGAGAGAGGAAACCAAAATGCAATTCATGGACTTTAAACGCATTCTTAAGCCTGCATTTCGTGGGCTTTAAAAAGTCTTTAAACATGTTTTTCTTTCTTATTCAAACAAGGACTACAAAAGGTTTTTAAAAAAAAAGGAAATTAAATGGTTTTATTGCTATGTTTTTTTTTCCTTCTTGACCAAAAGCCAATTCATTTCTTCTTCTCTTTTTTGTTTTTTGTTTTTGTTTTTTTTCTTTTCCCCCCTTTTTCTGTAATTTGCTTCTTATTTTCTTTTTTCTTTTTTTTTGTGATTTGGATATTATGATAAGTATTCAGTAGCAAACTCAAGGAAGAAGAGGCTCCGCAATGTACGACTCGTGATATGATCAATTATGATTTGTTTATATTCAATTTATTTTTATAAAGATTTTACCGTTTCAAAATTGCACCTCCACTAAAAAATTCCTGAGTCCGCCAATGGATGTGGTACACATTGGGACCTCCATGACAGTGGAAAAGAACGTTTGCCTTTCCCCCTAACTAATATGTGTGTGATTTAATCCATTTTCAAAGTGTAACATTTTTCTTCATTCAAGAAAAAAATACAAGTAACATTTTTCATCCCTTTTGTTCAATAAGTGAGATACGTATATGCTTGCATACACCATAATTTCTCCCTAAACTTTTCTTCCTAGCTATATTCTATTTACGCTCTTCCATTAATTTAGAAGAATGACTAGAATTTCGTCTCCTTACATTTAAATTTGAATTCCCTTTTTTATAAATTAAATTAATTTAGAATAATTTAGACTATCTCTTGTATTAAACAAAATAAAATTTATTTACAAATTTAACTATTTTGTAAATTATTTGCATGTATTAGACTTTTGTGGGCACTTCGACATGTGGTTCAAGGATATGAATTGTCTAATTTTCAAATCTCTATTTAAGAATCACCCTTAAGAAAATCAACACATTTAGGGCTCGTTTGGGAGTGCTTCTTCTTGAAACGCTTATGCCTATAGCGCTTATATTAGTAGCACTTATGACATAAGTGCTTCTACAAAGAAGCAGTTTGGCGTTTGTATGTCACATTTAAAAGTGCTTTCTCAAAATATTATAATAAACATAGGAAATAAAAATTCACAAAAACACGACTTTAAAAAGTTGTGAAATGTAAAGATAGTGATGGATTAATAGAAGCTTAAATCCTATGGGTGTTTTGGCATCTGTTGGCCTTTTCGTGGGGAGTGTTTTGGTTTTAATAGGAGAGAAAAAGAGAGAAAAAAACAAGAAAGAAAAGGTATTTTGGCATTTAAAAAATTAAATAGGGTATTTTCGGCATTTTAAAAGTGTTATTAAAGGGAGCCAAGTGCTTCCCTTAATTTTGTCCTGCATCACTTTTAAGAAGAAGCACCTCTCAAGTGCATCTTCCAAAACCACTCCAGTGCATTTGGATCTCACCCAAAGCGCTTTTGCAATTTTTGCTAAACACCATTTTTAAAAGACAGAAGCGCTTTTACCCATTTAGAAGCGATTTTTGCTGCTCCAAAACCACTCCCAAAAACACAGTTGCTAACACACCGTCTTTTGTTGTTTTATTGAAAACATTGTATTCATTTTGTTGTGGTATGTTTTAAGAGATCGTACGTAATGTATAATGTAAATGCTTGTCACCAAACGAAAGAGTTCTATAGAAAAGAGTCTATAACAATGAAAAGTTTTGTGAGAGTTCTTTCATTGTTTTGGATATATATACAGTCCCCTTCTATTGAGGGACACCATTTAGGGTCCCCTACTAATTTTTTTTTCAAAGTTCCAAACCATCTCTTTTTTTGTCTACATTCAAAGACCACCCTTACAAAAAATTAGACGAATCAGAAACCATTTCGACCTCCAATTGTGTCCTACAAAATTAATGAAAATAGTGCTTCAAGAAAGTACTAAACTTTCAATATTTCACTTGACTGGTCATATGATATCGAATTCTAGTTTTTTTTTGTAGAAATAATCTTTGAATGAATATCTACAAAGAATCTGTCAACTTTCTATGTCTTCCATCTCTTACACATAGCAGGATTGAACTGGGCAATCCTGTTCTGGTAAGTGGTTTCATCGCTACCTGCACCAAGCCGATGTGCAAATAGTTATATTTTCTATCTAGATGCTATTCGATTTGGCACTGAGTAAATAGCTGGAAACTGTCATTTGTATTAATGACAGATATAGTTTTTTCAACAGTTTTTATTGAATAATCAAATCTAAACTTGAAAGATCCTTTACAGTAGATATCAGTGATGGGTACTCTAGTTATATCCCAGTTGCACAACTCCTTTTCTACGTCCCACATGGTTATTTCTTGAGAGTTTTTTACCCTTAGGGTTCTATGGCTAGAACTGCTACTAGCGCTTGCATCTCCAGAAGAACGGGTAGAATAGATTCTTCTAAGGCTTGCCATTTTAATAGTCTGGGTTTTATGCTTTCCTTCTGTTCACCTCCTAATTCAAGGTTGCTAGTCCCTGCCAAAGTCTTTTCAACGCCTTACGCCTCTTTGGCAACGGCCAACGAGCCTATCCAACAGCTAGACAACTCGATGACTAGTGAGTAAAGGAAACTTGACAAAAACCTTCAAACTAATAACTCTTCTAGGGACTTATGGCTCTGATACTAGGTACTGGCCCGACCTCTCCTAAGAAACGGTATAGGACCTTTAAGAAAAGGAAATACGCAGGGGAAACTAGTAAGAAAGCTAGTAAAGGAAAGAAAGGTGTCCCAACATGCTATAAATGTGGAAAAGTCGGACACTATAAATCCAAATGTAAAATGAAAGACAAAATCAGTAACTTAAGCATTAGCGAAGAACTTAAGCAACAACTTTGCCAAATAATGCTTAATTCCTCTGATTCTGAGCAAAATGTGATAACGAACTAGCTTAGCTAGAAAATGAAGGATTATTTGAATCTGATACTGAAACTAGTTCAGATAGTGAAGATGAGTGCACCTATAAATTCAATGATCTTAAAATATGTGTTTTAACCAAAGAAGAAAGTCTGATAATAGACTTAATTGACAAAATAGAGGATCCAGAGAAAAAGATAGAGGCTCTAGAAAGTTATATCTCACTAGCTAAAGCAGGACCAAGTAACCCGCAACCAGCCATAACTAATGTGAGACAACCAATTTAAAACTATAGATTTAAAACTATAGTGAATATGGTGAATGATAAAATTCACAAGAAAGAACCTACTCTCAATGATCTTCAATGCGAAGTTCATGATGTGGAAAAGGAGCAGTTCTGGTTGATTGAGGCTGGAGAGATGGTGAATGGTTTGGCCAATTTCTCCTAGTTCTTCCTCCTGTGATAGTCACCCACTGCATCTACAGGTCTTCCATGGGGCCTGAATCAAAAGATTTGAGTCATGTCCAGTAGAGTTGGAGTCATTGGACCTACACGGAAGTCAAACGTATTGCTGGCAAAATTCCAAAAGCATAGGGCAGCAGCAAGCAAATTCTCGTCCCTGTTGATGGATTGTTTGGACAAGAGAATGGCATCATAAATTCCAGCCATCTTCCAGTGAGCCCCATATCTTGGAAGAATTATGTCAATCCAATCTGCCCACTTAACAGAGTTGTTTCTCATCTCACTGGAGGGGAACGAACGGCTTAGATTCTTGCTGACCCAAGAGTGAGAAGCCAGGGTAGAGGTACTCTCGAAACACAGAGGAGCTTCAGCATCATCTTTAAACAAGCTTGCCATTTCGACAGGTACAGGACCAAACCAGTGAGGACATAGCACCAGGGTGTTTTTGAAAAGATGAAGGACATTCTTGTCCAGATTCTTTTGGGCAAAAGGGTGAAACTTGCTCCGAACCTCAATGGCGTGTTTATCAACCCCAGCCCCAGTGATGTAAGTAGGAGGAACTGAGGAAGATGAGCCCTGGGCACGAGTCTTGGGAGAAGACATGTTCAAAAGTTTTGAGCTAGGAAAAAAGGAAATGGCAAGGAAGGCAGAGTCTGGTCGAGGAAGAAAAGTGAAATTTATGGGGAAAATTGAGAGAATCAAGGTCTAAAAGGGCTAGGTTTTCGAATGAACAGGAATTGAAGTTTCGAAATGCTTAAAAAGAGCTCGGAATCATGGAAGAAGAAGACGATACGTCACCTAATGATGACTAGCTAGTAATTGGCCATTTTCCCACGAAGGCTAGTTCGTGGTAGGCAGACGTGGCAAACGTGTGCTAACGGAAGAAACTGGAGCGCAAATTAATGGCAAAAAGTCATTTAAGTCTGGAACCGTTCAAAAAACTATTCAGACTTAGGGGGCATTGTTTGGGCCTAATTTGGCACACCTAGCACACAAAAACAAAAGCCCTTGTCAATTTTGGGCAACCATTAGCGTTCCTTTGAAATTGGGCCAAAACACACACTCAGCCCGACAGACTGGAGGCCCAGAAAGACGAAGCAAAGTCAGACCCAGGCGATATGGATTATGATCAAGGGCCCAAAACCAAAGAAGCCCAGCCTAGGACCGACCAAAGCATAAGAAGGACTAAGGCTTAGAAGAAGCCCAAAAAGAAACAAGACCCACGTGATTTTTTCTGACTTGGAAAAGTCAACAATTTCAACCGGGTTGATAAAATTGACAAAGGCATGCAAAGAAGGGACATCTCTAAAAATCTCTGCCACCAGAAGATCAAAACCCTCTTTATATATTCAGAGATATTACTTCTGCTCTAAAGAAGGCACCATCTTTCAAGGGATACGCATGCTACGTTTTTTAGAGAGAAAAGATAAGCAGGAAACAGGGAGTGGTTCAAACTGAAAAATCAAACTAACCATCACAGTTAGAGTTCTTACAAGAGGGCAGTTAAATTGGAAGAGGGGTTAGGTTCTCTTTTAGGAAAAATAGGAAGAGGGCAGTTAAATCTTACAAGGATAATCATATAAAAGGAATTATTCACATTAGGATATTGACAATCGGATTCCATGATCTAATAATGTGAATAATGAGTGTTGACATAAAAGAAGGATTCAATTGCACGGTCATTCCAATTTGAATTGATTCTTTCACAACGTCTCATTTATCTCGGATAACCGTGACTTGCTGCTAGGCGACAACCATGGTTTGTGGATGTCCTAAAAGGTTTCAATTAACCTTTATTAATAGAAAGAATTAAATTGTGGAATTTAATTTGTATATCATCTCTAAGAAGTTGAGTCAACCCACTGCCTTGCTAAAGGGAACCTAAGGATTTGCACACCCAAAGAATGTGATTAGAGGTACAAATGAGGAGAAATGAAATGAGGAGACACAAGTCAATGGTCAAAAGTCAACATGTTGACCGGAGCAATTAACCAAAGTCAAATAATTTGACCAATAGTTAAATTATAATTAAAAGATTAATTATGAAATTAATATTGACATATAGAAATTTTGAATTGGGCTTTTAAATATGATTTAAAAGGAAAAGGACAAAAGAGCAAAAAAGGCTATTGGGCCCAAGGGATAAGTGGCATAAGATGACATGACCCATGGACCAAATGGAGCCCCAAATACCCACCCAATTGCCTTTTGTGTTGTCCTATATAAGCTAAGTGTTGGAGAAAACCTAGTTAGGGTTTTTGGTTTCCTACTTTGGTTGATGAGTGATCATTTTTGTATCTCATCTTCCATAAATAAAAAATGGGTCTAATCAAGAAGTAGACTAGCATCCATACTTCTTAATTGCCTTCTCTTCATCTCTAGGAGAATTTGGTGTGGTGAGGTAGAGGACTCTAATCTTGGAGCCTTAAGGTGAAGGAGTCAAAGGTGTTCAGGCTTGAAAAATCAAAAGGCTTTTCCAACAAAGGTGTTTATGCTTGAAAAATCAAGAAAATGACATCAAGGGTAAAGATCTATTTCCTTTTTCCATTTTCTATTTGTGTTCAAAGAGACTAGGCTAATATACTTGGTTTAAAATGAAAAAGGTTTACCTCAACTAGTATAAACAAAATGAATCTGCCATTTAGAATTTTTTTGTTGTATAGGTTGTGGGTAAAGTTCATTTCCTAAGCATTAGATGCATGTTTCCTTCAAGTGGTATCAAGAGCCAATGTCTAGTCTCTTTGAGCCTTTTATTTTGGTTATTGGTTTTAATATGGGCTTGTTTTCAAACTTATGTGATATATGTGTTAGATTTTCTTTTTCATGTTGCTTATTCATAGGATATAGGAAATAGGATGAATGAGTAGGTATATGAAAAGAAAAATCAAGAGATGACACCAATGGGGGTGGCGCAAGGAGGGGCTTTTTGGGTCATGTGTGTGTCCATGTGTGAAATGTTTACATGGTTGTGTTAGTCTTGAAATTCTAAGCATGGATATGTTTTTGCATGAATTTAGGATTTTTGTGTGATTTATGAAAAGTCATAAAGATTTGCAAAAGTTCTTGAAATGTTCTTCGTGTTCATGATATGTTCATGGGAGTTCTTGTCAAGCATGCTTTTTTATCTTATTTGATACTTGACATTTGTATGTTGAATGTTAGTCAAAAGTTTTATGACATCCTATGACATTTTCATATAGTATATAGTTTTTGTCCCCTAAATTTTTTGAAAAGAAACCAATGAAAATGGAGATGTTTTTTGGGTACAAAAGATAGTGCCACCTTGTGGTCCCAAAATCACACCATCTTTTTCAAAATATCAACACACACACACTCTCTCTCCTACATGGCCGGCCCCACCCTAGGATCCCTTTTGGGGTCCTCATGAAATTCTTGTAAATTAGGGGATGTTTATGCAATTTCTGGAAAATTACAGTTTTGTCCAAAACTTTAATTAATTGCGGTTTTGCCCATTTCACTAAATGACAAAGTGTTTTCATCCTTTTGTGAAAATTGTTTATTTGTTTGAAATAAATGTTTCATTGAAATTAAGCCCATATTATCTGATAACAAATTTTAGAATTAGCTTCTAAGTTAATTATCTAATGAGATTAAATAATCAAAGAGATTATTATGGACTTATGAACACAAATACATGACACAATATGATTGGCCGATTATTCATTAGATGAATGGAATAGGTTTGATTTATTGGTTTGTAAATTAAATAGGGCCTTGCTTGCCTCTCCCCTATCTTAATCTCAAATGTAATTCCCTTAAAGTCCATTGGGCTTTAAGTTCTCTATTCTCAAATAGTTATAGGGAAGAAGGAAGATCAAGAGAATGAATAATCAAGTCAAGATTACTTGTATTATTCATGGGTCCAATGCCCAATAACAACCATGAATGTTTTAAGTAGTTAAGACACATAATAAAATCAACCTCCTTCCAAAGCCCTTAGATCCGACATCTTGGCTAGATGTTAGATCGAAATCAAGTCCATAATCATCCATAAGTGACTATTTATCTAAACTTAAGGAAATGCAAAAGCTTTCCATTAGTAGTAGCGTATATTCCCAAATCTTAAATAAAAGAGTTTTATGAAATTGATTTGATTTGCAAAAGAGAGTATTGTACAACTACTAATATGATTTAGAATAATAGTTTTCCTAGGCTAAGTAGTTTAATTGGATTAAACATGTTTATGGTGAGACATTAAAACCCTCAACTAACTAAATTAAGTAGAAAAACAAAAGACCTTTTGAAAGCCTAGTTGTGGCCTTCCACCATGGTGAATTCTGAATAGACTTGACCCTTGTGAAGGCTTTGCCTCAGATATGGGGGGTTGACAGCAAGATGTTCTTGCTTTGGAAGAATTCATTTATACATTGGATGTTGCAAGGATAGGCTCAAACGTGGACCAACATTCTATCATGATGAGGTTCATGATTGTATCACTATACTTTGCAAGAATGGTGGGCTAATACTTAACTAGTACAATGGTGCCTCATGATAATATTCGGGGGCTATACATTTGCTAGAGGCCAAATTATATGGGAACTCACATCATGATGTGAATGAGTAGAAGGACTTCCTTTATTATTTGTGTTATCCGTATATCCTATTATGGTACGGTGATCCAAATAATAGGGAGCCTCCCATCCCGTTAAGAGACATCTTACAGAAGTATCTCGTATTCCATTTTTAGGGATTATGGAAATCGTTTAAAATAGTAGGGGGAGCCATAGAATTTAAAGACCATAAATCTATGGCCTTAACCAAAACAATCTAATTTCATTTCTGGTATGTTTGTAGATACTTCTGTAGAATCTCATTCACAACACATTAAACAAAACAAGCTTCAAATGAACCATATAATGTCAAAACGGATTAGCTTCCATAAGGATGCTAAAAGGAAGAAGAGATGTAATGTACATCTTTCTTGCACAAGGAACAAAACTTATGAAGAGAGCAATTTTGTCCTTGAGTTAGTAATGGCAGTTGAAACTTCCACCTGGATAATGGATTCAGGAGCTAGCAGACATGTTTGCAATATATTGCAAGGTCTAGCAGATCATAGGAAGTTTTCAAAAGGGGAAATAGTGCTATGAGTCTGTAATAGTACCCAAATATCAGCAAAAGCAATAGGCACTTTCCACCTTAAGCTACCACATGAGGAGAAACTTGAACTTAAAGAATATCTTTGTCTTCTAAGTTGCGTAAAGAACCTAATATCTATTTCAGCATTGCTGGATGAAGATTACACTGTCACATTCAATAGAATGGGATGCTCTTTACGACAAGGCAATCGAATCATATGTAAATGTACTATGATCCATGGTCTCTACTAAATTCAAATTGTGGAAAGTAGCAACTGCTTGATTGAGAAGCCAGGACATAAGAGGCCTAGAAAAGAACTCAATCCGACTCAAGTTTGGCACCTAAAGTTAGGACACATTAGCCAATATAGAATCCAAAGGATGGTCAAAAAGGGATATCTTGAATCTTTGGGTTCATTCCCTATGCCCACCAGTGAATCCTGTCTTCAAGGAAAAATGTCAAACTTTCTTTTTTAAGGAAAAGGGGAAAGAGTCACTGAGCTTCTTGAATTAATCCACATTGATGTATGTGGGCCATTGTCCACTACATCAAGGGGTGGCTTTTCTTATTTCATTACGTTCACCGATGATTACTCTCGGTTGGGCTATGCATACCTACTAAAGTATAAGTTTGAGGCCTTTGAAAAGGTCAAGGAATTCAAGGAAGAAGTTGAAAAGCAAACATGAAAGAGTATCAAGATTCTAAGATCAGATCGAGGAAGAGAATACTTGAGTATTGAGTTTCTTTAATATCTCAAGAAACATGGCATCCTATCTCAGTGGACTCCACCTAGAACTCCACAGCTTAATGATGTCTTCGAAAGTAGAAATCGAACATTGATGGACATGGTCTGATCAATGATGAGTTATACTGACTTGCCAGTATCGTTTTGGTGATACGCACTTCGAACCGCAGCATACCTGATAAACAGAGTACCTTTCAAATCCGTGCCCAGAACACCATATGAAATGTGGTTTGGTAGGAAGCCAAGTCTTAATCATCTTTAGATATGGGTTTGTCCGGCTTATGTCAAGAAGCAAGATATTGACAAGCTAGACACTATATCAAAAATTTGTAGATTCATTGGATATCCAAATGAAACTTTAGGATACTACTTCTACCATCCAAATGAACAAAAGGTGTTTGTTCCAAGATCTGCAAGATTTCTTGAGATTAATTTTGCATTGGATGGCACCTGTGTGCAAAAGGTTGAGCTCAAGGAAGAGTCTAGAAAGCCTCATGAAGCTGAAATAGAGTCTGATCCAGTTGACAATCTGGTCCCCTTACCCACACTCACCCAACCTCCACGTAGGTCTGAAAGGATCAGTAAAGTACCTAATAGATATCTAGGCTCACACCATGTTCTTCTCATGGGAGATGACATGGAATATCCTGAAACCTACATGAAGGTAATGTTGGACATTGACTCAAAGAAATGGCAGGAAGCCATAAAAACTGAGATGAATTCTATGTATGCCAACTAAGTCTGGACTCTAGTTGACCTTCCCGAAGGTATTGTACCAATAGGAAACAAATGGGTCTTTAAGAGCAAGAAGAGCTCAGATGGCAAGGTGGAGACCTATAAAGCTAGATTAGTAGCTAAAGGCTACAGAAAAAGAGAGGGAATTGACTATGAAGAAACTTTCTCATGTAGCAATGATAAATTTCATCTGCATACTTCTCGCCATAGCAGCATATTTTGACTATGAGATATGGCAGATGGATGTGAAAACGACTTTTCTGAATGGCCACCTTCAGGATGAAATCTACATTGATCAACCTAAAGGACTCATATATAAACATGAAGAGAAGAAAGTAAGTAAAGTTCAAAGGTTAATCTATGGACTGAAGCAGGCTTCAATGAGTTAGAACATTCGTTTTGATTAAGCCATTCAAGGTTATGGTTTTAACCAAAATGAAGATGAACCTTGTGTGTACAAGAAAAACAGTGAGAGCGCAGTCATATTCCTTGTACTATATGTAGATGACATATTAATGTTTGGAAACGATATAGGCATGTTGACCTCTATGAAACTATGGTTATCAAAGACCTTCTTAATGAAGGATTTGGGAATTTCATTATACATACTGGGTATCAAGATCTATAGAGATAGATCAAGAAAGCTAATTGGATTATCTCAATCCCTGCATGTGGACAAGGTGCTTGGAAGATTCCAAATGGAATATTCCAAGAAGGGTTTTCTGCCAGTCAGACATGGTATTCACCTGTCTAAGAGTATGAGCCCTAAAACCCCAGAAGCAGTGATATAGATGAGCAGGATCCCATATGCCTCAGCAATTGGGAGCCTAATGTATGCCATGTTGTGTACGAGGCCTGATATCAGATATGCTGTGAGCATCACAAGCAGATATCAATCAAACCCAGGATCAGAACACAGGAGTGTTATAAAGACTGTATTAAAGTACCTTAGAAGGACCAAGGATATATTCCTAGTCTATGGAGGAAACCCAGAATTACTGGTGGAATGATATACAGACCCAAATTTCAAATATGATGTTGATGATCAGAAATTCACTTCTAAATATGTGTTCACATTGAATGGAGGGGCAATCTGCTAGAGATGTTGCAAGTAAAGCACCAATGCGGACTCCACAACTGAAGCAGAGTACATAGCTTCTTCGGAAGCAGCAAAGGAAGCATTCTGGATGAGGAAGTTCATTACTGAACATGGAATGGTCCCAAGGATTGAGTCACCCTCATTTTATACTGTGACAACAATGAGTGTATAGCACAAGCCAAGAAACCAAGGTCTCATCAAAGATCCAAGCAACATTCATAGGCGATATCACTTAATCAAGGAATATGCTGGTGATGGAGATATTAGCGTGCTCAAATTGGCTTCAATGGACAACATAGCAGTGTTGGTCCATCGCAAATCTCGCGGCCTGGTGCTCCGGGCCGAGGGGATGTGCGTCAACACGTGACGTCCTCCTTTTGGATGCGGTGCGGTTATGCGCGAGCGTGCCAGCACGGTCTACCGTGCGTCGAGGTGATGATGAGGTTCGGGTAGAAGATGGTTCAAATGTTGCGCCTGTTTTTCGTTCGACTCCTAATCAAACAATTGTGATCGAGTGAGGAACGAATCTCAGCCGTCAGGTTCACGGCCGTTTAGTGCTGGGCTTTTAGGCGGTACTCCGGCACGTTGCTCAGAGAGCGACGGTCGTATGATATATGGGGTGAGTGAGGCGATAACATAGGTGGTGCTCCGACACCTTGAAAATTAAGGGTCGTATGATATATTGATGAATGGATTTTCCTTACAGTCTACCACTACTCCTAAGAAAGCAGATAAAGGTATTGAAAGTGCATTACAGAAAATATAAGTTGCTCCGTGGGAGGCTTTTGGTTTGGTGTTTAAACCCCTTGAACGTGGTCTTGAGCTCAGTATTTATAGGAGGAGTCCTGGAGGGCCAATCGAGGCTGAAAAAGATCTGCCTGGTGACCTTGAAAAATATCTGCATGGTGGAGCCTGATCGGGGCAAGTGGGTAGTCAAATCGGCATTTGGGATTGTGAAGCATGGTGGTGTGACCCCCATAAATCTCGGCAAATCTCTGCCACCGCCCTGATCGTGGGCTCTGCACTCTTGGTCGTGGGAACGCATTTAATGCTCTAGTACAGTGGTTGGTGATCTGACCTCAAGCTGTGAGAATGCTTTGTGAGAATGTTTGCGCCTAACCACTCTGATTCCTGTTACCAAATCCTGACTTCAATCACTTCCCTTCTGCCCTCGTGCATTAAATACTTCTTGCACCCAGTGGTTTTGCTGCGGTGGTCAGAGGCACTACTTCATTAAATGGGGCATGGGACCCTAAGGCCACGTGGCAATTTGACCATAGTATCTTTGGCCGTGTCTCTCATGGACCTCGGCCTCGGCCCATAATGCCGTGGTTGTGAGGCCGAGAAAATCCTGCCTTCGTATTTTCCTTATGTTTTCGAAAAGGCTAAATGTTTGACGAAAGGTGGCCGTTTTAGTCCATGAACAGGTGCTACAGCCGAGAAGAGGTCCCTTCTGACGACTGTGATTTGTTAGGCACAAACATTGCCCCCACATCCCTGGATTCTTCAGTTGCGGCTTGGGCAGAGGCCGAATGGATTCCAAGGGATGGACACTCTGCCTTCCCTTCGAAGTGATCGACAGTTGGCGTCTTAAATGCGAAGGTCAATTGACGCATTAAATGCGCAGGCACGTCCCTTCAGCCATCATTGCGCAAACCGCCGTTTGTCTCGTTAAATGAAACGACGGTTCCCGAGCTTTCACCACGTCATCGCGCGTGCGAACGTGCAGTCTAACCGCTCTGTCGAGAGAGAGAGCCATTCCCTTTCATTTCATACTCGTGTCAATATAAAAACCTGGCCTTCTTCATTTCTCTTCACTCCTTCTCCTTCATTCCAACCTGCTCTAGTGGTCTTCCCCTCGTAGCTTCTTTAGAACCAAGGCTGAGCCACATCCACGGACCCCTGCGTCATGGCTTGATCCAAATGGTTTTCTCCCTCCTGCTGTCCAACAACTATCCTTCATTCTGGAACGTCGACGTGGGCCAAAGCCATGGTGTGGCCGAGATTCCTCCCCAGCCTTGGGGGAGAAAGATCTTCCTTCGCATAAGGCCACAGAGAGACCGCAATGTGATCGATGAAGATGGAAGGGCCTGGTATGACGATTCCAACTTGGCCATGTCCGCTTGGCCTAGCATCTTGATTGCATCTATGACCGGGGTGACGGCCCTGGTTTCACCCAGCCACAGTTGTGTTCAGAATGACGGCCCTGGCCATGGCCAGAGCGACGGCCTTGATCGCGAACTGGTCTCACTCGTGGCCAGAGTGACATCCGCACCCATGGTTGGAATGACGGCCCTGATTTTAGCCGGCTGCACCCATGTCCCGAGTGGCGGGCCTGGCCATGTCTGCAATGACGGCCATGATTGTGACCCGGTCTTACCCATGTCCAGAGTGACGGCTCTACCTTCGGTCGCGGCTAGTGAAACCGTAGGAGGTGAAGGGACCGCCTAGGGAAGAATCATCCGCATGTTCGAGCAAAGGGGATCAAGAAGCGGCCGTTCATAGATCTAGGATGTATTCCACTTTTTGCATATGTATGCTTATATGTTCCATTCGGCCACGACCGGCCGTTCTTTTTGTAACCGTGCCTCCGTTATTTCAATATAAATGAAGTACAACCTCTTTTTCTTCTGATCGAATGTGTGTTGTTTTTTTTCTCTTTTATCTTTGCCGATTGCAAAACCTCATAACCCATTCTCGGTCGTCTCCCACAATGACGGGGCATATTTCTTCAAATATTGGTTGTTTATTGGCAAGTTGTGCAATTCCCCATCCTTATCTCTTAACTGAAATGCGCATCGGCCAAGGATTCGATCGATAATAAACGGCCCTTCCCAATTGGGCGAGAATTTGCTGAACCGAGGGTCCTTAGTTCCGATAGGAAGTACGGCACGCCATACCAAGTCGCCTTCGGCGAAAGTCCTTTGCTTCACCTTCTTGTTGTAGGACCTCGCCGTGACCTGCTTTTGTGCCTGCATTAGGTTATAGGCGTCGAGCCTGGATTGCTCCAAATCTTCTGACTCCTGAGCCATGGCCTGCGCATAGTCCTTCTCCTCTTGCCCAGGTTGTTCGGTCACACGGAGAGACCGAACCTTTAGCTCCATTGAAACGATGGCGTCATGATCGTAGGTTAAGGCATAGGGGGATGTGCCAGTAGCCGATCGTTTCGAGACTCGCTAAGCCAAGAGGGCCTCAGGGAGTAAGTCGTGCCACGCCCTAGGTTTTTCCTCAATCATCTTCTTGAGGATACCCTTGATTACCTTGTTGCTTGCCTTGACGTATTCTCGAGTCTCAGCTGATGCGAATACCGGGCCATTATTGGACGTGATGGTTTCGGGTATACCGAATCTGTGGACGATGTGATTTTCGAAGAATCTGACCACCTGCGTGCTAGAAATGAACCGATAGGACTCCGCCTCGACCCATTTAGTGAAGTAGTCAGTTGCTACTAAAACCCAGGCGTGCTGGTTGGACGCGGCCGGGTGGATTTTGCCGATGATATCCACGACCCATCCCCTGAACGGCCAAGGTTTAGTAACTGGGTGGAGGGCGTCGGCCGGTACCCTTTTTATGGGGCCGTAGATCTGACACTTGATGCACCCCTTTGCATATTCTATGAGTTCTTTAAAATGGTCGGCCAATAATAGCCGTGCCTCCGGACCAACCATCTCATCTTGACGTCGGACTGGTGAGCGCCGCAAATCCCTTTGTGGGATTCGGCCATGATAACCTTGATATCTTCGGCCCTGGGGCATAGGAGCAATAAACCGTCTGATCCTTTTCGGTACAGCTCGTTCTGATAAATTAAATAACATCGAGCTCGGAAGTGAGTAGTCTTTTCGTGGTTGCCGGAGGGCTCGCGCAGATACTTCACTATGGGGTAGCGCTAGTCGGTTTCGGCCGCTTCGACCTTGCTGATAATCTCGGCCGATGATACCTGTGCCGTCATTCCCCGTTCGGCCAAAGCCGGCAGGGTGCGCTTCTCGATTCTTATTAAGCGGTCACGGTCGCCGTTCGGAATGTTCATACCTGACGCTACCTGGGCCATCTCATTGGCCTCATGGTTTTCGCTCGTGCACTGATATTCCCCAGTCAGTTGGTTAATTACTAGCTGAGAATCACCGTAGACCAGGACACGGGTCGCCTTCATTCCTTTTAGAATTTCAAGACCGATGATGAGTGCTTCATATTCTGCCTGATTATTGGTGCATTTGAAATCAAGCTGGAACGCAAATTGCCACCTTTGTCCTTGGGGGGATACGATCACGACCCCGGCCCCCGACCTGGTCTCGGTACTGGAGCCATCGAAGTACATGGTCCAGTATTTTTTCTCCATGTGGGTCATGCCGATCTCAACCTCCAACTCCCCCTCTTGCCCTTGAACCGGGTGGTGGGCCAAGAAATCGGCCAATGCTTGGCCTTTGACCGATTTCTGGGCTACATATTGGAAGGTGAATTCGGACAATGCCATCGTCCATTTCCCGATCCGGCCGTGTATGATCAACCGAGTAAGCATGTATTTGATGAGGTCGGTCTTGGAGATGATCTGAACGACCGAGGGAAGCATATAATGGCGCAACTTGGTAGCCGCGAAATAAAGCGCCAAGCATAATTTCTCGATTGGTGAGTAGTTGAGCTCGGCCATGTTGAGGGTGCGGCTCAGATAATGCACTGCTTGCTCTCGCTCAGATTCGTTGTTCTGGGCCAGCAAACAACCGATAGAGCCCTCTGAAGCCGAAATGTAAAGCCTCAAGGGTTTCCCTCTTTTTAGCGGCATAAGGACCGGGTGGTTGAGGTAAATACTGCTTAATGTCGTCAAGGGCCGCTTGATGTTCTGCCCCCCACACGAACCGCTCCGTGTCTTTCAGTTTGAGCAAGGGAGTCAAGGGCCGGATCTTTCCCGCCAAATTGGATATGAACCGCCTTAAAAAGTTGACCTTACCGAGGAAAGACTGAAGTTCCTTTTTGGTCCTTGGCAGGGGTGCCGTCATGATGGCCATGGCTTTATTCTTATCTACCTCGATCCCCCGTTGGTGGACCAGGAAGCCGAGAAAGTTCCCAGCGGTGACGCCGAAAGCACATTTCTTAGGGTTCATCTTTAGGCCGTGTGCCCGCATGCGATTGAAAGCCTGTCGGAGATGCCCCACATGGTCGGCTTTGGATGGGGATTTCACAACAACGTCGTTGATGTAGACTTCGACCGTTCGGCCAATTAGGTCGTGAAAAATAAGGTTCATAGCTCGTTGGTACGTTGCGCCAGCGTTCTTTAGGCCGAATGGCATGACTACCCATTCATAAGTCCCGATTGCGCCTGGACATCTGAACGCCGTCTTGTGGACATCTTCCTCGGCTATGAAGATTTGGTTGTAGCCAGCGTGGCTGTCCATGAAAGATAAGAGCTCGTGCTTCGCGGCTCCGTCCACCAGGAGGTTGGACACGGGCATGGGATACCCGTCCTTGGGGGTCGCGAGGTTTAGATTTCTGTAGTGGTTGCAGACCCTCAAAGCCCCAGTCTTTTTCAATACTGGTACAATGTTGGCCAGCCACTCGACGTACCGTGCCGTGCGGATGAAGCCGGGTTCAAGAAGCCGTTCAATTTCCTCTTTGACCTTAAGCTGTACTTCGGTCGAGAATCGCCTCGGCGGCTGTTGGAAAGGCTTAAACCCCTCCCTAATTTTTAGTTCGTGCTCGACCAAACTTCTTGGTAATCCAGGCATCTCATGATAATCCTAAGCAAAACAGTCTTTATATTCATGGAGCAGGCCGATAATTTCGGCCGCTAACTCAGGATTCAAAAGCTGGCTTACAAAAAGAGGTTGTGGTTCGGCCTTCGTCCCGACATTTATTTCTAATAACGAGTCCTGGACCTCGGGGTAATCATCCTCCATCTCGGCGGGCGCCGTCTCCAATGTTCCATCAGTCTTTCCAGCAGGTCGGTTACGGCCGCTGCTCCCTCTCCGTTAGAGGTTTCGTCTGTCATTTAAAGGCTCGTGAGGTTGATCAACACTTCGCGCGCCGAATCCTGTCGAACATTCTTGGCGCCTAACTCCAGCACTTTCTGGGCCGTTGTCCTGGTTGGTCGGCCACTCGCATCGTGGCTGGTGAGGACAACCCATCCGACGTCGTCGTTGTAAATCTGTGCTTGCACAGCGTTGTTTTCAAAGGGTTTTTCATCGGCCGGGTGTATGGATACCCTCTGGCCGTCCCAGAAGAACAAAAGTTGGAAGAGGGAGGACGGTATGCACCCGGACTGATGGATCCAGTCACGGCCGAGCAGTATATTGTAGTCCACGCTGGATTCGACCACGTAAAAAGCCGTGACTCTCGTCTGATCGGCCACGGTGATTTTTAGCGGCAGTACCCCGATGGTTTTAGATTTGTCGTCGACAAAGCTGCTCATGACCACGTCACTGGGGACGAGGTCCTCTCTCGTCTTGCCCAGCTTCCTCATTAGCGAACAGGAAAGGATGTTGACCGTCGCTCCGCAGTCAACGAAGACCTTGGATATGGGCACACCTTCGACATGGGCCGAGATATACAATGGCTTGAGGTGTCGGTATTTGTTTGGCTCGTCTCTGGGTATTACCTCGTTAAAAGCCACGGCCAACAACTCTTCCTTTGTTTTCGGCCTTTGACCAAGCTGTTCTTCGGCCACGTCGTTATCGAGGCCGTCGGTCTGGCCTCCTGGGCCGAAAATTCGGATGGTAGCATCAAGACCATGTTCATGGTGACCTCCTTTGGCTCTTGCTGGGTCTCCCTACCAGCTTCCCCTCAAGCCTCACGGCCGCTCCCGATGAAGGTTCCTTTTTCAACCATCTCGAGGACCCCCTCGTATTCCTCGTCAGATATTCCCAGTGTGAGGTCGTCCTCGGCCTCATGTCCGAAGAAAGGATCGTCGCGGCCCTCGACCATAGGCCTTGCAGTCCCCGGGGTTCTATTTGCAGCCGCTTTGGTCTCAGGAGGGTCCGAGGCCTCGGCCTCTTCCTTGAGGGCTCGCCTAACTTCAGCCAATGCGTCCCTGGCCATTAGATAGTCGTCCAAACGACTCACCCGGGCACTCTCCTCAGTCATTAGACCGAAGAAAGTATCAGCCGGAGTCACAGAGAAATACTGGCGGAGGTATTCTAAGTCGCTCCTGCCGAAAGGGGCTTTATCCTCCAGTCTTCCCTGATCGGGTTGGTAACCTGGCGTCCCTCTTGCCTTGGCCTCTTGGTTCGCCTGGTATACAGCCTTAATGGCCGAGTCGGATCCCCTGGTAATGAGGAGTCCTTCTGCCTTAGCGTTCTTGAGAGCCAGTTCCACGATTTCGCGGTTCTCAGGGGTCAGGCCGTATAGGTCGATGGCCGAGTGGTCTTTATGGAATTCCCTGAGGAAGGACAAACCGTTGGCTAAAAAATGGGGGTCCTTTCCACGGTAGACGTCGATGATACCCTCATCGGTCTTCCCCAGGGTCGCGGCCTTTGACTCGGTCGAAATGGCCCCCTTTTCGCGAAGATCCCCGTCCCTCCGAAGGCGCCATGTCCTTGGAGGCCTGATGCTGGCAACCTTTTCCATGTGGACAATTGGCGTGGATGATGGCTCGTCTACGGTTGCCATCTTCTTCGGGCGTTTGGATCCCTCGGCCTGGGGTGTCTGTACTCTGGCCTGCTGAGCCTGTCTTTGCATTCTCCGCAGCTGGGTTCGTGTCAGCGGCTGGAAGCTGCCCCCAGGTTGTGTGTGATACCAACGGTCGTCCGGTACGACCGGTGGTTGAATGTCTTCAACGGCCTAGGGGTGGCTCCGTTTTTGTGGCCCACCGAGGTATCAGGGTTTTGTGCCCCTAATCGGTCGAAAACACGGCCGCGTGCTGGCGGTCGGTCGTTCTGGCCGCCGAATTTCTTTACAGTTGGTTGGGATGGCTTGGCGGCCTTCCTCTTGTTCTCTAGCGGCCTGGGGCGACCGATCTCGTACTTGCACCGACTGCACAGCACTGGTCCCGGTTCGGCCAACGGCTCCTTTCCTTTGGCCGGTTAGCGTTCCTCCCTATATTCAGCCCGGAGCTGGGCGTTCACCATGTTGATGACAGGTGAAGGGAAGGGCTTGGAGTCGACCTGCATGGCCATCTTCTCCGGGAACTGGAGCTTCTTCTCGTCTATCAATTTTTGGATGACGTCTCGCAAAACAACGCAGTTGTTGGTGTTGTGAGACCAAGAACTGTGGTATTTGCAGAACGTCTTTCCTTTAAACTCCTCAGGTTTCGGGATTTTATGGCCGAAGGATAACTTGACCTTTTTCTCAGACAATAACAAGTCAAAGATTGCCTTGGCCCTGGTCAGATCAAAAGTGTAGGCCTTTGTTTCCCGAGTCGCGAATTTGGCGTCGGGAAGCTTGGTGCGACTGTTGTCGGCCTTGACAAGTCCTTTGCAGACAAATGGCTTGTCTATGCTGACTTCGGCTGAGCTCATCTCAACTTCATCACCCTCGGCCTCTGCGGGATTGTCTGCTTCGGCATAGCTGACAATGGGATTCCGATAGTAAGTCCCTTTTGAAGCCGTCTTCTTCTGCACCTCTTCTTTCAGCAAGGATGCGTATCGGTCCACTTTGTTCATCAAGTCGTGCATGTCCCGGAATTCAATCCCCTGAAATTTCTTCCGATATTCGAATTCCAACCCTTCTTCGGCCATCTTGACAAATTCCCTCTCCGGTAGGTTTGTGCGGCACCAATTCCTACACGTTTTGAACTGCTGCAGGTAGTCGCGAGGTGATTCGTCCGACACCTGGCTCATCCTCGCCAACTCGGCGACTGTTATTTCCTAATTGGTCTGGTAGAAATGTTCGTGGAATATCTTTTCCATGTCAGACCAATCCCTTACCGAATTCGGCGGAAGGTTTATGAACCACGAGAAGGCCGCGCCGGTCAGAGAGTGAACGAATAAACTGAGCTTCTGGGCGTCCAAATCGGCCTCCCCGCACTGGGCCGTGAAGCGGCCTATGTGTTCGATGGAGGAGGTATGCCCATCCCCAGAGAATAGAATGAATTTTGGCAACCGGTAGTTCCGGGGAAGCGGGGTTCGGTCAATTTCTGGCGGGTATGGTTTGGTATACCTTGGCTCTTCCGGGCGCCTCTAAGCCAGGCCGTCCTCGATCATTCGCCGGACGTCTTCGAATCGGAGCTCCTGAAGGGGTGCCTCTTGTTGGGCCGCGACTAGCCGTGGGACTTGTTCCCCTTCGTTCTGCGGCCTTACCTGCTGGGCCACTTGAACGGGGGTTTTGGCCGTTGCGACCTAGCCGAGATAGGTCTGGATGGCCACGGTGTGGACTGGGCCGAGTTGTTGGACCGCGGACTGTGCGGGGCTGCTTTGCCCCAATGACATGGCCAAAGCATGGAGTGGGCCGTACGTCGTCTCTGCCGGGTAGGTCGGTCCGGGATTTACCCATGTTGACTGGGACTGCCCCCAGCTGTTTGTCGGCGGCTGTGAATGCTGGCCATAATTTGACGCTTGGGTGCAGCAATAGACGCCGAGGTTGCTGCTCTTGCCGTAGGGCTCGAACCTCTCGCACTCTTGGCCTCTCTGTCCGGCTCTGGGAGGCATTGCGGACGATGTCACTGGCATCCTCTCCTGAAAAAGGGTCCGTAGCTCCGAGGAGAATCTGTCCATTGCGGCCATGAAGGATGTTTCGATCCTGTAGGCCTGCTTCGCCATCAGATCTTCGACGACAGCTTGCTCTCCCATGGTCGAGGTTCTGACCGCGTGTTCGGTCTCGGTGAGGTGGACTCAGGAGTCTCGGAAGTCATTTCGACTGTTTTGTTTTTGAGCTTTGCCTGTGCCCTAGTTTCCACCATAAGTTTTTAACAAATCTCACCGGGCGTGCCAAAAGTGTTGGTCCGTCGCAAATCTCGCGGCCTGGTGCTTTGGGCCGAGGGGATGTGCGTCAACACGTGACGTCCTCCTTTTGGATGCGGTGCGGTTGTGCGTGGGCGTGCCAGCACGGTCTACCGTACGTTGAGGTGATGATGAGGTTCAGGTAGAAGATGGTTCAAATGTTGCACCTGTTTTGCTTTCGACTCCTAATCAAACGATTATGACCGAGTGATGAACGAATCTCGGCCGTCAGGTTCACGGCCTAAGCTACAAGGCCGTTTAGTGGTGGTGTTGGTGGTGGGTTTTTAGGCGGTGCTCCGGCGCGTTGCTCAGAGAGCGACGATCATATGACATATGGGGTGAGTGAGGCGATAACAGAGGTGGTGCTCCGGCGCCTTAAAAATCAAGGGTCGTATAATATATTGATGAATGGATTTTCCTTACAGTCTACCACTACTCCTAAGAAAGCAGATAAAGTTATTGAAAGTGCATTACAGAAAATATAAGTTGCTCCGTGGGAGGCTTTTGGTTTGGTGTTTGAACCCCTTGAGCGTGGTCTTGAGCTCAGTATTTATAGGAGGAGTCCTGGAGGGCCAATCGAGGCTGAAAAAGATCTGCCTGGTGACCTTGAAAAATATCTGCATGGTGGAGCCTGATCGGGGCAATTGGGTAGTCAAATCGGCATTTGGGATTGTGAAGCATGGTGGTGTGACCCCCATAAATCTCGGCAAATCTCTGCCACCGCCCTGATCATGGGCTTTGCAATCTTGGCCGTGGGAACGCATTTAATGCTCTAGTCCAGTGGTTGGTGATCTGACCTCAAGCTGTGAGAATGCTTTGTGAGAATGTTTGCACCTAACCACTCTGATTCCTGTTACCAAATCCTGACTTCAATCACTTCCCTTCTGTCCTCGTGCATTAAATGCTTCTTGCACCCAGTGGTTTTGCTGCAGTGGTCAAAGGCACTACTTCATTAAATAGGGCATGGGACCCTAAGGCCACGTGGCTATTTGACCATAGTATCTTTGGCCGTGTCTCTCATGGACCTCGGCCTTGGCCCATAATGTCGTGGTTGTGAGGCCGAGAAGATCCTGCCTTCGTATTTTTCTTCTGTTTTCGAAAAGGCTAAATGTTTGACGAAACGTGGCCGTTTCAGTCCATGAACAGGTGCTACGGCCGAGAAGAGGTCCCTTCTGACGACTGTGATTTATTAGGCACAAACAATCAGATCCACTCACAAAGCCTATGAGTCACCTTCAGCTGGACCAACACATGGAAATGATGGGTATTAGATACATGTCAGATTGGCTTTAAAGTGCAAGTGGGAGATTGCTAGAAATATGTCTTTAAAGCCAACTAATTATGTAACCATTATTTAATAAAAGACATATTATGTTATCAATGGGCAAGAAAGGTTGTTTTATACATTAAATCATCATGTATTATCTTTCAATATGTAGAACAACCATAGTTCAAGGAATACAAAAGTGGATATGAGAGCTATGTAATGGGATTGCATATATGGAGACTTCTCATCATCCCTAGATCCTGAATATGTTTCTAGTCATAGGAATATTGATTGGGCGTCAATATTCCGCAAAGACCAGTACACACAGTATCGTCTCTATATGTAGGGAATGGCAAGGTCTCAAGTCATTCAGTGTGGAGACACATCGATATATGTGTAGGTGCATGTAGAAGAACAAGTACACTGAACGCGAACCAACACATAAGTTACAACATGGAAGTCTTTACTCACATGTCAAGCTGGAACTCATAAATTGCAATGGTACAAACTAATCCTTAGACCTGAGGCATAATAGATGTTTTGTGGCTATGTTGTTAATCTTTGAGGGCACTATACGGTCATACTGAATTAGGCATAGCTTAAAGGTGCTCATCTGGATTCTCAATAAAGTCATGGAAGCAAATGAATATACAACAAGGAATCTCTATTCTTAGTAAAGGAGAGAGAATACTCCAAGATATGATTGGTCAAATCTGGATAAGACTTGAAAGAAGAAGTCTTCAAATCTTACTAGCATAACCATATAAAAGGAATTATTCACATTAGGATATTGACAATCGAATTCCATGATCTAATAATGTGAATAAGGAGTATTGACATAAGAGAATGATTCAATTGCACGGTCATTCTAATTTGAATAGGTTCTTTCACAACGTCTCATTTAGCTTGGATAACCGTGACTTGCTGCTAGGCGACAACCATGGTTTGTGGATGTCCTAAAAGGTTTCAATTAACCTTTATTAATAGGAAGAATTAAATTGTGGAATTTAATTCGTATATCATCTATGAGGAGTTGAGTCAACCCACTACCTCGCTAAAGGGAATCTACAGATCTGCGCACCCAAAGAATGTGATTAGAGGTACAAATGATGAGAAATGAAATAAGGAGACACAAGTCAATGGTTGATAATCAAATGTCAAAGTCAATGGTTAAAAGTCAACATGTTGACTGGAGCAATTGACCAAAGTCAAAATGTTTGACCGGGTCAATTAAGTAAAACTATAATTATAATTTAATAGTTAAATTATAATTAAAAGATTAATTATGGAATTAATATTGACATATAAAAATATTGAATTGGTTTTTTAAATATATTTAAAACGAAAGGGACAAAATAGCCCAAAAGGCTATTGGACCCAAGGGTTAAGTGGCATAAGATGACATGACCCATAGACCAAATGGAGCTCTAAATACCTACCCAAATTTGGCAACTAAAGGGAAGCTCTCCCCTTGCCTTTTGTGTTGTCCTATATAAGCTAAGTGTTAGAGAAAACCTAGTTAGGGTTTTTGGTTTCCTACTTTGGTTGATGAGTGATCATCTTTGTATCGCATCTTCCATAAACCAAAAATTTCTCCAATCAAGAAGTAGACTAGCATTCATACTTCTTGATTGCCTTCTCTTCATCTCTAGGAGCATTTGGTGCGGTGAGGTTGAGGACTCCAATATTGCAGCATTAAGGTGAAGGAGTCAAAATCAAGAGAAAAAAAAGGTCTTTCCAACAAAGGTATTCAAAGAGACTAGGCTAAGATATTTGGTTTAAAATGAAAGAGGTTTAGCTCAACTAGTATAAACAAAATATCTGCCATTTAGAATGTTTTTGTCATATAGGATGTGGTTAAAGTTCATTTCCAAAGCATTAGATGCTTGTTTCCTTCATGAGCCAGTTTATTTTAGATAGATGTATCTGTTCGAAAGATATATGAAAGTGCTAACGAGAGAAGGTTGCATTACTGAGCGGTATATAGCTGAAGAAGCTGTAGAATTATGCACTGAGCATTTACCTGATGTTAGTACAGTTCGAGTGTCATCAAGCCAGAATATGGGACTTTCAAAGCCATTATCAAGTTACACAGTGAGCTTAGTTGATCGAGACCTGTTCAACCAGATACATCTATATGTCTTGGAAAATACAGAGGAAATCCTACCTTATATCGAGTATGAGTTTTATTCTTTAAGTAGCCATTTTAAATTATTCCTTATGTATATCTTATATACAAGGGACCATAATGCTTGATTTTTTCATGTCATGTAGGGAACATAAGATCCACATCAAGACCACTTATCCAAAATTTAGAAAGAGAACAAAGTGGCTGCAAGATAAGCACAATAGCACTTTCATTCAATAGCTATGCTTTAAGGTATATGATATTGAATAACATATTGGACTTTTAATTTCCTTCTTTCTATATTTTGAATTAAGATATGATTAATTTGCAGGTTCTAAGTGAACTTAATGGGGAAGACATGGCTTATCAGAAATTTGAGGTGGCTAGCTCCAAGTATGGCAGTGCCATCATATAGAAGATATCTTATTAGTGGTGTTAAATTTAACATCAAGGCACAAGATGATATGCGAACTGTCCAAAATAATGGAGTTTATTTATTTGCAAATACGCAAGTTGCTAGCACTACTACATTTTACCATTTGCGCGACGAAGAAATATTCGTCGCGCAAAACGCACTGGGGTGACGAAAAAAATATTCTTCGCGCATACCACTGAAAACTTGCGCAACCAAATTTGTCGTCACACAAAATGTCTTTGCGCAACAAAAAAATTCGTCGTCGCGCAAAGTGAGTTAAAAATAGCCGAGAAATTTTTTTTGGCCGCGAAACACTTGTGCGACGACGAATATCGTCGCTTAAGACAACCTCATGCAACGGTTCTAAAATTCATCGCGCAAAAATGGACAGAAAACAGTGGGTCCGTTTATTTGGCGGTAAAAACTTGTACGACGAAACTGTTCGTCGCAAAAGACGGCTTAGCGCGACGGGAAGATTTTATTTTTGGCGCCAAAAATACCTAGGTGGGATATTTTTGTTTGCGCGACGTAAATAATTTTCGTCGCGTAAAGTTTCACGTTTGCGTGACGAATGGTGGTTTTTGCGCGACGGAATGTTGTTTTTGCGCGACGAAAGTTTGTGCGACAAAAAATACCATGCGTCGCCCAAAAGTTCGATGTCGGCACGTGATTGCGTGACGGAAAATTTGGTTTTTCGCAACGGCAGTTTGCGCAACGAAATTATTGATTCGTCACGCAAAGTCCTTCTTCATATTAGAATTCTGCCATTGCAGAGGCAGAATGCAAAAAAAAAGGCATTCTGCCTCTGCCTCTCTCTCAACCTCTCTGCTGCTGCTGGGACTTCAATACATTCATTGGGTAAGTATTTTTCCTCATTAGTTTAAAAGTATTAATTTAAATTCGTACTAACGCTATTTATTTTGTTCTCGTTAGGGATATTTGTAATTAGCGATTGGTGGAGAACGATTGCGATGGTATTTTATTCGTTTTATATATTAATAATGTTAAAGTTAGTTTGTTATGTTTAAAATTTTTTTGTGAAGTTATATTTATATTATGTTGTTAAATTGTGCGTGACGTAGCACAATATGTTGTGATGTACGAAGTTAATTGAAATTAACTTCGTACTTCTATTTTTATGTTTAGTAACACTTAGTTTTCCGTTTGAGATTAGTTGGATTTCGTGCATGGATGCGTAATGCATGACTGCGGTCCAATTAATTCTTGAATTGTCCCATTATTTGGACAGTTTGGTAATGCATAGTGTTGTCACGTAATCTACGGCTACATGATTAGGTTTCGATTGTGGAGATTTCAGTGTCATCTCGGTACGTTCTTCGGGTGGTATGTAGGTATTTATACCTATGCCCACCTCAAGAAATGTATCGAGATGCTGCCGAAATTCATCCACGTCGAAATCTAATCTCATGTAGCTGTAGGTTACGTGGCAGGACTATGCATTCCCGAATGGGATAGGGCCTTTACCGGAGGCATAAGGTGACATTATAACTTCGTATGAAGTTGTTGTGATTGTTGTGTTGTGATTGTGGTTTCATGAATTATGAGCAGAAGGTGGATACAGAACCCGAATAGATGCGCAGACGAATACTTGGATGGAATCCAGGATTTTATTGAGTTTGCACGTAGACACAACTCGGGTGCAACTAGAATTCGTTGTCCTTGTAGGAGGTGTAACAACACGTTATGGGAGACAATTGAAAATGTTGGATTTCATTTAGTAAGGAATGGAATGATTGAGACAAATAGCATTTGGAACCTTCACGGGGAACAATTAGACCATGCCTCGTCTTCAAATGCCACAAAAGTGGCCAATGTTGAAACTATTGTGGATCCTAATGATAAAGTCATGGATATTATACACGATGCATTTCCATTTGCATCGACCAACATCAATCAGGAAGGGGAAGATGACGTGCCTACACCAATAGATAGTGCGGAGTTTGAACAATATGAAAAATTGTTAAAAAATGCCAACCAAGAGTTATACCCAGGGTGCGAGAGCTTTTCCGTTCTCACGGCCATTGTGGAGCTAATGCACGGAAAAATAAAGTATCGTATATCGAACCTGTGTTTCGATTACTTTTTGGGGGTTGTTAAGAGAATGCTTCCGACGGACAACTGTTTGCCGAAAGACCATAAACAAGCATAGAAGGTGTTGAATGGTCTAGGATTGGGTTATGAAAAAATTCACGCTTGCAAAAACAATTGCATGAAACGTTGGATACATGCCCTATATGCAATGAGTCGAGGTTCAAAACGACATCTCATAATAGAACGACTAAGATCCCTCAAAAAGTCATGCGTTATCTGCCCCTGAAACCTAGGTTGCAGTGATTGTATATGTCGACGCATACTGCCACAGACATGAGATGGCATAAGGAAAAATAGGTAGACAATGATGTGATGCGGCATCCTGCAGATGGGGAGGCATGGAAAGAGTTCGATCGAACGTTCCCCGAGTTTGCTGCTGATTCACGAAATGTTAGATTGTGACTTGCCACTGATGGATTCAATCCGTATGGGGTTCTAATTTACCACAGCACTTGGCTGATTTTCGTATTCCCATATAATTTTCCGCCTTGGAAATGCATGAAAAAATAAGACATGATGATGACTGTTTTGATAACTGAGGATCCTGGCAGGTCAATCGATGTTTACTTAAGGCCGCTGGTTGATGAGCTGAATGATTTATGGACAAACGGTGTCCGCGCGTATGATAAATCAACTGGGAAGATGTTAACTTTGTGGGCAGCAGTTATGTGGACTGTGAATGATTTCCCAGCATATGCAATGGTTTCTGGATGGAGCACAAAGGGTTATATGGCATGTCCTGTATGCAAAGAAGATGTAACTTCTGGTTGGCACGCTGGAAAAGTTTGTTACCTTGGTCATCGGAGATGATTGCCATGGAACCACGAGTAGAGGGAAAAAGATAAAGAATTCGACGGGAACAGAGCGTCGCCTCAGACCTAGAGAATGGTCCGGTGATGAGATATTGGAACAGCTTAACCGTTTGGATTTTGCTCCGTTCGGGAAAACAGTTAGGCGGATCAGACCTTCTACACATATGAACTGGACGGACAAGCCTATGTTTTTTGAGCTCCCATATTGGTCGAAACTCAAATTGAGGCACAATCTAGATGTGATGCATGTTGAGAAAAATGTATTCGACACATTAGTGGGCACGATTCTAGATATTGAGGGCAAGACAAAGGATACAATCAAAGCTCGTCTTGCTTTGGAAAGAATGGCATACGAAGGGGTTTATGGATGAATAGGGACAGTGATAAAGCTAGAAGGGATCTTGCATTCTTTTCTATGAAACCGAATGACAAGAAAGAGTTTCTAAAGTTTGTATCGTCTGTAAAGTTTCCCGATGGGTATGCTTCTAATATGCACGTTGCGTGAATGTTGACGGGGGTAAATTTACTAGACTGAAGAGCCATGACTGCCATGTGTTTATGTAACGCCTACTTCCTGTGGGTATTCGACACCTATTGTCGGAAGATGTAGTCAAGCCAACCATGTTATTGTCCAGATTTTTTTCACAACTCACGGCAAAAACATTGCAAAAGACAGACATTAATCAGTTGCGGCATGACATTGTCCAAGTCCTATGCAAGTTTGAGATGATATTCCCTCCAGCTTTCTTTACAAGTATGATCCACGTGATGATTCACTTGCCAGAAGAGGCATTGCTTGCTGGTCCTGTCAACTATCGCTGAACGTATCCAATAGAAAGGTATATAATCCTTATCCTTTTTGTGTATGCATCATTATCACAGGCTTGCTAATTTGTATCATATCGTTTAATTTTGGCAGGCTTCTCGGAGAGCTGAAAAAAATGTACGCAACAGGGCGAGGCCCGAAGGATCAATTATAGAGGCTTGGGTTCAATATGAGTCACTTACTTTCTATGGAATGTATTTAAAAGATGTGGAGACGGCTTTCAATCGTCCTCAGTGAAATAATGACGGAGGTATGAGAAATGAAAAGGTTTCTGTTTTTACCCAAAGCGCACGACCCTTTGGAGATCCTGGACGAGGACAGTCTTTTTCTAGAAATGACATGGAGGTAGCGCATTGGTTCGTACTGAACAATTGTGATGAGATAATGGCATACTTAGATGAGCATGAAGAGATGATGAAGCGAGAACATCCATCACATTTGGTTGCCCAGAAACACCGTGAATTGTTTCCACAATGGTTTTTGGATTCTGTAAGTTATAAGTGTTTTGTATTTGAAAAATATAAATTGTAGTATTTAATTTTGTCAGACTAACATGTGAATGGTTTTGTATAATATTAGGTGAATAAGTTGAAATCATCGAATTCCCCCACTTACAGTGATGAGTTACATAACTTGGCGTTCGGCCCGATTCGCGCTGAATTGTTCTCGGGTTGTAATGTTAACGGCGTCAAATTTTTGGGGGCTGCACGAGATGACAAGCTGTGTACGCAAAACAACGGTGTCCATGTCCCAAGTGGAGGCGAAAGTACAGACATTGATTTCTATGGCAAACTCACAACTGTCGTGCAGTTGCTTTACAAAGATCGATACCAAGTTTTCATGTTTAAGTGTCGATGGTTTGATACCAACCCAAATAGGTCGGGAAGTGTTAAAATTGACAATGGCTTACTATCTGTGAACATTAACAGAACTTGGTATGATGACGACTCTTACATTTTGGCAAACATGGCAACACAAATTGTGTACCTAGATGACCCTAAAGCCGGGAACGGTTGGAAAGTTGTTCAAAAGATGGATCATAGGAACGTATATGCTATACCAGAACTAGACCCAACTGACAACGACGTCGACAATGTGGCTGACCAACGTTTAGAATCTTCAATGGAAAATGATGCGGAAACACTTCGAGATACAAATGTTATACAAAAACCATTTCAAATACAAGGAATGTCTTCAGTCGAAATACCGATTCAGTCAGTTACAATTGACCTCGGTGATCTTCCGCGATACGATGTTGCAGTGGGCCTGAGAAACGACGATGATGTAGTTATAGAGGAGGAGGAAGAGGAGGACTGGGATACAAATGTCTGTATATTTTGTAATACAATTGTCTGTATATATGTATATGAATTGTAACAAGGAATCAGAGTTAGCATTCCAATATTAACTGTCAGAAATCATAATGAAAAATAAAATCAATTCTCCTTAAAATCGTTTACTATTGTGAAAATCAAAATCAAAACCAATTTTATTACCAAAATGCCCTTATACAAAACAAATTTTTTTATATTCAACTACTTACATAAGTTTTCAAAAGAAAAAAAAATTGTGTTATTTAATAATGAACCAAACTTTTAAAAATTGAGAATGATAAACAATTGGCGCCAAACCCTTGCGTGATGAAGTAAACATCGTCGCACTAATTTTGCGCGACGCAGAAGCCTCACGTCGCGTAAAGTTAGCGCAACAAAAAAAAACCAGCCGTCGCGAGAAGACATTTTGCGCGACGAAAAAGTGCCCTTCGTCACACAAATATACTTTTTTTAACAAAAATATATACACACGTATATATTTGAAATTCACGATCGAATTAGTTCATTGTATTCATATAGGGTCAAGGAGTGTAGCTGTAAAAAAATCTTCAAAATCGGAGTTCAAAAAACCGTTAAATCATGACTTTTCATTTATAACTGTCGAAAAGTTTTGTCTCGTTACTTGATCTCTGAATGTTCTTTTTTTTTCCGATTTTTCGGGTCTATGATCTCGAAGTATAAACAAACAAGTTTGACGGCTGGATTACTGAAACTAGTTTCGTAAAATGCGTATGCCATCAAAAAAATAGAATCATCAACAATGAAGAGTTTACTTATACTTTCGTTAAACATAACATAAGATTATGTGTTATCCCTTAGTGTAAATATATTAAATTGAATATCAAATTAGTCATTGTATTCATATTGGGTCAAGAAATGTATCTGTAAAAAATCATCAAAATCGGAGTTAAAATTACCGTTAAATCGTGACTTTTTATTTATAACCGTCGAAAAGTTTTGTCTTGTTATTTGATCTCTGAATGTGTGTTTTTTCCTATTTTCGGCGTATACGATCTTGCAGTATAAAAAATCAAGTTTACCGGTTGGATCATTGAAACCTAAGGTAGGAACCTTGGCCCTTAATTTGTAGAAAATTCCAGCGATTGTTATCGCTTTGGACACCCACGCGTTGCCGGCGCGTGTAGTGGTGCGTGGGATACTGTAGCAAGGGTGCATTGAGTCCCAGTGCAATCCCCTGGTTGTCCCGAGCGTGTAGATGTGTTTGGATTGGAATTTGGTTACCGTTTGAGTGTCGAACGAATTTTGCCTATTGTGCGATTTCCGGGTTCGATATGTTCGGACCATTGGATCGAACTCAAACTCGTGCATGTTGTACGTTGTATTTCTAGGATTGTGTAGGATTCGACGGATCGTGGATCGAAGTCTCGAATACTCCGAACTCGCAAACCCTAGGTCTATGCTTTTAATTAATTAGTTAAGAATCTGAATAAAATTATATGTGCTTACAAATATTCGTATAATTTTTGGAATTTGTATGTGTATTAATGAAATTGTGTAGATGTCAAACCTAATTAGACGTCGTAGGTTGGTGACGACTACACCGAGTTCAGAGTCCCCGCCTCAGCCAGCATCTGCTGCCACTACGCCAGCACAGATGGACCAGTTGGCAGTTGGTCCCGTGGGGTCCCAGACGCCTGCTTCATCGGCTTCATCAGTGGCGCAGCCTGTTAGCGCCAGGCGGCGTCATCGGCCCATCAGCACCACCGACACCACATCGACTGACGCGTCGGGCTCACAGCCAGGTATAGATTTCCTACAATTCCAATTCTTTTTTGTTTTTGTTTTTGTTTTTATTTTTGTATTTTATAGTTAAATTTGTTATTTATTAATGTCATATTTCCTTGCATCCAAGAGGAACACCCGCAGGCCGTGCCGGCAGTTGAAGGCGGCGAAGGTCACCCGGGTGACCAACAATCGTATCAACATCGGATACGATGAGCGACATCGGGTTGCACCGACGCCGGAGTTGCATAGCTCCTTGACCCACGACGTTGGTCACGTCGTGCGTACCCATTGCCTGATGCAATGTAAGTCTTAAAAGGTCATGCTTGACGAGATCAAGATGGAGGTTCGCAGCCAGTTGTCGATATGTATCCTACCTTTTCATTCTTTTTCTTTCAAACTTTATATATTTGTATGTAATGAATTTATTGCAGACGAACTACAACTTGGAGGACCTCGACGATGAGTCTTCGGCGTACCTCAACAGACTCTTCTCTAATAGGTACAAGCAGTGGAAGAGCAACTTGCACCACTATTTTGAGGCTTTTGAGGATCCGGAAGTTGCTGTTCAAGAGGGTTGCCCAAAGGAGCTTGAGGGGCGGGAGGATAGTTGGGCTCTGCGCTCATTTTCAAGCGCTCGATTTTGTGGTAATTTGTAATATGAATTTCAAATTTATTTTATACTTCTTATTAATGTTTATTTAATTTATTATATTTCATTTCAATTTCAACTAATACTGTTTATTTTTTGTATAACAGAATAAAGCCAAAGTCAATGAGGGCAATAGGAAGAAGAAGACTATTCTCCACCATTCAGATTCCATGCCCTTCTCTTATAGGATGGATGCACGGCGCCGGGTAATAATAAAATAATTGTATTTTAATTTTTAATATGTCATTATTCTTAATTTATTTTTTTCATACTAATATTTTTCTTCTCTTGTTCAATTTAGGGGGGGTCCAAATTCCCAAAGATCGACGTCTTTGGCGACGTTTATGTTCGGCCTGGGAATGAGTTGGCCGAGTCCCTTCATGTAAGTATTTTTTAATTTTAATTCTTATGTTACGCATTCAAGTTTAAACATTATTATATGAATGTTTTAATTTATATTTTATGTTATGTTAAATAGACGACGATGGTGGAGATGAGCCAATTGGTTCTTCAGGAGTCCGCCTCCCAGCTTCCTCCTGAGACTCCAATCGAGTCTGTGGATCCTCCAGAGGATGCTGGGTTTCAGATCCTGACGGAGACGTTGGATCAGACTCTCGGGAGGAGGCCGGGGACATATTGTCGAGGGATGGGGAATGCCCGGCAGAGGGAACCCAGACCCCGTCCAGCAGTGCAGTCAAGTCAGGTAACTGCTTTGACTGCACAGGTGGCCACGCTTCAGAGTCAGATGTCGGTGATTCTGGAGTCCCTCGCACGGTCCGGCATTCCAATCCCGCAGTTTCATACGTCGACCTCCGAGCCTGTCCACCCAGAGCATCCGCAGTAGACCACGGCCCCTGCCCAGACTTCCGAGTCGCATGTGCCAGACGACAATGTAGATTTTGGAACATTATTTGATTAGTTTTTTATTTTCATAATTATTTTAAAAAAATTTCTCTTGTATTATATACATTTATTTATTTTATATAATAGATGTATTCTTTACATTTTTTTTTTGCAATTTCATTTTATTACCAAAAAAAAAAACCAATTTCATTTTTGTACAAAATTTAAAAAAAAACATAATATTAAATTTATATAATATATATTAATTTTGCGCGACGAAATGTTTCTCGTCGCGCAAAGTCACATTTACAAAATAAAAAAACGTATAAAAATATTTTATACATATAATTTATTGTTGCGCGACGAAGCTCTTCGTCGCGCAAAAAGTATATGCGCGACAACCACTCTCTCGTCGCGCAATATATTTCGTCGCGCAAACGTTAGGGACACATAAAGCGCGACGAAGAATCATTCGTGGCGCCAAATCTGCAGGACGAATTGTGCGACGAATATTATTTGTTGCGCACTGTTTTCGTGACGAACATTAGTTCGTCGCGCAAAGGTTTGTACGACGAAGAGGTTTGGCGTCCCTAAACCTTTCGTGCAACGAAGGGTAAATCGTCGCACAGTTTTGCGCGACGAATGCAAAATATTGGTCGCGCAAAGTCTTTCTTTGCGCGACGAATTTTCTGTCGCGCAGACATTTGTGCGACTTAATGTATGTTTGCGCGACGAAACTCTCTTCGTCGCGCAAACCGTAAAATGTAGTAGTGTAGTGCCAAGGATAAAAATCTTATTGTCTCCAATATGGGTTTTTATGATGTCATTCAAGAAATTTGGGACCTTAACTACCAAAAGTTTAGAATCTCAATCTTCAGGTGTGATTGGATAGATAACACTTCGGGTCTTATAGTCGACGAACTTGGATTTACCCTTGTAGATCGGAGTAAAATTGGATATAGGAATGACCAATTTGTTATGGCTTCTCAAGTCAAACAAGTATTTTTTGTTGACGACCCAATGCATCATAGTTGGTCGGTAGTGTTATCAATGCCTAATAAAAAATATAATGATGTTATTAGTGATGATGTGCTAGGTGATATTAGAATTGAGTGTGAGCCATTTACTAGAGAGATACCCAATGTTGACACATTTGATGACCGGGTGAGTTTGGGAGTAAAAATATTAGAGATGAGTGTGAAGATATACAGATTGATTGATTGTTGTACTGTATGACATTAGTTATGCAATTAATTGTATGACATTAATTAATGGCTCTGTATGACATTAATTTTGCAATACATTGCAATATTTGACATTATTTTTATCACTTTTTCATTATGCGGGCTTTGGGCACGACAAATCCAATATTAAAAATACTGCATTAAAGATGTAAAATACAACGGTCGAATTAACAAATTGCAAAAACAGACGTCTAAATCATACCCAACGTCGTATTTTAACAAACGACGTGGAATGAACTATATGCAAAAGAGCGTACATAAATAAAAACTGCCATTTGAAATAGAAAACATGTCGGTTAATTAAAATTGATATTACAAGTCGGCTAATCGATATTACCAACAACGACGGTCACGTTAAGACGTTACTTTAACAAATTCACGTCCGAGATGTTCAAAAAGCAACATTTCAAATGTAATAACACGACGGTAAAGTGCTCCAACTGACGAATTTTAGGAGAACACTACGACTTCCAGTAAATATTTACCATCGTCTAAAGGAACCACAAAAGGTCACTTAGTTCTATTATCTGTCGTGAGAGCTCTTTTGAACGTCGATAAAACGACAACTACCGCCGTCTCAGGGAAAACACACGTCAATGATGGTGTTAAAAGCGCTATGTACAAGAGCAACCACATCAATACTTATATTCTTTCCGACGTGGTAAGCCCAATAACAATGACGGGCAGTTGAACACTACGGGCGTAGTGGACAGATTAACCACGACAGTTAGTTTTCAATAACCACCGTTCAAACTCTTATCCACGGTGGTTTATTTCAACTACCTGTCGTGACAACATTTTTGAACGACCGTACCGTAATATTTGGGACGTGGTTATTGAATGTTACGGCGGTGAAGGAAAAAATTGTGACATGTTAACAACTTCAGACGTCATGGATTTCGAACAAGCATCATCTAAGCTTATCCAAATAGTCATTTTTGCTTCTTTTTTTTATTATTAATTAGACGCCGGTTCTAACAAAACACAGTCTTCGTATGTTGATAGTAACCTCATCCTTTTAACATATAAAGACGTTAATACATCTTTTGAACGTCGGTTATGAACATGCTCATCGTGGAATATTGTTAACAAGGTGGTTTATTCCTGGAGACCAATGTGGAAGATATTATAAGCGACGGTCGGTTAACACTTTATGTCGTGGTTAATATATGTTATGTCGATTACTTTATAATTCTTGACATGTAATCAACTTTAGACGTCTCTTCTTTTCTGCAAGTTACGTCTAAGGTTGTCGAAGTTTTCCTTTTTTGTGTTTTTATAGTAATTAGACGTCGGTTTTTGTTTTTAGTTGACGTAGTATGTCTTAACAACGTCGATGTTGATGTTATAAACTACAGAATGTTTTCACCTGTAGTCGTGGTTAATCATTGTTACGTCGGTACTTATGGAATTTTTGACATGTAATCTTCTTTAGACGTCTCTATGTTTCTAAAAGAGTCATCTAAGGTTGTCGAAGTTTTACTTTTTTCCTGTTTTTATAGTAATTAGACGTCGGTTTGTTTTTAGAGATGACATTGTATGTCTTAACGACATTGATTATTTACCGTCGTTGTTTTATGTATCAAAAGATGGCGGTCAATTTAATAACAATTTAAAAACAGTCTAGACGACGGTGAACTCCCGTCGCTTGTTTCGATTTTTGTAGTAGTGATTAGACCATGTGTAGGGAACTTCTACAGCATTAAGTGAACAAGTACCACAATTACTGATGAATTGGTTAAACCTTGACATGGAAGGATGTGGGGAATGGATACCACCTGCTTTTTCAGTGAGGCTGCAAATATTATTAAAGTCTCCTATGAGTAACCAAGGCAAGGAACTATTAGGTTTAAGGTTTAAAATATCCTGCCACAAGCTAGGTTGCTTCTCTTTTTTAAGGGTAAGCATAGACAAAGGTAACATACCAGCTTTTCTTACCAAGCACATCTTCAATAAAGCAGTGAATGAAACGATCATGATAAAGCAAAATGGAACAATTCACAACCAAAGGATTCCAAAACAACAAAAGACCCCAACACTGCAGGAACAGAGAACTTGTTTTGGAGAGGAACACTACGAGCTAATGACTCAGCCCTCCTAGCAGAGGCTCTTGAGTCCAAAATACAAACTAAATCTAAATCTAAATAAGAAAAGCAACTTGATTAGTAAAACCCAACCAGGAACTCCCCCGGCTATTCCAACATAAAAGCTTCATAATTGCGACTGCTCATGCTACCATTCCTGTTTTGCAACCTTTTGAAATATATTATTTTATTTAGACAACTTTTCTATGAGGTAGAAAAACTTATTTGTAACGGAGATAGCACTATTTTGTTATCCCCGACTAATAACACAATGACACGTGGTCCACATGTCAATGAGTTATAGACCAGAATAGTAAAAAAATGTTATCTCCGTTGCATGAGAGAGATTCTCGAACCAAGGCTTGCTATCACATGTCTGCTATTATAAAATAATCTATATATATATATAAAGCAAATGGCAAAGAATAATAAAACATTCAAAATACCAGAAAATGAAATGTTCAAAATACTAGAAAATGAAATGTTCAAAATACTAGAAAATGTCATGGTTAATGCAAACATTAAGAATTGAAATTATTAATAAATGAGAATAATATGGTAGATTCACACTTTTTCATATTAAAAAAAATAAAATTAAAAGAAAAATCGGATAATTGATCCTATTTTTTATAAAACACAACTACCCATTATCTTTTTTAATCCTAAAATAAATTTTTAATTTTAAATAAATAAAAAAAGCCTCGCTCAGAAGCTCGTGCTTAGAGACTAGTATATTTTATGGCAATTCAATTGAAAGGCCTTGTCCCAAACCGTTATGTAACTTTTGTTTTATTTTTAATTTTCTAACAGATGAAAAATTCGAGAAAAAAAAATCACGATAAACAAACAGTAAAGCATAACTATTTTTCTGGCATGGGTTCAACGATTGGATGTAAACTAAACTTGCTGGGTGGTCTCTTCTATTGTTTTTCTTGGTGATTTTATTTTATTTTTCCAGAAAATAAACAATTAAGACAAAGGTAATGTGACAGATGACATGGCTTGCCAAGACAGATAACAAATCAAAACGAGATTCATGTCTTATTGGCTGATCCTTATGAAAAGTTTAATTTATTTGATGCTTCTTTAACTTGTTATTCTACTTCTGCTTTATTACTTTTTCTTTATTAAATTTTATAACTCTTGGCTAGTACGTTTTACTTTGTTACTTGATTAAGCAAGGTATGTGATGCTGAAGAAAAAACAAAGCAAGGTGATCTTGGGATTGATATCAAATATTGTTCGCTATATATAGATGTACTGGGAGATCCCGGTTATAAAAAAGAAACCAGTGCATTGAGTAGAAAATTTATATAGCTAGAGATGACAAGAGGAGAGGAGCTGAGTGTGGCGAAAAAAAGCCATATGAATGGGCCATGGACGGCAAGTGGATTGACCTAGAAATCTTCTACAACGATAATCCGACGGAAATATTTTCCCAAATGACAATGAACAAAGACACTGCACTTCACATCGTAGCCTCCTGCGGCGGCAGCAGAGGCCTGCTTAAGGAGTTGATTGAGCTGATAAATGACAAAGCACATTGGATGTTAAGACATGCTTTGAAGATAGAGAACAACGATGGCAACACCCCTCTTCATGAGGCTGCTGCATCTGGAAATCTATACGCAGCAAAGCTCTTGGTGGACGAGGATAAGAGACTTTCCGGTCAGTCTTCTTTTGGCAGTCTAGTAGAGATTCGGAACCAGTTAGGAGAGAGCCCACTCTACAGGGCTGCTGCTTTCGGTCACACAAACTTGGTCAAATATTTTCGGTCCGAAGTCCACGATATAGAGCAGCACTTCAAAAGAAAGGATGGATTATCCATTCTTCATACCGCAGTCATTGCCCAAAATTTTGGTCTCTCTCTCTCTCTCTCTCTCTCTCTCTCTCTCTCTCCAATATTTGACAGCTGCATTATTGGTCTGCATTTAACTTGTATGAATTATGTCCTCTTAATTATCACATGGTTGCGCTATAGCTGTGAATTAAGATTAATTCTTTTCATGTGTGGTTGGTGTAGGGGATCCCTCAATAAAAGGGGAATATATTATATTATATTATATTATATTTTATATATATATATAATGTTGCCAAATAAACATTAGTCTAACACAATAACATGGTTTTCCTTCAATGCAGAGACTGCTCTTTGGTTACAAAAAAAGTACCCCCATCTTGCGAATAGAAAGGAAAGCAATGGACTCACAAGTCTTCAATTGCTAGCCCAAATGCCAAATGCCTTCCAAGTTCCCAAAAGCATATGGAGGACTCTCATTTATAAATGTATCATCTACTCTACTGCTTATACACTACTACTAAAATTAGATATAAATTTAAAATTTCAATTTAGGAACAACGCATGTATTATTGATGAGGCAGCCTATTTTTGTAGTCAGATAGTTTGACTTTTCTCAATGCCCATTATTTTACCCTAATAACAAAAAGGGGAAGCAACCCATTAAATTCCTAAATTTTTGCTTAGATAGATAATATTCTTTTATTATCTCTTTCTTCTTCTTTTTTCTCTTTTTTTTTAAAACTTACCTGCTGGGTTTTGTTTTTTGTTTTTCCTTAGTTTATTTTAGCCGGACAACAGTTCAAACAAGTAAAGCTATAGATGGTAAATTTTCTGTTTCTTCAAAGGATAACCCGGACTACAGCCATTGGTATTACTGATCTCGCAAGCCAAGCTTGTGGAGCAAGAAGGAATAGTGCCCCCTTTATTTATGCTAGCCTTAACTTCTGATGATGATAATGCTGATCTTTAATTGTGCTCCCCTTTTCATACATTCAGATTCAGGCCTTTTTGATGATGATAACATTGATCGGGACCCACCAAATCAAAACCATGACTCGGAGAGGAGATCCAATCAGTCACCAAATCAAAACGATGACTTGGAGAGCGGATCCAATCAGCCACCAAATCAAAACTATGACTTGGACAGAAGATCCAATCAGCCTCGCCAATCTAGTTCTTCAAAGAAGATTATGAGTAATTAATTCAAACTTTCGAAGTGGGAAATATATATGTATGTGTGTGTGTGTTTGTGTGTGTCTATACATATAGGGAGTATTTTTCCTTATCATTTTAATTCAAGGTATACCCTCACTATCATTTTAAAATCTTAACACATGTCCATGTCTAAGCCATAGTTAATAATTTACTATTAAATTTTTAAAACTCACCCCACCCTCAGGCGCCCTATTCTCTACAGCCCACCACCCACGCAACACATAATACTACCCTTTAGTTGAAATTAGTTAGTTACATTTGAGACTCCTGAAAATAAGATTTAAATAAAAGCAAGTTTCAGGAAAATCCCAGCCTCCAATGAGAATTGATAGAGGGAGGCTATGGTTTCAAGATGCCCTGCTTTGGTAAGAAAAGAGTTTACAAATTCCAAGCCCTTCAACAACTCAAATCTAAATGAGATTTCATATATGAAGCCGGAAAGGCTATGAACGGAGACGAACATGAAGTCACAACGTCCGACGGCAACTTTAGGATTAGGGTTACTGGGGACGGAGAGATCATAGATAACTTGTTGCAGAACAACCATGAAATAGGGTGTCCGGGACTAGGTTGGCCTTTCTTTTTTTTTGAACGAAAACTGGGTTGGGGTTAGGGGTCAGGAAGGGGGAGAGAGTGAGAGTTTTTATTACACATGGTTTACATATGGACAGATGTTAAATTTTTTAAATGGTGGTGAGGGTACACATTGAGTGAAAGTGGTGAGCAAAAATATTCCCTATATATAGAATGTCATCCTTCCATAAACCCTAAAATCTTAAAAACAACTGATTTATTAAAAAAGAAAAGGAAATATTTTTCCATAACATAAAATGTTGGTAAGTTGGTACAAATTAATACAGATAACCATACAAGGATATTATAAATAAGGAAGCCATTATTAGGCAATTTATCATGGCTGACTTTTGTGGCGGCCTTTGTCAAATATGTTGGTAAGCTATTCTTAGATAAGAAACTTTTTCGTTAAACTTGCCGTGAGGTTAGATTTTAGTTTTGCTCCTTTTGACTATATATCTATATATATTATAGATATATAGTCTAATATAGTAAATTATGATCGTATACATACTGTAATATACCTACGAATATGCTCATAAGTTAGTATCGATATACCTACCAAACGTATATGTTTAGAATGTAATAATAACGTAACTGCAAATATAAAGAGTTAGATAATTAAAAATAAAATTAAAAACCAATCTAACAGGTGATAATCTAATTTAGTACAATTACTTACTTAAGGACCTTGTTTAATAACCATTTCAATTTTATTTTTTAGTTTTATTTTTTGTGCTAGAGTATAAAGCAAAATGAGAGTGAGGATGAGATTGAGAGAGAGGATCGATGTAAGAGAGAGTAACAAAAGTGAAAACAAAAACTTGAAAGTAAACAATTTCAAATATATTTCAATTTTTAGTTTTTGTTTTCACTTTTGTTACTCCTCCCTCTCATCCTCCCCTCTCATCATCTCTTTCAATTTCATTTCCACTCTCATTCTCACTTTTTTTTATATTAAATCATTCCCACTTTTGTTGTCCCTCTTTCTCCTCCATACTCTATCACAAAAAATGAAAACTAAAAACTAAAATTGAAATAGTTATGAAACGGATCCTAAGATTCTATTTTCACGCATGTGGATGCGTGCTTACAACTTTACTTTTTAACTTCTCCATCAATATCTCTCATGAATATTAATATGGATGCACATATATAATGATCAGAGATACTACTAGGATGGCGACCAATCCGTAAGATGATCGAGGAAATGCAAAATCAAGTATTAGTATCGAAACTGACTGATTTGCTGGTCCAGAAGGAGTATTCATGGGAGGGGGAGGACAGTGATACAAACATAGGGATTACATTTTGTCCGTTGTATTCAAACATACAGGTGGAAGAAGATTCTGATAATTGTGGTTGTGACGACAGAGGAGTGTTTACCCGTTTTAGGCCCAAACAAGGGGAAACCAGTAAATCTACTTACAAGTATAACCCATTGCTTACAGCAACATGTACCGGAATATTACAAATTGTGAAAAAGATTATCAACTTTCAGCCTCAAGTGATTGAGGCGCGTGATATTGAAACTGAAGAAAACATTTTGCATATGGCCATTAAGCATCGCCAGTTGGCCATCTTCAACTTTGTAAAAAAGAAGAAAACAATAACGTCAAGGTTGGCTTACAGGATTGATAGTGATGGGAACAGCATATTGCACCACGCTGCAGATATGAAGTTTTACACCGTAGACACTCAACGCGTAAGTGGTCCTGCATTTGAATTGCAAGAAGAATTGTATTGGATGACGGTGAGTGAGTTTTATAAAATCTATTCTTTACTCTATCAAAATGGTTCATCCTCAAAAAAATTTCTATTTTTGGCCAGCGCGTGGAAAAGATTTTGCCACGTCATTACGCCGTGCACCAGAACAATCAGGGCCTGACAGCGCAGAAGCTCTTCGAGAATGAGCATGCAAAGCTTCTTAATTTGGCAAAATCATGGATAAAAGAGACAGCTCAGTCGTGCTCGACCGTGGCAGCTTTGGTGGCCACCGTAGCCTATGCAGCTGCCTTTACGGCTCCCGGGGGTAATGATGACGACGGGGTTCCTGTTCTCAGGCATTCTCCTTTCTTTGTCACATTCACCGTTTCGGACACTATCTCGCTCATCTTCTCATTGACTTCTTTGTGCACGTTTCTCTCTATCTTAACATCCCCGTTTGAGTACAAAAACTTTCACCGTTCTCTTCCCTTCAGGCTGCATTTAGGATTCGCCCTTCTCTTCTTATCGTTGGTAGCCACCATGCTCACCTTCACTGCTACTGTTGTGCTCTTGATTCATCATGAAAAGATGTGGACAACGTCCCTCATTTATGTGGTTGCCCTTCTTCCTGTCTCTGTGATTGGGCTTTCGCAGTTTCCTTTGTATGACGGATTTCGCAAAAGTTTGAAATACATTTCAAAGAAAATGAAGCTGACTATATCTTCTACTATTTTTTTAATTCATGAAGTGTGCGTAAATTTGAAATTCTGTATTTAAAAATTTGTAACTTAGAAATTCTGTATTCGATGTTTGCTAGGGTAAGGTCTGTTATTGAGTGATATGATTTGTGAGCTCCATGCTGTTGCTATAGCTCAAAAGGTCAGAATAAGAGTGTGCTGCTATAGCTCTTAGTTAGGGTTCCCTCTTCTTCTTCCTTTGTGTGTGACAGTGTGAGTGTTTTTTGTTTTTCCTCCTTTTATGTATGTTTCAGAAGAAGTTAACATCTTCGAAATAAACTAGTGTGTATGATGCTTTTTATGAGATTTTTCCTTCATTTGTAATGATCTGGGTTTAAAAATATTGTCTTTCTTTTTTTATGGTTCATCACTCATTTAATGAACTAAAGTAGAGGATGATTTTTTGGACCAACTCCCTTTTCAATTAGCTTCAAATTAAACTTTAGATATGATTTCCATTAATTTGACCAATATGATTATTTCGAATAACATTGACTAGCCCCTTGGCACATGCGTAGCAATCAATTACCTGAGTCAGCAATTCCAAGATCACCGCTCTGATACCACAAGTCACGCCAACACTCCCCCTCACGTTGGTGCATAGATGTCGCCAATGCCCAACTGATCCAGTGAATTGTGGAATGCTTTACTCTGATGTCTGGGGACCTTCACCTATCACTGCTCCTTCTGGTGTTCGATGGTTTGTCACGTTCATAGATGATTGTACACGGATGACATGGCTTTATTTGCTGAAGAATAAAAACGAAGTGTTTTCCCGGTTTCAGTCCTTCCACAAACAAATGAAAACTCAGTTTAATACTCAAATCCAGATTCTTTGCTCCGACAATGGTGGAGAATTTGTCAATCATGACTTTCAGACTTACTTCCAACAACATCGAATTATCCATGAGAGGACTTGTCCTCAGACACCGTTACAAAATGGTGTTGCTGAACGAAAGAATCGACATCTTCTTGAAACCGCTCGAGCACTTTTGATTGGCGCTCATGTTCCTCGCCATCACTGGGATGATGCTATTGTCACTGCAGTTCACCTAATCAACCGCATGCCTTCTGGTGTATTGACCTTTAAAACTCCCTTACAGGTGCTTACGCAACATAGACCTCTGCCTTCTGTTTTGGTACTCACACCCCGAATCTTTGGATGTGTGGCTTTCGTTCATCTCCACAAAAATCAACGTAGCAAACTTGATCCCTGTGCGCTTCGTTGTGTTTTTGTGGGTTATGCCACTCATCAGAAAGGCTACAGTTGTTATCACCCTCCTACCCGACGTACATATGTCACTTTGGATGTGACCTTTCTGGAATCTGAGTTGTTCTTCCATGACCCATCATCCAATTCTACGCTTCAGGGGGAGATACGAAGTGAAGAGCAGAATTGGAGCAACTTGGAAAACGAAGAAATTCTCCTATGTATAGAAATGATTGATCATCCTGAGTCTGGAGCACAAGATTACTCTATGCCGAAAAGCGACCAATCGCCCATTCATAGCGATCAATTACCTGACCCACCTGATCCATACGAAGATATTTCTGATTCAAGTCAAGCATTGTATGGGTTGAAACAGTCACCGCGTGCATGGTTTGGACGGTTCACCATGGCAATGAAGAACAATGGTTTCAAACAGTGCAACTCCGATCATACTCTGCTCTTGAAACATCGGAAAGGAAAGGTAACAGCATTAATAATTTATGTTGATGATATGATTATTATTGGGAATGATAAACAGGAAATATCACAGCTACAAGACTATCTGGCTACAGAGTTTGAAATGAAGGATATAGGTGGACTCAAGTATTTCTTGGGAATTGAGGTGGCTCGATCGCAGCAAGGCATATTTCTCTCTCAAAGGAAATATGTCTTGGACTTGTTGACAGACACAGGAATGCTAGATTGCAAACCTGCGGACACTCCTATTGTTCATAATCATCATCTTGGAGAATATCCGGATCAAGTTTCAACTAACAAAGAAAGATACCAAAGGTTAGTGGGAAGATTGATCTATTTGTCACATACTTGACCAGACATTGCTTATGCAATGAGCGTTGTCAGTCAATTTATGCACTCTCTAAGTGAAGACCACATAAATGCAGTTCTTTGGATACTTAGATATTTGAAGTCTGCACCTGGAAAAGGACTTATGTTCTCAAAGCATAGTCATCTAAATATTGATGGTTATTCAGATGCAGATTGGGCAGGTAATGTAACAGATAGAAAATCCACATCGGGTTACTTCACATTCGTGGGAGGTAATTTGGTGACATGGAGGAGCAAGAAACAGAATGTAGTAGCTTTATCCAGTGCAGAAGCCGAGTTCAGAGGCATGACTAAAGGGATTTGTGAACTTCTTTGGTTAAGAAAATTGCTTACTGAACTTGGGTATAAACCTACATCTACAATGAATCTCTTTTGTGACAACAAGGCTGCTATAGCCATTGCACAAAATCCGGTTCAGCATGATCGTACTAAACATGTTGAGGTGGATCGACACTTCATCAAACAGAAGCTTGAGGCTAAAGTGTTTCAGTTTCCTTTTGTGAAATCCGAGGATCAATTGGTGGATATTTTGACAAAGGCAATTTCCAGTAAAGCATTCCACAATTCACTGGATCAGTTGGGCATTGGAGACATCTATGCACCAACGTGAGGGGGAGTGTTGGCGTGACTTGTGGATATTGACTTACTTTCCTTACACACCAAGAATTCCTATTATAATTATAATTGATTTACTTTAATTCTTGATTTCCTATTGTAAATAGATTTAAGAATTTATTATTTACTTGCCCATTCAGGTTTCGTTGTATTATAAATATGACCTCATGCAAGGAGAAGAATACACAGAAAATTCCCACAAACAAATATTCTCTCATAGTTTTCATATTTTAGCATAATTAACTTACATAATGCATAGGCCCTACCTTCTTCTTTTTTTTCTTTTTTCTTTTTTTCCATTTAGCACCAATAACCTTCATTGTAATAAGACGTTATGTGCATAGCATAGGAGAAAAGAGCTTTATCTTCTCATAAAATCAAAACACCCATATGATTTCCAGTCTTCACAACCTTCTCCATTCTCTCTATGGACATCGATGTAATGAATATAATAGTCAAGTTCCTCAGTAAGGGGCTTGTAGCTCAAGTGGTTAAGAGCAGTTACCCCTACACTTGAAGTCATGTGTTCAAATCTCCCCTCCCCAATATCACTTGTATCATAAAAAATAAATTAAAACTAGTCAAGTCCGCTACAATGCGGATGCTGTTTTATTTTTTATTTTTTGTCAGATGATTATGGTTGGGGCTCACCATTAATAAAGAAATCTGAAGCAGAATGTGTTTATTTTTTTTTTTTACTTATGGAAATTCAAGCTCTACATATAGCTTCATCTTCCCGGTGCTTCCAATTGGAACCTCTTTGGGATGGTTTTGGAGCCATATTCAAAGGAAATGAAAAAGAGAATGAAAATTAAAATAAATTTGAAGAAACTTTGACAGTAAAAAAGAAAGAAATAGATTTTGTGTGGATTAATTCACAAATGGATTGGTATTTCATATTTAGAGTAGGAGGGGTGTAGGGGTTTGGGAAATTTGGATTGATTGGTTATATATGATTTTTTTTTTTTTTTTTTTTTTTTTTTTTTTTAATTTTTACCGTTGGATTTAAATTTGGATCAATTCTTTTTACCATTAAAACCAACACAATTAAATATATGTCGTTCGTTTGATTTGAAAAAAAAATAAGAAAAATTAGGTATTAAACATGACAATCCTTACTAATTAGGATTTGAGACATAGGATATTTTTATTTGGGTTTTAATACCTATGAATCAAATTCTGTTTTGGATGTGCCCAAAGAGGAGGCCCAATGAATTTGGGCTTGTCTAAATTATAAAGGTAAAATACAATTTTACCCTTTTGTTTAAAATCATATCTCAGCCCCTCTCTCTCCCTCCTCTTCCTTATTCACTCCATTGACGATGACACCCTCTATCTCATCTTCCTTCTTCGCTCCATCGACAACGTCACGACGCCCTCTCTTCAATCCAAACGGCATAGGTCACGGTGTTTGGTGCTCGTCTTCTCTTCAATTAGAAAGAAGTGGAAACCTCGAAGTCTAGAACCCTCTCCTGTTCTGTACCTTCCTTGTATGCCGTTTCTCACCTGTCACTTTGAATTTGAGATTAATAGCCAATTCTCAGTATTGCGAAGCATTCTCATCTTGTATTGTTTTGCTATGTGTTTGTTTTCATTGTTGAAGTCTAGTATTAAGAAGTATGCCTACCTATGCATGTGATGGTGTTAAATATACTTTGAGATTAATTTCTATGAAACAAATTTACTCTGAGGCATGAGGCTTTATGATTACTGCACAGTTTTTGTTCTTGTTCTTTGAATTTTTTTCCAAATTGTTGATTTTTTCATGTAGCCGAAGAAAACTTTGGAGTTGGGTTTAGCCCAAAACCTTGGTCCAGCAAATTTATTGCGTGGTTTTGCTGAAATTTCTTATCTTTAGTTGTTATGCTGGAAAGTTTGGATTTTATGCAAGTGAAGGTTTTGATAATAAGAATGAGAATTGTTTGGGATTGGGATTGGGATTGCAAGTGACGATAAAACAGACAGGGACATCTGCACTCTTCGGAGGGTGATGACTCAGTCTAATGGGAATCTCTCTGATGCATTTTCAACATTTTTGCACTGCACTGTATTTTTGTGTTCTTGTGTAATTGTTTGTTTATGTTGGTTTTTTTCTTCTAAAATCATTAATTTGAGTTGTGCTGGTAGGATTGTTGGTGGTAATTTGTTTTGATTGCAATGCAGAAAACGGAAACTGCATTGCAGTTTCTATTTAATTACATTTGGCTAAATTGTTTTATCATTGGATATTGGTATGATTTTTGAAGTTAATGGAAATTATACAATTGTCATCAATGGATATGTCTTTTTGACTTTGTTTAGTTGCTTGTTTTCATGATGGCTTTGCCTTTTGGTTTGTTTTTTTTGTTAGTGTGGTTGCAACTTGATTAGAAATTGCAACGCAGAAAATGGAAGGAACTTATGTTACCTTGATATGTTTCCATTGCACGTTCCAATGTCTTTTCAATGAGCATGCTTAGTGTTACTAGTAATCCAGCTGGGCAGGCAAGTGACAAAGAACGTAACTAGAATTCTTTTTTATTAAATCAATTTGATATAGCTCTAATACAAGGATTGCCACTTGCCATTTGCTTGTTTCAAATATATTTTCTCCTTTTATTTAGGGTATGTACTCATCACTCAAGTTTGGAGGTTGACGCATCTTATTCTATGATCATTGTTCGTTGTACATAATTTGGTCTTATTTTATATAGCACAAACGTCGTTTTATATAGCACATAATTAGGTCAGGCAATGATCTAATTTAGCTGCAACTAAAGCTCATTTACTATGCATTTGTCTTGATTTGGAAATGGTTGATGCCATCAATGTCATATAATATCTTGCAATACCATTTACGCTTCAGTTCAGTGAAATTTTACATAGGTTATGCATTGTAGTTTTACACAAACTACATTGCAGTTTTGGTAATTACAATTAGATTTTTGCTCTTTCCTTGGCCTTCAACCTTACCAATTTGAAGAGTAGAGGCTACCCATATGAGGAATTTGGTGGGAAAGAGGAGTAGAACTACCCAAGAGCAAGAGAACTCAAAATTGGACTTTTGGAAACTGCATTGCAGTTTTCATTTAATTACATATTGAATTTTTGCTCTTTCCTTGGCTTTTAACCTCACCAATTTGAAGAGTAGAGGCTACCCAGATGAGGAATTTGGTGGGCAAGAGAAGAGTAGAACTACCTAAGAGCAAGGGAACTTAAAATTGGACTTTTGGAAACTGGAAACTGCATTGCAGTTTTCATTTAATTACAATTTGATTTTTGTTCTTTCCTTGGCCTTCAACCTCACCAATTTGAAGAGTAGAGTCTACCCAGATGAGGAAGTGGGTGGGCAAGAGAAGAGTAGAACTACCCAAGAGCAAAGGAACTCAAAATTGGTCTTTTGGAAATTGGAAACTGCATTGTAGTTTTCATTTAATTACAATTTGATTTTGTTCTTTCCTTAGCCTTCAACCTCACCAATTTGAAGAGTAGAGGCAACCCATATGAGGAATTGGGTAGGCAAGAGAAGAGTAGAACTACTCAAGAGCAAAGGAACTCAAAATTGGACTTTTGGAAACTGGAAACTGCATTGCAGTTTTCATTTAATTACAATTATTTTTGTAGCTGTTTTTGTTTTTGTTTTTTTTAAACATAATTGATATCTACATTTTATTTTTGTTGAAATTTTTGTTTTTATTTGTAGTTTTTGTGTGAACAAGTGTTGAATTGATTTTATTTTTTTTTATATAAAAAAAAACCGTTGATTGTTTATATAAATAATGTATAACTGAATAAATATTACAAAATCAAGTTTGGTGTAGTGGTTTGTGAGTGAGCCTTCCTCCTTTGAGGGTCAAGGTTCAAGTCCATTCAATGACACAAATCTTTTTTTTTTTAAAGGTGAATAAAGGGCAACGGAGTTTGTCCCTTGTAGACGGTGGCAGGCCGGTGATAGGTGGTGGTGGTTAGCTAGATATGGACATGTGGCATAATATGCTTATCTTAGAATGAGTGGCATTGTGTGTAATTTTGATATTTTTTAGTGATATTTTTGTAAAATTATGTGCCACATTTGGTCTTTGGCCTTATGCTAATTAGATGAAATTGTATTCTTATTTTCCAAATTAGTAAACTATATTGTGTTTTAAAACTAAAGCTCCCAAAAAAATATGGGATTTGAAGTTAACCGTTGGATCTCAATGGTTACTTTATCTTGACCGCACGCGCCTCAGGTGCACGGATAGGAAACAGCGCGCCCCACAACTGATCCTTCCGGTTCCAAAAGCCAACAAACAAACAAAAAATTGTTCTTCTGCCTTTTGCTTCGTGGGTCCCAACTTTTTTAGCCCATCTGGAATAACTCATCTCATACCCAATCCTAGCTTGATTGATGCTACCAAATCTAGACTGTTATTTTCAAAGCATATAATAAAACAATAGTCTTAACAAAAGATAGAGAACTAGGAAAATAGAAAGAAAAAAGAAAAACAATTGAAAAAAAAAACAGAGGGAGAGAGGCCCTTGTCCGATGTGCACTTTTCTTGTTCCGCACATGCAGTCTGGCATGAGTTGTAACAGTGACATCATACAACAATCAGAATCTATATGAAAGGCCTAGAAAGAATTACCAACTACACTTTCTATTTCTTGCCACAATTTCTCTCCTCTATTCATGATGGGGATCGGGATTAGGACACAGGTCACCAATTACATACACGAGTACCGAAATCTAGGGCTAGTGCAAACTCACATATATCGTAGCAAATCCATGCCAGAAATAAACTATTTCATTAATCATCAATATTCAATTCCCTTACAACTATTACATTAGCCTTATTTATAGGCTTTACAAGACTTGGGCACCAAGACTGCTTGGTCCAAAAGTAAACCAATTAATTATAAAATCACACATAAATAATAAAAGATATCCTAAAACTACCTAAATAAGAAAATAACAATATATCAAGAAATAACTAATTAAATGGTAAATATCTATCTTGATCCACCCCTATGCTCCTGCATCAATTCACATTCTAATTTGGTGTCAAAGCTGCTCAAGCAGATGGCAAAGGCCTGAAATGCAGACAAAGGATACCGGAAATCCATGGTAAACATATCCTTGCCAACTTTACCAAACTGAAGGATGATCTTGTCATGGTCAGATTGGGTTGGCTGCGGTGGTTGTGAGGGTGTCGGTGCACCAGCAACTGACTGTGTAGCTGCTATCAACTGAAAGTTCTTGACAGAGGCAACTGTTACCCTTCCACGGAAGTTAAGGCACCAACATTGCAACTATTCATGCCATCTCGGTGCCTTGTTCCGAAGAATCAATGGTCTCTCTTTTCCTATCTTCACCATGGGACCCGACTATATCGGAGAATCGAGCACTGCTAAACTCATTTGAATTATCAATTGATTTTGAGAAGGATATGCTCCGGAATGAGTCCTCAAGGGAGCGCTGGAGAAGCTCAGGATGGCCAAGGACAATGCCACCAGGCTCAAGGGATGCGGCAGGGATTGAGTGCATGTTGCAGTGCATCCTGCGTGGCCCCCTAGTGCCATGTGCATTTAACTCATATGTCACCTGAGCGATGTTGTAGCTGCCAGTAGGATCCTTGGGAGAGACCTTTTTAGAGTAAAACCGACGGCTTTAGCCAGGTGGGTAAAGCTGAGCGCTGTTGTAGGGAGGCTGGGTATCATAAATAATGAATTTGGTGCCTAGAAAATTAGACCTGAAAATGATGCTCGTTAAACCAAACCAGATAGAAACTGCTTCTGGTCCATCAATAACAAAAATGAAGGGAAAGTAATATCCTAATACAATTATCAGAGAAATAGTAGCAACCTTCTCTCTAACCTTCTCCTTTGGATCTTCTCCTTTTTTGCTTGACATGTGTCATTTTCCTTACACTTAAAACAATGTCATTAATATATTATACAAGCTAACTTTTGCTTTCCAAGTTAACCTTTATTAAATGTATTCAATTTATCCAAAAAAATTCACAGCTTTCTTACCATCTTATTAATTTTTTTCTAATGTCAATTATTTTTTTTTAAAGAAAATATCTACTTTTAAGAGGAAATGTCCCTTTCTTTTTTTCTTTTTTTAACAAAAAGGATTTAGATAGGAAAAAAAAAAGTCCTTTGTGTTTTAAAAAAAGTGGACATTTCCTCTTTTTTTGAAAAAAGCAGACATTTTCTTTAAAAAAAATAATTGACGCTTAAAAAAAATAATAATAACATGGTAAAAAAGTTGTGAATTTTTTTTAGATAAATTGAATATATTAAATAAGGGTAAACTTGGAAAGAAAAAGTTAACTTGTATAATATATTAGTGACATGGTTTTAAGTGTAAGGAGAATGACACATGTCAAGCAAAAAAGGGAGAATATCCAAAGGAGAAGGTTAAAGAAAAGGTTTCTAGCAATCCCCCCAATTAGTATTACTATTGCATGTCCGCAAATTGATTTGTTTAGCTGCATTTCCAATACCATGAACTGCTAAAAGGTCAACAAACTTCACTACTAATTAAGAATTAATAAATAAAACATGCCAACACATACATAAAGTCAGTATTTCATACATGTTCAAATTAAGGATATAGCAATGGAAGTTCCAATGCAGCGAAAGCAACTGAAATAGAGAGATAACACATAAAAATACAATACTAATAACCCACAATATCACCAATATCCTTGGGATTTTTTTCAAGAAGAGAAGGGAATTGATGTGTAAAAAAACAATTAATATATATGCATCTTAAAATTCTTTAAAATAATATCACTTGCAAAAGAAATACTTCTTGTAGGAGTGCTTACTGCAAAACCAAGGCTAAGAATGTAAAGTCACCATAACGAATCCCCATTACCCCATATTATTAGCCATGGCCAATGGACAGCAGATGCGAATGGCCAATATAAGATAATCTTATATTCTTCATGTCATGATGAGATCTGGTTCTTAAATTCATCAAAACGCTCCCTTGTGGAGGTAAAATTGGCCCAAAACAAATTCCCAAAGCTAAGATCAATGTTGGATTGGTTGGGGGGTTATACTTGTTCAATGGAGTTAAATTTCAGATATGTTTTAGTCGATACCCATTGGAACAAGTTTCTTGTAGAACTTTACCACATCTGAGCACCGGAACATGGTGACCAATGGTTAAGAAGTTGACCTATGAAAATGAGCAAAAACAGATTTTATATTCAAAAATGCACTTTTAGGTCCCATATATTCAGTAATGCACTTTTATATTGAAAAGTCTTATTTGCTATTTGAATCATTTTTGCTCTAACAGACTCTTCACTTCAATTAATGCAATATTATGGAAGAAAAAAAATGAAAACATGTGGTATATGTTTTTTTTTTTTTTTTTTTTTTTTTTTTTTAAGAAAAAAATGCATGCTTTTAACATTTTCAAGGTAGGTTTTGTTTTTCCAAAGTAAAAATAAATGTTTGAAGAGCCAAAGTCAACTTACCAGTCCTGAAGAGAGAGAAAGAGGTTGCAGCTTTGATGACTAAGGTTGAAGAGGTTGTTGGAGAGAGTTTTTCTGATGTGACTCACTTATTTTAGAATTCAAAAGTTGTTGAAGAGACTGTTGGAGATACTCTTATGTTTTAGGGGCATAATTATTTAAGGTGACAAATTGAAACTGATGTATATGTTCATGTGACATGTCTACAAAAATCCCTAAAACAAAATGGAAACATCAATAAATCAAAAAAGGCATATGTAATCTTATGTGGCGCAAAAGTAAAAAAAAATGGGATCAACAACAACTTTTGCATGAATTGCACCCAACACCTCTCATTAGAATTGCACTTATGCCAAATTTTCTATAATATAAGAATAACCTATACCTTCACACAAGTCTAAATGTGTATAAATATGAAAGGAATGGAAGCATATCACAAAAACAAGATGCGCAGACTGACGCTGGGTATTGAAGCACAAGGTAGGGGTAGATTAGTGGTTCATGCATGGAAAAGTATCAGATATCGAAAATAATAGACGAAAATTTTGAAGAAAAAAAAATTCACGGTAAACAAACAGTAAAAGTACAACTATTTTTCTGGCATGGGTTCAACAATCGGATCTAAACTTGCTGGGTCATCTCTTCTACTGTTTTTCTTGGTGATTTTCTTTTCTTTTTCCAAACAAAATAAGCAATTAAGAAAAAGATGATGTGGCAGATGACAGGGTTGCCATGAGAGATGACATAATTTACGTGCAATATATATTGGTATTAAGAAGTTGGTGTCCGTAACATTATTGTTCTGTACGTAATAGAGAAGCTCCTTCTATCTATATTTATGCCTAAGTCGTACCATAACGTGAAACCTGTGTTATTGGCTGATCCATATAACAAGTTTAATTTATTTGATGCTTCTTTTAACTTGTTATTCCACTTTCGCTTTATTACTTTTGCTTATACTTAAGTCGTACCAAAACGTGAAACCTGTGTTATTGGCTGATCCATATAACAAAGTTTAATTTATTTGATGCTTTTTTAATTTGTTATATTCTACTTTTGCTTTTTATTACTTTTTATTTTTTTAATTTTACAACTATGGAAGTTACTTTGTTACTTAATTTTATTTTTTTATTTTTTCCAGAACGATGGAAGTTACTTTGTTACTTGATTAAGCAAGGTATGTGATGCTCAAGAAAAGAAAAAAAATAAAGAAAAAAAAGCAAGGTGATATTGGGGATGTCAAATATTACTCGCCATATATAGAGTAGTGGAGAGCGCGCGGTTATATAAAGAAAGCAACGAATTGAGTCGAAAAATAATATAGCTAGAGATGGAGGAGATGGAGGAGATGGAGGAGGATGTTTTTATAGGAAAGGCACTGCGTCAGAGCGAAAAGCCATATAAATGGGCCATGTACGGCGAATGGGAACCCCTAAAAGAATTCTACAAGAAGAAGCCAGATGAAGTAGTCCGCCAATTGTCAACGAACAACGACACTGTACTACATGTCGTAGCCGTTGCCGGACACAACGAAGTGCTTCAGTTTTTGATTGATCTAATAAAAGAGCCTAATAAGTTATTGTGTGCATTTACAACCGGGAACAGCTATGGCAATACCATTCTGCATGAGATGGCTGCGTCTGGAAATCTGGAGGCCACAGTGATCTTGATGAGCGAGGAGAACAAAGTCAAGGAAAAGTATCGTAGCTATAAAAGTATGCTAGAGATTCAGAACAGCTTAGGAGAGACCCCACTCTACAGGGCTGCTGCTTTCGGTCACACAAACTTGGTCAAATATTTGGCTTCCCAAGTGAAGCTGCAGCCGCAGCAGCAGGATATAGAGCAGCAGGATATAGAGAAGCTGCAGGAGGAGGCTATGGAGTACCACTTCAACAGAAACCATGATAACTTATCCATTCTTCAGATCGCAGTCATTAGCCAACATTTTGGTCTCTCTCTCTCTCTCTCTCTCTCTCTCTCTCTCTCCTCTGACAATTGCATTATTAGTTATATATGTTAGTTATCTATGAAATATAGCTGTGAATTAAGATTAATTCTTGTCTGAATGTGTGGTTCGAATATATAATCTTGCCAAATAAACATTAGTCTAATATTTTTTTATTTGTCTTTATTATTACTAACACAGTTTTCTTTCAATGCAGAGACTGCTCTTTGGTTACTAAAAGAGTACCCAAATCTTGCGAATAGAAAGGAAAGCAATGGACTCACAAGTCTTCAATTGCTAGCCCAAATGCCATATGCCTTCGAAGCCAAATTTTGCAAAAACATATGGAAGATGCTCATTTATAAATGTACTATCTACGCTACTGCTACTACTAGAATTAGATATAAACTCACAAATTCAATTTAGGAACAACCATCTATTATTTTTTAGGATCAACTTAGGCCCATTTTTCAGGTTTATATATAAAAAATTTATCAGTGGCCATGCCAATTAGTCAGCCTATTATAGCCCCATTTATAGATGGTAATTTTTCTTTTTCTTAAAAGGATTACCTGGGCTACAGCCGCATGCATGTTAGCCTTGCCATTGCTATTTCCACTCTCAGAATGAAGTGCAAGCCAAGCTTTATTTATGCAAGGCTTTCTGATGTGATAATGCTGATCTTTGTGCGCTCTTTATTGTTTAGGGATTTACCCTTCTACTGATGACTTGAAGAGCAGGATCAATCAGCCCTCCCAGTCTAGTTGTTCACAGAATATCACAAGTAACTAATCAAACTTTCAAAGTTATATATATCCTTGCATAAAATCTTTAAAACAACTTATTTTGTTAGAAAAAAAGAATAAGTTATATATGAAATGTTGGTAAGCCATTATTAGTTAAGAAACATTTTCCTTAAACCTGGTGTGAGGTTAGATTTTAATTTTGCTCCTTTTGACTATGGCTGTCATTATATTTTTGTATTAGGGCTAGTTCTAGTCACACCATAGGATACGGCCATGTAGTTCTAATGACAATCTAAGACTAATTTTGTACAATTGAAGGTTCATTTTCATGCTCTTACAGCTTTATTACTTTTTTCCTTCTCTTCATAATATCTCTCATGAATATTAATATGGATGCATATATATAATGATCATAACTTACTAGGATGGCGACCAATCCGTGATATGTTCGATGAAATCAAAAATCAAAAATGTCTGTCGTCACTCACTCGTTTGCTGGTGGAGGAGGACTATTCATGGGCGGTAAATATAACAACCGATATCAACACATTTACTCTGGTATGTCCAAACAAATCAGATGATCCTCCACAACAAACCTCTGAATCTACCCTTAAGCAGACCCCTTTGCATATAGCAACACGCATGGGAATATCAAAAATTGTGAAAAAAATGTTGGAGTCTCACCCTCAAGCGGTGGAAGTGTTGGATCCTGTAACTCGACAAAACATTTTGCACATGGCCATTAAGTATCGCCGGCTGGCCATCTTTAACATACTAAAAAAGAGCAAATCAATAACGTCAAGGTTGGCTTACAGGATTGATACTGATGGGAACACCATATTGCACCACGCTGCATATGTGAGTTCTTACCCTGTAGACGCTCAAGGCTCAATTGGTCCTGCATTTCAATTGCAAGAAGAATTGCGTTGGATGGCGGTGAGTGACTTTATATATACACGCCTAATTCCCTAATTTTTTTATAATTATCTTCAAATATACAAACAGAAGTATATGAAATGAAACTAGTTATAAATCTATTGTTTACTTGATCAAAATGGTTCATCATCCTCAATAATTTTTCCATTTGTGGCCAGCGTGTGAAAAAGATAATCCCAAGTCATTACGCCATGCACCAGAACAATCAGGGCCTGACAGCGCAGAAGCTGTTCGAGAAGGAGCATGCAAATGATCTTAAATTGGCAAAAGGATGGATAAAAGAGACAGCCCAGTCGTGCTCGACTGTGGCAGCTTTGGTGGCCACCGTGGCCTATGCAGCTGCCTTTACGGCTCCCGGGGGTAATGATAACTACGGGATTCCTGTTCTCGGGCATTCTACTTTCTTTGTCACATTCGCCGTTTCGGACATTATCTCGCTCATCTTCTCATTGACTTCTTTGTGCACGTTTCTCTCTATCCTGACGTCCCCGATTGAGTACAAAAACTTTCACCATTCTCTTCCCTTCAGGCTGCATTTAGGATTCGCCCTTCTCTTCTTCTCGTTGGTATCCACCATGCTCACCTTCACTGCTGCTGTTGTGCTCTTGATTCATCATCAAAAGATGTGGACAACGTCCCTCATTTATGTGGTTGCCCTTCTTCCTGTCTCTGTGTTTGGGCTCTCGCAATTTCCTTTGTATGAAGGATTTCGCCAATGTGTGAAATACATTTCAAAGGAAATGAAGCCGATTATATCTTCAATTCGGGGTGTGTTTGGATTTTCCCAAAGTTTGAAGGCTAGAAATACTATATTCTAGGTTTGCTAGGGTAAGGTCTATTATTGAGTGATATGATTTGTGAGCTCTATGCTGTTGCTATAGCTCAAAAGGTCAGTCAGAATGAGAGTGTGCTGCTATAGCTCTCAGTTATGGTTCCCTCTTCTTCTTCCTTTGTGTGTGACAGTGTGTGAGTGTTTTTTGTTTTTCCTCCTCCTATGTATGTTTCAGAAGAAGTCAACATCTTCGAAATAAACTTGTGTGTATCATGTTTTTTTATGAGATTTTTCCTTTATTTGTAATGATCTGGGTTTTAAAATATTCTCTTTCTGTTTTTATGGTTCATCACTCATTTGTTGAACTAAAGTAGAGGATGATTTTTTGGACTGTGGATACTCCCAGCTCCCTTTTCAATTAGCTTCAAATTAAACTTTCGATATGATTTCCATTAATTTGACCAATATGATTATTTCGAATAACATTTATTAAACCCTTTAATATCGAATAATTAACTTACATAGTGCATAGGCCCTACCTTCTTCTTCTTTTTTCATTTAGCACCAATAACCTCCATTGTAATAAGACACGTTATGTGCATAGCATTGGAGAAAAGAGCTTTATCTTCTCAGAAAATCGAAACACCCATATGATTTCCAGTCTTCGCAACCTTCTCCATTCTCTCTATGGGAATTTGAGTGAAGGGATCGCCATCGATGTAATGAATATAATAGTCAAGTTCGTCGGCAAGGGGCTTGTAACTCAGGTGATTAAGAACAATTACCCATTTACTCAAGGTCATGTGTTCAAATCTCCCCTTCCCAATATCACTTGTATCATATCAAGTCTGCTACAGATGCTGTTTTTTTTTTTTTTTTTTTTTTTTTTTTTTTTTTGTTTGTTTTTTGGTCAGATGAGGGGTGAGTATGATTATGGTTGGGGCTCACCATTAATAAGGAAATCTGAAGCAGAATGTGTGTTCATGTTTATTTTTTCACTTGTGGAAATTCAAGCTCCACGTAGAGCTTCATCTTCCTGGTGCTTCCAATTGGAACCCCTTCGGGATGGTTTTGGAGCCCTATTCAAAGGAAATGAGAAAAAAAGAGTACGAAAATTAAAATAAATTTGAAGAAACTTTGACACTGAAATATAAAGAAATTGATTTTGTGTGTAATAATTCACAAATGGATTGTAATTTCATATTTATAGAGTTTGGGGTGAAATTTGGGATTGAATTTGGACCGTCGAATCCTTTTTACCATTAAAACCATCACAATTAAATATCTGTCGTTCGTTTGAAGTTAACCGTTGAATCTCAATGGTTTGTTTATCTAGACACCACGCGCCTCAGGTGCACGGATAGGAATCCGCGGCGCGCCACAATTGATGCATCCGGTTCCAAAAACCAACAAACAAACAAAAATTGCTCTTCCGCCTTTTGCTTCGTGGATCCCAACTTTTTTAGCCCCATCTGGAATATCTCACATCTCATACCCAATCCTAGCTTGATTGATGCTACCAAGTCTAGACTCTTATTTTCAAAGCATATAATAAAACAAGTCTTAACAAAAGATAGAGAATTGGGAAAATAGAAAGAAAAAAGAAAAACAATTGAAAAAAAAACAGAGGAAGAGAGGCCCTCGTCCGATGTGCACTTTTCTTGTTCCGCACATGCAGTCTGGCATAAGTTGTGACAGTGACATCATACAACAACCACAATCTATATGAAAGGCCTAGAAAGAATTACCAACTACACTTTCTATTTCTTGCCATAATTTCTCTCCTCTATTCACATGCTAATTTGGTGTCAAAGCTGCTCAAGCAGATAGCAAAGGCCTGAAATGCAGACAAAGGATACCGGTAATCCATGGTAAACATATCCTTGCCAACTTTGCCAAACTGAAGGATGATCTTGTCATGGTCAGATTGGGTTGGCTGCGGTGGTTGTGAGGGTGTCGGTGCACCAGCAACCGACTGTGTAGCTGCTATCAACTGAAAGTTCTTGACAGAGGCAACTGTTACCCTTCCACGGAAGTTAAGGCACCAACACTGCAACTGTTCATGCCATCTCGGTGCCTTGTTCCGAAGAATCAATGGTCTCTCCTTTCCTTCATCTTCATAATGGGACCCGACTATATCAGAGAATCGAGCACTGCTAAACTCAGTTGAATTATCAATTGATTTTGAGAAGGATATGCTCCGGAATGAGTCCTCAAGGGAGCGCTGGAGAAGCTCAGGCTGGCCAGGTACAATGCCACCAGGCTCAAGGGATGCGGCAGGAATTGAGTGCATGTTGCAGTGCATCCTGCGTGGCCCCCTAGTGCCAAGTACATTTAACTCATATGTCACCTGAGCGATGTTGTAGCTGCCAGTAGGAACCTTGGGAGAGACCTTTTTAGAGTAAAACCGACGGCTTTGGCCGGGTGGGTAAAGCTGAGCGCTGTTGTAGGGAGGCTGGGTATCATAAATAATGAATTTGGTGCCTAGAAAATTAGACCTGAAAATGATGCACGTTAAACCAAACCAGATAGAAACTGCTTCTGGCCCATCAATAACAAAAATGAAGGGAAAGTAATATCCTAATACAATTATTATTACTATTGCATGTCCGCAAATTGATTTGTTTAGCAGCATTTCCAATAGCATGAACTGCTAAAAGGTCAACAAACTTCGCTACCAATTAAGAATTAATAAATAAAACATGCCAACAATAAAATTTTAGTTGCAATAAAAATATAAGAACCACCAATATACGGATGCATCCATGAGAAAGGCAGCAACAATTGCGGACACTGACATCATGCAAAGTGACAGACCAAGCTGGTTCAGAAGTGTGACAATGGATGTAAAGTCTACTGATTAAAGACATATGTGCGTGTATTATAAGTAAATAGAAGATAATCTTATATCCTTGCACCAAAACACTTCATAACGAAAGGACTGTCACCAGTTATTCAACCATGGTCATAATGCCTCATAAAGTCAGCATTTCATATATGTTCAAATTAAGGATATAGCAATGGAAGTTCCAATGCAGCCAAAGCAACTGAAATTGAGAGATAACACATAAAAGTACAATACTAGCCCACAATATCACCAATATTCTTGGATTTTTTTTCAAGAAGAAAAGGGAATTGATATGTATAAAAAACAATTAATATGCATCTTAAAATTCTTTAAAATAATATCATTTGCAAAAGAAATAATTCTTGCAGGAGTGCTTGAAGCAAAACCAAGGCTAAGAATGTAAAGTCACCATAACGAATCCCCATTGCCTCATATTATTAATCCATGGCCAATGGACAGCAGATGCAAAAGACAAGAAAAATGTTTTTAATTCAGCCTTGATCCCAAAGTATGCGCAATGAGTTTTCAACATGCTCAATATTCTAGTTCCAGTTTTGTAACTAAGTTTCAGAAAAGAAAAAAAAAATTGTACAATGACACATTTATCAAGTCATAAGTTGCAGATTTCGCTGTCTTCCTGAAGTTACTAACATATGAATTTCAGCATAGAATAGAACAGCTGAAAAAGTAAGTTCAACAAGAATCACCTCAATTTCCCAATGTAGGTGTTGCTTGATCTTGATATGTTATCAGCATCCATTGAGATCACATACTCTGTGCAAGTAGTTCTGCGCGTTCGCTTGGCAGAAAGAAGAAATTTCCCATTTTCAACAAGTAAGGCTGCAAAGGCATGGAATTGATCAACAGAACATCCTAAAATAGACTTGCAAGCAATAATGCAATCAACAGAATATTGCTTGCCAGAAAATGAAGTAAATTATTTACTGCACAATACGTCTGTATTTAAAGTTCAAGGTCAATTTAAAATTACACAACCCCTCTTTATATGAGTTATTGCAATACAATACCTTTATATAACTGAGGCTATGTAGGGTCTACATACAATCCCTATGATCTTGACATAAGGAGAAGATGATAATTCTTATGCAGTATAGAGAGAGAGATGTACACTATTTATAACATTTAGACAGCAAATCAACCAATTAGTAATAGAACTTAGCTAAATCAAATTCTGGTAACCAGAATTAAAATAAAGTTTTGAACTTTAACACTTGCTAATAGCCTCTATTATCAACAGAAACCAAATGCCCTGATACAGGACAGCATGATTGATGGAACCCAATGATAACGTGTCGGTGAGGTAAGGCTAGGCCTCTCCGACTTAGCTGGGCTCTAGAGCCTTGAATGCGCTAGTCCTTGGAAAATGGTACAAGAGCAGACTGAAAAAAAAACAGAGCATGAGAAGAGATTGTTATAAGTGGATACAATACACCAAATGGGTTGTTTGGAATCCATAGAGAACGAAACTAAGAAATTAAGTTGACCCAACTAGCCTATATAGTTAGATCTGAAATTATCCCTTAGATATATCAGTAGGTTGATATACATTATTGGTCAATTCTCTAACAACTTCAGTTTTGGGGGTCCAATGGTTGACTAACATGGTATCAGAGCTCTGATTGTCAGAAACCCTGAGTTCCAAACTTCCAATCAACATTTCTTACTCATTAACTTGCAAGGTGCAGGGAGGGGCTGAACTTATATGCTTCTCTTTATATGTATTTTTCTACCTCTTTATGTGGAGGTGATGTAGTACAGCCCGTAGGTATTAAATTAATCACTTAACAATCGAACAGAGAAGAATATAAGAGATCGATGAGAAGAAATATACGTCGAAAAGACGATACAAAGGGCAGAAACAGTAGAACAAAGAAGAATATCGGAGGTCAAGGAGAAGAAAATATAGATCAAAGGGGCGAAATCAGAGAGTTCTAGGAAAAGGTTTACTCAACATTCAAATCTGAATTTTAAAGAACTACATGGGGTTATTTATAGAAAACTAAAACCTAGACATAATAGGATAAAAATCCCTTGCTTAAACAGAAATCCTAATCCAAATAAAATAGGAAACTTAAAACTAGATATCTGGAAATCTGGAAAAGTAGAAATCCTACTAGAATTCGGAAGACTAGAGAATCTAGGAAACTAACAAATACATTAGGAAACTAATAGATTTAGGTCCTATGCGTCCTGCATCAGGAGGACTGCACTTCAAGAAGGATGTTAACTTGATATATGTTGATGGTCCATTCACTAACTTGAACTTCTCAAGTCCAGTGGTTGTGTAAAATCAACCATACTCTGCTTGCCAAACAACTCCTCTAAGATACTGAATCAGGTTACATTCATCGAAGCAGGAATTCTACAACTTTGCACAATGCTGTCCTCTACTATGAGTGATTCGAAAATAGAATTTCAGTTTTTAAAGAGAAAGGTTAGATCATCACAATCAGCAGCATCAGTTTTACAAAACAATCATTTAGTGTCTTCCCAACGATATTATATACCTATGTTAGGACACGAATAATTTGTCTAAGGTGTAGAAGGCACTCCACATACAACAGACGAGGTCCTAAATGGCCTTGATAGTGCCTAGATTTAGCATCCACTGTCAAAAGGATGCTCTTAGCAATAGAAAGTTCCAAATGGATATTGCCTATATATTATTGGTCTTATTAAAGATTGCGTGGTCATAGCACAGATCAATGGATCAGTTAGTATTATTTACAAATTAGTTTCCATGCCATATTCTGATAAACATGATTGGCATATTGACCAAAGGTTGAGTTAATTAAATACTGATTAACAAGAAACCAATATTATTCGCAATAATAAACAAAAACTTTTCAACTGAACACAACAAATGTTTTAGTAAGTTGATCATAACTATATTGTGAAATCCCAACAAACCACATAACCTGAAATCTCATATTTAACTTGGTAAAGCATTAGTTCCAACAAAGCTGTCTTATGAGAACTTTACCAGGGCTAAGGCAAAGGAAAAGGTGGTAAGTTAAATTAGACTTGTCCCTCTTGATAAAGCACTGGATCGTTCCATCCCGAGATCCTGGCTGTGAAAGGCAACCATGTGTCAGCTACTGGCTATTATGAATATGGTTAAAAGAGAGCATCTAAGTGCATAAACACATGTATAACTAACTTAAACAGAAAACCCAGGTAATGACATTAAAACATAAATGTGTGGGCACCTTCTGCCTTTCATTAAGTGCCTCTCGTAAGGAAGACAATACCACAAAGCTCTCACCTGCTTCAAGGAGACTGGGAAGGTAATTTTCCCAGAGAATTCAGGACTTCTGACAATTTCTTTGCACATTTCCCTCCATGACCTGCATACGGCAGCACAGGCAACAACATGCTTGCGAGAAGGCCAAGTACTCTCACTAGCCTCCAATCTTTTGATTACATCACGTAATAGTTCAGGAGGTAGGCTAGCCCAACGGCTATTCTGGATTACCAGAGGTGGGTCGTGCAGCTCATGGACTGAACCATGTGATTTCCCCCTGTGATGACCAGGCAGTCTCACCTCAAAACTCCGTCTGGATAAACTTCCAAACCCATCCCTTACATCACGAACTATACTGCGAAATGACATTTACTCTGGCGTGCCAACAGACTCAGATGTTGTATATGCCCTCAATGCAGATGCACGATATAATCCACTTCAAGTTGGGATGAACCACAAAACTATAACTGCAGGTTCAACTGCAAATGAACCAAACTGGATTCAAATTTCTGTTACAATGCTTAAAACCTAAGAAAGAAAAAAGGAAGAAGACTGATTGACAAAAGCACAAAGCAAGAAAAGGAGATTCTCTATAAAGAAAGTCTCATTCTCACACATGGACTTAAAGCAGCCTAAAGTACCAGACTTTAATCAGATACATCTTTTGGCGGGTTTTAAAGCTGATCTTCCACAACCTAAACTACAATTAATTCAAACTTAAATTCCTACTTGTGCAGTCTAAGCCAAATATAAAAATAGAAAAACTTTAGAAAACAACCCCCAGACTGAAACCTCTTCCACATGGAATTTTTAAAACTACAGTGTCTATAATTTGTTATTCTAGAATGCAAAACCCTTCAGAGACAAGATTGTAACTAAAACCCAAATACTTTTTGTTTTAAAAAAAAAGGTAAAACAGTGTCATAAATATAGGCAGCATGAATTATGCACCGAAATGAGAAATGCAACCTGAATAAAATAAATAAATAAATTGTAAAATCAAGTTGACCTAGCAGTTTAAATGCTCAACTCCTTAATAACTCACAGAGAGAGGAAGAGAGGGAGAGAGAGAGAGAGAGAGAGAGCGCGTGCGCAAACCCGAAAAACACCAAATTAAATGCCAAAAGACTTGAGTTTGAGAGCTTGGCACTGATCAAAGATACATACATTGCTTCACCAGTAAGGCTATCAGAGATCGGTGAACAACTTTCAAGAATCAAAGCCTACTGCTGGAATTCCTGCAAATATAAAATACTGCAATCTTAGAAATGAAGAAGAAGGTTAACAAATTTAGCCTACAAAACCAGAAAATTGAAAGCAAAAACCACCAAAAAAATTGTTCTTTTCTTTTTTCGGTTTTCCAACTACTGATGTTAAAAAGTAGATGAAGCAAAGTCAGTATTTTGATCTCCATTTTGCTTAGAAGCACAAAAGCATCCACAGTAAAAATTAAAATTAGCCAAAACTCATGAAATGAAACAAATTAATGCAGAACACACACCAAAATGTGGTGCTTCAAACCCCTTAACTAAAAAAATTAAAATTCAGATATTATCCATAAGGGCACCAACTGAAGAAAACCCACAAATGTTTCAAGAATCAGACTTTCTAAGACGGTTTTGGGACAGCAAAGTTATAACCCAGAAAACGAACCTAAAACTCAACAATCAGAGAAATGATCCCAGGTGGGGCTGCAAATTTAACAAACAGAAAAAGAAAAAAAAACCAGGAATTTAGACAAACATTTCAGACGGCTGATGCTTCAGCACTTCTTAAAGCTGCGATGCAAAACACCATAAAGACCTGAAGATCACAACCAGCTCACCAGCTTCTGCTCTCTCTCTCTCTCTCTCTCTCTGTGAGAAGACCCGGACTTCAACTCTTTATTCAATCCAGTTCACTAACAAATAGCTTTATTAACTTAATCCAAATTATTTAATTTTATCTATTTGTCTTAATTTTAATAACACCCACTTGAACCAGACTGAAATGACCATTGGGCCCTTGACGGTTGACTTTTGTCATTCCGTTACCCGACCAATTGGCGTATCTTAGTGCGAGATTCCTACGTAAGCCGCTTGTTGGAGCTTCGGCGTAATTTAGCATCCACCGCTTACGACATCGCGATTTGAGAGTTAAATATGGTACTCCTCGGCGTACCTCGTTATGATGTGGAAGCAGTTATGTTATTGATCTGAACCGTTGACTCTGTTGAAATGTTGGGATTTGGGAAGGTGGGTGCATGTGGGAAGATCATGAAATGGGCACGCAGTCATGATGGACGCCTGTTGGAGAGTGGAATGACATTTGTATCCCTATTGGTTGGGTCTGTGCTAGGGTGCTGCAGCTGCTGCCACGTGTTGGGATATTTTAACTCAGAAGTAAGAGCATCCATAATGGAGAAGTGTATATGGGGGTGTATGTTAAATATACATCCCAAGTCACCGGAATCGTCTCCAATGGGGAGATGTAAATGAATTTAAATATACATCATCGGTCCACCATGGGGATGTAAAATAAAATGTATATTTACATTTATTTTTACATCCCTTGTAGACGGGACCCACCCGAGAAAAGAGAAGAAAAATGAAGAAAAGTCAACATAAAAGGCTGGGACCCACGGCTACACCCCCGTATTTACACTCCCTATTGGAGTAAAAAACATATTTACACCCCCCGGAGATGTAAAAGTGGTTTTATACCCCCGAATTTACATCCCCCCACTGTGGATGCTCTAAGAGAAACACTTACATAAAACGAAGATGGCATTATTTTGCTATCCCCGACTAATCACAGTATGCTAAGCGTGCTAACTTTTTCATCTGGCAGCATGTAATTGAAAAGGAATAGCAAACAGTGATATCCCCGTTTCATACAAGTTTTTCTACAGAAGTATATCTTCTTTGGTGTTGCTTGGATTTCAAGGAATGGAAAAGACAAAATTTGCGAGGGAGGGAGGGAGGGTACAATGTAAGTTGTTGTTGAGATTGGATTTTAGATTATGTTATCTATATTACCAAACAAAAAAACAAAAACAAAAAAAGATTATGTGATATAAAATCACTCATATAATAATAAGTTTATAGGGCTTCCAGCTTTTCATTTTGATCAGTTTAAATGTGGGTTAAACATTAGCATTTCTTTTCTCTTTTTCTTTTATTTTTTGTGAAACAAAAATCCATTCATAATATGGGCTAAGTACAATAAGAACACACCCTTTAAGGAGGTTCTTGCATACAATAAGGCTAGGAAATAGAAATCCAGCAAGACAATGAGCAAATTAATTGCACAAATTTTGAGTTCAGCTCACTCAGTGTTGAAAGAGGGATGATCTCAATTGCATCACCATTACTCCATAGAGATCATGGTAGAAAAACCAATAGCTAGGGACCAGAGGCACCTCCAAGTAAAAGGGCCTTATTGCTCAGCATCCATCGGGCCATAGAGGTCACAGAGCCTTTAGAAACCCACATGGTCTCACAGCACCTAGAAATGGTATATCCACCCAGGACTAATGACTCCACCTCCAAAAACATGCATATCTATAATAGATCCAATACCCACCCTAACCCAACTCCACAAGAGGCGAAGGGAAGAAAAAATCAGAAAACTGGGATGAAAACTCTCCACAACATGTCGGGAGAAGGGAGAGGGGACCGGTTTATTACCCAAAAGAAAAACTAGAGGGGTGCCTTAGAACCGGAGAGGATTGCAGGTAGTGATTGTGAGGTTGGTTGGGTTGAGAGAGAAGAGAGAGTTCGACTCGGGTTGTAATAGTTGTGTTCATTGCCGTTAAATATTAGCATCTCTAATTTAGTTCATTGACCCATCAAAGTTTAGTTTAATAAAATGTTGTGTAGGAGGAAGTCATTTAATAAATTGATGTTTTTTATAACTAATTCATGTAGAAAAGGGAGAGAAAATTATAGTTCAATAAGTCTTGTTAAAAAATTAGATGCCAACGTCTATCTATGAGCCGATCTTTAAACAGCTCAGAAAACATACTCCATCTTTCAAAAAAGATAAGACACAAGAAACTAAGATTCCTAAAAAGAGTTTCACATAGTTAAGAAATATCTACTCAATCCTCCTATCCATGTACCACAATTAGGCTGAGAGCTTCATATCTATTTAAAGACTACAAAATTCCTCAATAAGTTTAGTAGCAATGCAGCATCCATATAGTTTTTGTTTAGCATTTTTATATTTGAGCCTGTTTGAAGGCTAAGTAAAATTTCACACTAAATTTTTAACCATTTAATTGTTTCTAGATTAAATTTCTTTTATGTGAGCGTGCCACTGTTAGCAATTAATACCTTAACATATTTGAATGATTTTATGTACTTGCACCCCAAGTAATAGACTTTAAACAAACGATTGCAATTTTGGGTGGGGATAGGCCTCAGAGTGTTAGGCTTTGACTTCTGCTTAAAATACAGTCGCAGAGATGATTCAAAATCGGGCTGGACTGGATTTCTCTTGACTGGACTGGATGTTTCTACATTGGAATTGCAAGTTAGCACCTTCAACTAATAGAGATTAGCTACAAATCGAGATTTCTATTGAGGAGTCATTCTGACATACCTTGAAAGCTAAGAAAGTGTGAACTTGGTCTAATTTAATTCAAATAATTTGATTCTTGGATTAAATCACCATTGGTGGTAATTTATTTCTCAATTATCAAAATAACGTGAATTATTTATTTTATTTAATCCCACTTTGTTAAATAGTATAGGCCATTCACCATTTTTTAGTATACAAAGTACAAAAATTAACCAATAAAAAAGTCCAAGTGAGAATCAATTGGGTGCAGGATGGGCAAAGTTGACTCAAAGCTATATATTAGAAAGAAAAACAATTTTTAAAAAGATGATCCGAAATTTCTATATGTAATGACATAGAGTGCAAGATTGGTCAAAGCATAGACTATACTAATTCTATCTTCTTTTTTTCTTTTTGATTCAAGCGATACTGGAAGAGGAGGGAATCGAACCTAAGATCTCGATTAGATGAATGAATACTCTTTAACGACTAAAGCTACAAGTCTCTTGCTACTAATTTTGTCTCTAGTGTGAAGTATTGTTTTAATTGTAGCTATTGGCATATACTTCTGTTTTGTAGGCTGAAGCGAGTGCTTTCAAACAAGCTTTAATCTAGGCACATAAATAAATTAAAATTTTATAAGGTGAAAATTGAAAGCAATTCAAAAGTATTCATACAAATCATTACGAGACAAGCACAATTACCTTGTAGCTTAACATCAATTGTAGAAGATATTTGGAAGTTGTTGTAAAAGTTCTCCAACGTTCATTATTACTCATGTTTACTGAGTGTCCGTTTGGTATTTGCTTATTTGGGATGATCAGTGATTTTTTTTAAAATTTGGGAAGCCCAACCTGTTTGGTAAACTATGAGAAAATCATTTATTGTTAAAAATTGTTGTGAGAGAAAGCTATAAGAGAAAGCAACTAATGAGGTGCTTTTATTTACTGATTATTCGGAAAATAGTACCAACAACACTTTTAACAAAAAGTTTACCAAACGTCAAACTGTTTTCTCTCACAGCAAATCTGACAGCGATTATTTTTACAGCACATAAATGCCAAACTGGCCTTGAGAGCCAAATATGATAGCATTTAGCTAAAATAGGACATGACAATAATAACCCTTGTATTTGGTTCAGTAATTTTTCCTTGGATGTAATTTCCAAAGTTTATTTTGACTCATACGATTATAAGATCCTAAGAGATCTCACTTTTAATGTACTTATGTTTTAAAATAAAATTTTTAAAAAAATCATACATCTAGCCCCGGCACTCGATGTTTTGATTATTAATGAATGGCATGAGTACTCATGTACAATGTCATATGAATATTAATAATGTAACAATAATCTTTTTCTTGTTTGTAATTAATTTTACAATAATGTTATGTGATACTTCAAGTTTTCTTTGGGCAAGTTTGACCCAAATCTATGAATCATCTTCGAATAGCATCCATCATGATTTGTGACTAGAACCTTTCTAATATGTGTGCTCCACCAAGAGATCTCTTAGAATATATAGCATCCATCATGATCCCTAAGAGATCTCACTTTTAATGTACATATATCCATCATGCTATATATGTGTTGATGAAAATTATTGAATAAAAAAACAATTAAAAAATAAAGAAGAAAAACATAGTGGAAGAGAGAAAGTAAGTAAATGAAAATTACTGTATTTAAATTACTTCTCTAAAAACGAAAAATAAATATTTAGAAAAAAAATAAAAAATAAAAAAAAAAGACTTGGAAGGAATCCATACCAATTAAAATTATACATAAAAATGGGTTATTTGGTTTAATGATTCCTGAATTTTGACCCGATTCGTATTTTGGTTCTTCAATTTCGAAAATTGTTCCCGTGGTCCTTCAACTTAAGTTTGGTCAGGACAAATGGTCATACCGTCAATTTTGTTATCTTTTATGTTAAAATATGAATAAAATATTAAAAAACTGAAAAAATAAAAAATAAAACATAAAAAATAAAAAAATATATATATATATATATCTCTCTCCCCTCTATCCCGATGTCTAATCTCCCTCCACCCAGATTTCTTCTCCCCCCACCTAGCCATCCAGCTAGCCCCACTGCGATCTTCCTTCCCTCCTCTTTCCGACGTACCTCCCCTCCCCCTCTTTGTCATAGTTGCCTTTCCATTTGAGAAAGAGAAAGTTTATGCAAATGGGAGGGTGAGAGAAAGTTGATGCAGAGAGGCAGTGGATATGAGGATGATAAGATGGGGGTGGGGTAATTAGAATGGGGTCAGGGACGATGAAATTGGGGGGGGGGGGGGGGGGGGGGGGAAGGAGGATACCATTTTACCCTTACATTTAACAGAAAAAGTTAACAAAATTGACTGCAGGACTATTTGTCCTAACAAAATTAAAATTAAAGGACCACGGGAACGATTTTGGAAATTAAGGGACCAAAATGCAAATCAAATCAAAATTCAAGGACCTAATAACCCTATAAAAATAATCTATTATTTTCTACTTATTGATGCAATAATAGTTTTTATTCAGTGTTCATGCATGAAGCATGCCTGCATGTGATGTGCTAATTACTATTTTATTTTAATAATCAAGAGATTTATTGAATCATGAGACAATTACATCATGATAATCAATGAAGAACCAACCAGGATGATTCTTCTTCAATCCAAGTATTAAACTTTAAATTAGAAAAGATTCTTCTTCAATCCAAGTATTAAACTCTGAATTAGAAAACAGTGTTTAGCCACTTTCTCCCCTTGAGAGTCCCAAAAAAGAGGAGGAGGAGTATCATTGCCCCTCCTCCCCCTCCTCTCTTTTTGCTCTGTTTTTTTATCGGTATTATTGTGGTGATTTCTTCTAAATCATGCTCAAATTGAAGTTCCCATCACCTCTTTTGGGCTATGTTCCCAATCAAATTATTCTCCCAAAACCCGCTCTCTAAAACCGTTTATGTTCTCTAAATTTGGTTCTAAACTGTATTTGACAGAGTTTGTCACAAATCACCCGATTGATCTTTATCAAGGTTGTTGTTTTGTTTGATTTATTTTCTCTTATGCGCATGTGTAGATAGTTGGAAACTATGTTTTTCCCAGATCCTTTACGTGTTCTTACGTTATCTAATGTATTGTCCACGTGTTTGGCTTAAGTAACGTCACACGTGAGAGGGTGCGTTGAGAGTATTATCCTACAACGGAAATGGAAGCCTTAGATGAGTAGTTTAAAAGAGCTTGTGCACTGTTCCTGTGGAATGTGGCATGGTTGTTGCCGGCCGTGCAACTACCAAAAGAATTGTTTTCAGATCCTGCAATGTTTATCTGTTTTATTTTTATTCATATAGATAATGAGAAGGATAAGAAATCATGACTGACTGAAAATATAAATTTAGTCATACAAGATGGCAGCTAATTAATTAGTAATGAGAGTATATAAATTAAATTTGCTGCACATTCTTGTAATATTATGTGATTATACCCTTATTTACATCCTTAATTAGATTGCACATGTACAAGTTTAACAATGTGAAATCAAACTTTAGAGCATCACTAGTATAAATAAATGTTTTGTTTAGTCAAAATCCACTTTTTATCCTTTTCCATTCTAATCTGAAAGGAAGAAATTTGAAAACAGAAAAGGGTACAAGAATGCCATTTATGCTAAAACTTGGTCCATGTATGGCCATGAAATCGAGAAGACTTTTGAGCTCTTGTCTGGTATGGATTATCTTAATACGGGGTGCAAGTGATGGTACTTATATATATAATTATTTGACTTCTAAGTTATAATATATTAATTTTATGGTTAACATGTAACTATCAACACTTATGACCAAGTAGATCTTAAATAAGAAAAAAAACAACGCTTAAGAACCAAGTGGGAAGTAGACTCGTTCAAGTTCAATCACTTTTCAATCACTTAGGTTTGAATCTTCATAGCGCGTTGGTAGTGTGTGTGAGAAACTCCCATGACCTTGTAGTTTAGATTATCGCTTATAGTAAATAATAATAATAATAATAATATATTGTTATTAAACTGACCAATATGAAGATATTGTTAAAAGGAGTTTAGGTGAAGTTATTGGTCTTGTCTTGTAACACGACTTCAAAACTAAAATGATGAATTGGATAAGTATTTGCTCATTATCAATGATTTGGTATAAATTACTTGAGATGGGGGTCAGGTCAGGTGGGGGTGGCTCAGCCCAAAATAAAATATAGCATATGTCTGATATTATTAGGTATTTGATTATAAAACAACTTGATATGATTATTTCTCTTGTTACACGTGTGGCTTAGCTTCAAAGTGACTTGTCACTCACTAGTCGTAAATCTTGATGGACCGACGTGCTTGGCGACGCCTCATCTCAAGTCGCCATCGGTCCGGCGATCTTCATGACTGACATGGTAAAGGACAATAGAGTAAAGTCCAATTAGGAAACTCTAAGAAAAAGAAATTAGGTAACATGTAAATACCTAAAAGGGGGGGAAAATAAAATAAAGAAGTATTACGTGTCACATTTAAGAAATGTTGATGATGCGATGTAACACCGAAATTCAGAGTTAGTTGGCATGCTTGATTTTCTTGTCGCATTGAGGATTTCAAAGGATATAAAGGTTGAATTCCAAGTCAACCAAATTGCGTGCAACACGCCACCAGCCATCCACAAATTCCTAGGCAAAGGCAAACACACCTTCCCTTGTAAGTGGTTCTTGCCCTTTCACATTGACATTTCAATTGGTGATGGTGGAGACATATTGGAAACGTAGTTGTTATGGCCACTCCAAAAGCAAAACTCTTGTACCTTTTTTTTTCTTTCTATTTTGTAAAACCACAACTAATGAAAAAAATTTAAAGTACTTGTCTCATTTTCTAGAAGTAGGAATGAGATTTTTCTTTTTTTTATTTTTGATGAATTATTTTTTCATATGTGTCAAAATGTGATTTGCAGGAAGTAGGAGTGCCCTGGAAGAAGGGAAGCAATGTCCAATATATAAAGGATAATGTTTGGCTCCCGACAGAAAAGGAACTCCTCCTAAAATGAACATGTGGCCAATTAGAAATGGACACATATCGAAACATTGAAAAATAATAACAAAATTTGAAAAGTAACACCAAGAGACAAAGAGTCTAAGGAGGCTCTAGGCACAAGCAGGCAAGGCGGCTGCCTAGGGCCCCAAAATTGGGAGGGCCACAATTTATATAAACCCCTATATATACCTAATGTATGTTATTTTAAATAAATTATATTATATAACTATTATGTAAAGTTAACTTATACTTTTGCATTGAAAAATGCAAGGGGATTGATATTTAAGTGATGCTTTGAATCTTGATGCATTTTATAAAGTTGTTGTGTAAATTACATTTTGTTTGTTTCTTTTATGTTACAATTGTGAATTTGAGTTCATATAATATTTTTTCTAACATACTAAAGAAAAAAAAATCACATAAATATACATTAAAAGTAGAAGGTCCTATTTAGGTTGTTCGCCTAGAACTCCAAAACATAGGACCACATGATCATTTCAGAACCCAAGCATTATCTACAGATAAAAAGAACGAACTATGGAAATGAAAGTGGGAGGTGTGTGGACACCAATGTGGTTCATTGGTGTTTTTGACAATCAAGTTAAACCGCGAGGTTTCGGTTTTGAAGGTTTGGAAAGCTAATTTCTAGGTTTTGGGGTTAGCATTGCGTGGAGAAATCGATTAATATACCTGAAAACATCAGAAGCATCGAAGTCCTCGGACAAGAAAAATTATAGCCGCCAAGACGAGAGGATATTCTGAGCTGCTTTGCGAGGATATCCTGGTCAATTTAAAATCAATTTTTGGCTAAACTTACTATGTTGTTTTAAAACTTTAGCGGAAGACCTTAAAAAAAAAATTTAAAATTTAAAAAGAAAAAAGAAAAAAGAAAAAAGAATTTCGTTATGCAAAGGAAACTAACCGAAATGTGCGACCAAAGGGAAACTTGCTGCTCTACAAACCTCTGCGGAAATGATGGTGAACCCATAATTAGAATGAGATGAAATAATGGTGAGCCTATTCCACAAGGTTTTGGATTAAGTAACAAGGCCTTCTAGTCTTATGTAGAAATGGAGATCCAATTCTTGGTAAAAATTTCGTTTTCACCCTGCCTAGCTGCCATATTGAAGAAAAAAAAACCTCCTTCAGTTTCATTTCAATTCAAACAAAAAAAATATTTATGTCAGAACAGAGTTCTTTCGTCATGGTTTTTTGTGTACGGTATACTGTTGTACACAAAGAAACATGACAAGAAAAAATAAAAGAAAGGATTGTGAACATAATGTCGAGGCCCATTTTCACCTGAAAATCACTGAAAAAATGAAAGCATTCTCAAGTACATGTTGGGATAGTATAAAGTAAACTTAGCAGCAAAGCAGGTTAGCTCTACAATCTGGTAGATCAGTGCTGAGACTTAACAAGAAATAGACAGCAACCATTAGTAGCTTTAAACACATAATAAATTTGAACGAGCATTTTATTCATGAATCATAATCTCAGCATTCTTTTTTACTTCCCGTCATGGGCTTTTTATGTGCAAACACACCTTGTCTTGTACTTGGCCTGGGTGTTTCTCCCTGGGTCGAGCAAAATCGGATCCAAACAATTACCTTATGTATAGGTCTTATTGGGTAATAATTGCTATGATATAAGGTTCAGTTAAGAGTTCAAGAAAATTACACATGTTCCGTTTTTGACATTGCCATTTGGGATTCGGGATTTGAGTGTATTACCCTATTAATGCAAATAGATAATTTAGCATGTATGCGCAATAGAAAATGCTTCTGAGATGTGCGAGTGCATGCAGAGAGACTAGCAATAAAATGGCGAGAATCGTTTGAAAGAATTCTCAAGTTTTTGTTTAGATAATGTGGCAAATAACGCATGACTATATCCAAGTTGTTGGAAGTCGTTTTGTTGAAGAAAAGGAGATATTGCTAACATACTTATCGGTTCAAAAATTGATTGACGGGCAAGGAAGGATGGTTGGGTATATCTTTGCCTTCAACTGCACAAAACAAAGATTACATTTACTTTGTTTTACACAGCCCATGATTTCAAGATACATCCAAGACATCCAAATTCAAGATTGCATTTAAGAAACAAGAAAATTTTCAAATGAAATATGTATATTGGAACACCGTCATATTATAGTAGGCGGCACCATTACGTGATTACCTAGGTTATGAGGTCAAATCCACGTCAACCAAACCAAATTGTACACCACATCCACAATTTGATAGGCTATCCGCAAACACCTTGCAAGTATTTTGGCCTTTCTTGGTGGCATTTCAAATTAAAGTTCTGGGGATTAAATATTGTGGAGTTTGCTGGAGTTAGGGTGAGCGTTGTGTGGAAAAGTCAATTAAAGCACCCTGAAAAAGAATTGTACGAAGCATCAAAATCCTCGGACAACAACATCCTAATTGTGAAGACTAGTTAGGCTTTTTTCTCTACCACACTACCGGGCAGCATCGTTGAGGGATGAGGCAGTTCAGGCTTCTGAAATCTTAAACCGAACGGATGCACTAAGTGAAAGAGAACACAACATTCATTCATGCATCTAAAAACTGATGGTATAAATCCAGTGCCAAACATGTAGAAGATAATAAAACATTCAGAAACATGCCAACATCTAATTTAACAGATTGATCCATTGAAACAATCAAATAAATAATTAAACATCTTCACGATCATCAAACAATCTTGTACAATTTGATGCTAAAGTTCTCATGTCTTTTATCTTAGCCCTTCCCAATAAACTCTTTTGAAAATGGTACTTTCTAAACAGTACAGAAAGTTTAGCAAAATTAGACTTAATTCCCTCCAAAAAAAGGGAAAGCCTTAAAGTGACCAACATATGCTTAATTTTTTCCAAAACCAAAACCCAACTCTCCACTCGTCCTGTTCTTCTGTGGAATCCATTTCATGTTTAGTCTCTGAGAAACATGGTGACTTTAAATGCATATGTTGTTTGTAAAGTTTATTGGAGAAGGGGCTTAAGAAAATAAAACTCATACCTTTCTGCATGCAAGGAGACTAACCTAGCAGTGTGACCAAAAGCAAACTTGCTGCCATCATATATCTCTGGAAATGAACAAGAACGCTGAAAAAGCAAAGACTAATAGTTGCTAGAAGCTTTGGAAATTGAAACTAATGTATTTATCACATAAAGATGATGAAAGTAACCCCAAAGACCAAAAAGTCAAGGAAACATACAGCAACACATAAGGTAATTTACAAGTTCACTATATTTCAAATGAGCACAGAAGAACACTTAATCTGGCCGTAGGGTTCCAGGGTTCAAAAAGGATCTTAGAATGTCTAGGGTTCTCCCATTCTCAAGAAACATAAATGCAAAAAGTAAAAATAACTGGAATTATTTTAACCCAAATGAGAGAGAATGGATTAATTCTTGTCTTCTCGGATAGTTTAAAGAAAACTTGACAGCAAACCAGAGTCCTACAATCAGTAAATAAATGCTGAAAGTTCAACTAAGATTTTAAATAACTTGTAACACCAGAATAACAAATAGTTATACAAGGTGATTTTTTTATTTTTTATTTATAAGAGTACAACAAAAGTGAACAAGTAGTTCACTTCTAAAAGAACTAGACATGCAAACTGATTCAACACCTCAATCCTAGGCGAAAACACCAAAAAAAAAGAAAAAAAAAGAAAAAAAAAGAATTCCAAAGAGCTACAAAATAAATGCTTTCCAATCCGACAAAACGACAGAAAAAAGAGAACTCCCTAAACTCTAAAGTTACAGATGCCCACAAAGACGGCCAAAAATGCACCCTATCCCATAAGCATTCCACCTCCTCACTCAATGCATTCTCAAAAACCCTTCTGTTCCTTTCACCCCAAAGATCCCAAAAAATTTCCATCATAGCACATCTCCCAGATTACATTCTACCAAAACCCAGAGTAAAAACACAAGACACATAAAGCTGCAACCAATGGCTAGCAACCACACTAAAAGCATTAAGCACGAAATTACATCAGAATGGTATTGGTTGGCCAAAATCACATATGCTGTAAGAGACAACAACCTACTGGTATCCCCTCTTTACAAACTTCATGTTATGAATCATGATAGCAGCATTAATTTTTAGTTCCCTTCATATATTCATTTCCTTGCTTATCACAGTTCTTCCTCAAGAATGCCACATAATAACTTAAAGTAGACAATTTTTTTTTCTTTTTCTTTAAAGTACATAGCTGTTCCACATCTCCGAGAACTATGAATCATACATGCTTTGGAAAAATTACACTTACATACCTGTCCATGCAAAGCTTCAACAGGCGCATAAGCAAAATGATGTGCCAGCTTCACCTGGAAATCACTTTTGTATTTTCTTTCCATCGGTTGGCCCAATATGGACCAAATGACATGAAAATCAAAATCAAATAAGAATTCTCGTAAAAAGATTTCTCAATAAGCAAACAGAAAGATGAAAGAATTCAAGAAAAAAAAGGAGGTTCAACTAAGGTACCATAGAGAAGACAACACCTTAATATCAAACGTCGTCATCAAATTTAGCATGCACAAAAAAGGTCCAAATATCAAACAATGTCGTCCAGCGAGGTGGTCCAGCAGAATCTTAGATCTGTTGCCAGGAACCTCTAGGTCGGAGGTGACCACCACACTGAACATAATACATACAGAATGCATAAAAAGTATACACTAGCAGCTTTAATGTTCTATTTGTGCATTCAAATGAGATATGCCAGCAATATTTAAAGGATTTGTGCTCCCACCCAATAAAGTAAACCAGTAATTTGCAAAAACCAATGAAGAGGAAAAAAAAATTCCCAACTGATATCGTCATAAACAATTTACTGGTTCTAACTAGTCATCAGGACTAACAACATTGTTTCATAAGAAAAAAGTCATGACATCAATTTGCCAATTACAGTACAGCAGAAATATTCATAATCAAAATTATAGATAAGCACAATCCCATTCAAAGTAACTCACTTCTTCAGTTCCAGCAGTAGGCAAAGATGTCTCAGCCACTAAAACAGCATCACATTGTGTAATAAGTTGGGCCCTCTGTTGAAAAGTCTGTTTACCTCCTAGCTTCTCAATGAGTAAAAATAGTGTCATTACGCCTAGGTGGTCTATCAGGAACTGAACCGGGTTTGAACTTTGAGGCCTCATGTTTCGCCAGTTCAGGAGGAACATGACTATTACTCTGAATGAGCATCTGCTTGAGATCATAAAAGACTTCGGTGTCGTGCATAGTCAAGAATGTTGTGGCCACACCAGTCTTCCCTGCACGCCCAGTACGTCCAATACGATGTGTGTACTGTTCAATATTCCCAGGCATATCATAATTAATAACATAGGCCACATCAGGTATGTCAATCCCACGTCCTGCAACATCAGTTGCAACAAGGACATTGTATTTCTTGGCTCGAAAACCATCAAGGCTAATTTCTCTCTGCTCCTGTGACTTACCCCCATGCAAAGTGGTCACACGATATCCATTCTTATCCAAACTCTTAGCGACATAGTCTGCATTCTTCTTGGTATTAACGAACACAATAGCAGTCTTATCACCAAGTTCATCAAGCAACCTCTTTAACCTCTCAAACTTCTCAGATTCCTTGCTCATGATCACATTCTGAGTGATCAAATCAGTTGTCTTTCCAGCTGTGCCAATTGTGACCACAACAGGATTCCTCAAGTACTTCCTAGCAAGCCGCTCTACAGCAGGCGGCATTGTGGCACTGAACATATAAGTGGTTCTGTAAATCTTCTTCTCATCAAGCTCTTCATCCTCATTCTCAGGTTTGAAATTGCTGGAAGGCATTGCATCTAAGACCCCTACAACCTGCGGCTCAAACCCCATATCAATCATCCTATCAGCCTCATCAAGAACAACATAATTGCACTGGTTAAGAACAGCATAACGCCTCTCCAGGCAATCAATCAAACGCCCAGGAGTGGCAATTACAACCTCACAGCCTTGCCTAATTCTAAACCCTTGCTCCTCAATCGACTGCCCACCAACAATGGATACCACTTTGATACCCAAGAAATGCGCAAACTTGACAGTCTCATCCTCAATCTGCTGTGCAAGCTCACGAGTAGGAGCCATAACAACAGCATAAGGTCCTTCGGCCTCATTCTCCTCACTAATGGGAGGCAACCTCGAAATATAAGTCAACATAGGAAGAACAAAGGCAGCAGTCTTACCCGAACCAGTCTCAGCAATGCCAATAACATCGCGCTGTTGCAGCCCAAGTGGAATTGCCGCCATCTGAATCGGAGAAGGCTTCTTGTAACCAGCTCTCTCCACAGCCTTAAGCAACTCCTCACTCAATCTACTCTCTGCCCAACTCCTCATAGGCCTCGGAATCCTCGACCCTTTATATGAAATATTGAAATCCTCCCGAAAAATCCTCCAATCCCTCTCAGTCATCTCTTCAAGCTTCTTATCAGTCCAATGGCGATCGACCCTCATGTCGAAAGTATCGTATAATTCTGCAGCCTCCTCCTTGAGCTTCTGCGCCATGGCCTCCTCGGGCTTCTCCTCCACGCCCTCCTTCTTTCGGATCTCCTCCCTCAGCTCCCTCTCGTACTTCACAGCCAGCTTCTTCTGCTCCCTCCGGTCCATCCCAGCCCGAAACCCTCGCCCAAACAAGAGCTGGGCCTCGTGAGGGTTTTGATACAAAGCATTCATATCCCGAGAAGTGTCCTCCGTGTTCTCCCAATCGAAAGAGAACCGAAACTTCTCGCTGGGCTTGATGACCCGCTTCTTCGGCTTCTTCGATCCGAGATACTGCTCTTTAATGGCGTCCAGCTCTTTGTCTCGCTCGCGCTCTGCTAATTTGTCCAAGCGGGCACGCTCTCGAACCTTGGCCTCCTCCTCCCGCTCTCTATCTCGGTCGCGGTCGCGGTTTCGCCGCTCCGAATCTCGTTCCCGGTCTCTGTCTCTGGAATATCGGTCCCTGTCTCGGTCCCTATGATCCCGGTCTCTATCTCTGTCTCTGTCTCTGTCTCGGTCCCGGTCCCGGTCTCGGTCGGAATTGGCGGTGGCTGTGGGTGGTGCGGCGTCGGAGGAAGGGCGGGAATGGGAGAGATTGGAGAGAACATGACTTTGACGGCGTTTCTGGTCCTCAGTTTCTTCTTGACGGCGTTGGAGGGCTAACTGCTCGCGTTGGGCTTTCGTCAAGAACACGGGTTTTTTGGGCGGCAACGAGGAGGAGGAGGGTGCTACGGGAACGCCATCTGCTAAGCGTTTCATTGTGTGAGAAAAACGGAAGAGACAGTGGAAGGGAAGAGAAGGGGATTTTGAGTCGCAGGGTTAAGGGTTTGGTGGAGGTCGAGGAGGGGAAATTTGCGATTAAATCTATTTGGGGAAAAAAACATATGGAAGAATATATTTGTTTATATAAGGTTAACTTTAAAAAAAAATTCGAAAAAACAAACAAAACTATTTTGACATGAAATCAAAAAGATGTTTACTTTTGAAATTGATAATTTGTTGGTACGAGAGAATACTTGAGGGAATTGAATTTGAGAGTGTGTTTTTCCATCTCAACAAGCTTTTATTTATAGAGAACAATATCCTAGTTCTATATGGAGAACTAGGTGAAGTCTCCTAGTTCTGTATGGATTATAACTTAGGCCCTCAAATCTCCTAATTGTACATGGAAAGGATATTGTTTTTTCCTAATAAAAGAAGGGAGTTAATATTGTTTTTTTAATAATAATTTCTTTTTAAATACAAGCGATAATTTAAAATATAAGAAGAAGAAGTTTCTCACACATACTACTAAATTGCAATGAGAATTTGAATTTCATTGGCTCGACCCACAATGATTTCTAATCAAGAAGCTTGCAGCAACTTAACCATTAATTTTGTTAACCTTCCAAAACTCACTCAAGAAACTTATAATATGTAAAATTGCTTTATTAACTTGGGCGACTTATTATTTAAAAACTAATTTATTCTTTTGATAAATAAAAAAATTTCAAACATGTTGTAAAATCTTTTTCCAAAAAGAAAGGAGAAACTATGTTCCAAATTTATTAATAAAGCGAGCGTTGCAAGAGTATAATAACTCTAGCATTATTTGATTATTTCATTTCTGCTTAGAATATCAGCAATGGTTTCATTTTTAGTTCAATTTATTAAATTTTTTTGGCAGCTATTAAACTGAACTGCAGTTTCACTTGCATTGGTGTAGTTGAATATCTTACAAAATTAAAAACTATATTTTTGTAAATAATTGAATAAAATAAAATAAATTACAATTAAAATTATTTCAAAAAGATTTTTAAAAAGAGACCAATTTTAAATAAATATAATTAATAACAACCATAAAAAAGATCAGCAACAAGAAAGCTGTGGACCAAAAATTATAAATGAATAAAAAGAACAATATGCGTGGTTTATAATTTTCAAATTTTTCATGCAATAGAGGACCATAAGGGTAGACCCAATGCCATCCCAAAAGAAAGCCGCTTGGGCCAGACTCAAAGAACTTAACCCAAGTCTGTTAATAATACAACCCAAAAGGGTCGACTGAGACCCAAAAAATTCACATATCATTTCTACACTAGACTCAGCGTTACCTGATAAAAGAGAGAAAATATTGAATTTATACTTTTTTAATGATTGGATGATTGGATTGAACATCTCGATCAAACTCCTCACCCAAATCCCCCTCTCATTATCATAGCATCTCCCTAGTGTCTAAAGCTTATATTAGACCTAAAGCTTTTATTTCATGAACGATTGAACCATGTAAGCTTTTTCCACCAAAAAGAACCATGCTAGCTTAAATTGGTGAAACAAGAAGCTGTTCGCTATTATATAGCTAAAGCTTTTTCTATAGATATTGAGAAGCATGATATCATATTCACTTGTCACCAATGAGACAGAAGAGGTGTACTTGCGCGAAAACATTTTGAAGCTCAAATTAGTGAGTGTTCTTGAGGGTTATAGTAGAATATGAATTTATGTCATACCTTTCACTATATCTTTGTTGGTTAGTTAGTTGACACTATACAGACAATGAAGTCCTTGGCTTCAAGTCCCATGTTCGTGTTTCTCTCGCATAATCAACAATCATTCCACTGTTAACATCGTAGTTGATGATCATGTACAACTTATTATGTGACATGGAACATGATTGCTTTTAGACTTTTTTTTTCTTTTTTTGGTGGTAAATACCACAAGGTGTCCCCACACCCGTAAGGTGGGATTAATCCCCGCTCAGAGTTCGGCTTGCCCATGACTACAAAGTGCTTTCAATGGGTTTATAACCACTACCACTAAGGTATTATGTAACTCGCCAGTTGGAGATGACAGTTTGCCAACCGCACCACACCTTATGGGTTAATTGCCTTTAGGCTTTAGTCATGGGGTACATGACATGTTTTCCTTGACAAGTTTTGGTCATCAAGTCTCACTAATCCAATGATTTCATTCATGTGTCATGTGACCACGGATAAAAAAATGAAAAAACCAAATTGGAAATGTTCCAAAAATTCATAAGTACACATCTCATTTATAAACGGGGAATCTAGCACAAACAAAGCCTATATACATTTAACTTTTGCAACACAAATTCAGACAAGAAAAAGAAAATAAAGGGAAACTTTAGCCCTCGATTGATAGTTACAAAAAGAGATGATCACTGCTTTAATCTAATGCGTGTTCGTGACAAGCATTCATATTGGGAATGCCTTTTATTCATCCAATCGAATTTGCTACAATCCCATCCCCATCGACTAAGAATGCACTCTTACACCACTTCCTCCTTGCTTTCTTGTTTCTGTTCACTTTCTTCGCTTTTCCTGTCCTCTTTGTCCTTTCCCCACAAAACGCTATACAGACCCACAACAAGCAATACGCCTCCACCAATACTGCAACAAATCAACCAAGACAAGTCTCAGAATTTTGATTTTGTTAAGATTACTCCCTGTGATATTCATTTGTTACCTATCATAATTAGATCTCCGTTTAAATGACCTATTATATATAAATCGGTGGAAATTACCTTCCCCAGTGAAGGGCTTCTTTCCACATGATTGCTGAGAAGATAGCTGTTATAAGCAGTGCTAAAGGAGTGAACATTGATGTGAAAACTGGGCCTTTCTTCTCTATGGCCCAAACTTGCAGCCAGTAGGTAATTCCAGTCACAATTACACCCTGCAACATCACCCATCGTCATTAGACACTACTTATCTATATCCATATCTATACTATTATTAAGAAAATATTCAGACAGTATAAATTTCAATTATGTCATTCTTCGTATTAAATGAGGGCCTGTTTGGTAACCGTTTTATTTTTAATTTTCACATTGTAGTAGAGAGACAAGGAGAAAAGAAAAATGGTTGATGGAGACTGATGGAAGAGCGTAGGGGGAAATGAAAAGTAAAAAGTAAAAATTATACAGCCTCAACATCTCTCTTTGCACGGAGCCTCCAAAATATTAAACCTTAAACCCTTATTTCACTCTTTTCTCCTTGTATGTTCCCTATATTTCTAACAAAAAAGTAAAAAGTAAAAATTTGAACTGAAATGTTTTTTTATATATGCATGTTACATGTGGAAAAAATTTATATACATATAAACAAGAACCAGCTGTCAATATTTCATCTCATAATCACATAGATGATGACCACTGTGTTTATATCAATAAGTCTAAAGACGAGCCTATCTCTTTGGAGGGAATTTGAACCATATATAAATTTACCCAAGCAAATTTCTAAATTGTACCTTCAACAGCTTAATTACCAATCTAGCCGACATTACACAAGTGGCTCAGTTAGAACTTAAAGAGAAATTCATCATTTGTTTTGCGTATAGATGGAAGTGTTTGCCCAAAAAGTTATACGTACTCGTTGCCCGAAAAGTTATATGGGTGCATATAACGTTGTTCTCACAACAATTTCTGTATGTTTATCATGTGATAGCCTAGTATGAGAGAAAAAAGTTATACGTACTCGGTGTATTTATAGTTTTTTTTTTCCTAGTTGGTGGATAAAAATGACTTACACAATAGAAAACAGAGAGAAGATGAATGTCCCATCCAATCTTCCAAGCTGATGGGTTTCTCTCAATTGCAATGGCCAAAAATGATGATTGGATGCAGCTAAAGAAGCATTGCAGAGTGGTAAGCCTCAACTTTGCCGGATATTGCTTGACAATAGGACCCTAGAAAAGAAGCACTAGCTAGTTCAACAAGGGCAATAAAAAAAAAGTATATATAAATTCTACATAAGAAAATAAATTATTCCAACTTAATTAAACTGTTTAAAATAATAAATAAATAAAAAGTGCTAATGATTAATGATGTGTATGCACCTGCAAAATTAGCCACAAAGACCAGGCAGTATTGGCTGAAATCATGAACAAGGAACCTTTTATCCAGTCCCCTCTGGAGGAAGATGATGAGTCTGAAATTTGTGTCTGATGATGTGATGGATACCAATTCGTGAACTTTATGGAAGGCCCCTTAACTAAAGCAAACACCAATGCCCCTGAAAGGCTTGTGAGAGAACCCAACACCTTGGCCACACCATACAAATGTTTCATAGAAATGCTTTCCATCCTGCCCAAAAATTTCAAAACCATTTGTGTTTCAATGACATGAAAAGAAGAAGCACTTAGTCCATGTAATTAGCTAAATATCATAGTTAATTTTTAATTAATTACCTTAACAAAACCGCCATGACAAAGGTAATTGCTGGAATTGTTGTGGTGGTGGCTGCAGCAAACGTTGCAGAGGTGTAGTTGATTGCAACATAGTACAGATTTAAACTCAGGGTAATCCTGGAAAAAATATTATGTATGTTAGAGAGTTTAATTGAAATATTGTTGATGAGGAGAGAGAGTAAAACCAAGTTCGTACCCAGATAAGGAAATGAAGAAAATCTTGCAGAGTAAGGTGTACGAAAGAGGAGCGTCTTTTGAACTGAAAAATTCAGAAGACAAATTAAACCACCACTGAAAAGTCTAGAGAGATGTATGCTACAAATGGAAGCTTATGAACCAACCTTTCAAAGAAGAAAGCAAATGGAGCCAAGGCGAGGGAGGCAAAAGCTTGACGATAAACCACAAACACAAAAGGGTTCATTCCCTTGGCCATTGCTGCCTTAGAGAACAAGGCCATACCTGCATACACAAATTGTATGAAGAGCATGGCAATATAAGGCTTGTGCCTCTCCATTACCAGAGCATAACCAAGTAAACTCTTCATGTTGTGGTTTTATAATTTAGACGTTCATCTGTGGCATCTAATTTGAGGAGCTCCATCTTCAATATATAGAGAACGGTTGCTCTCTTAACCCTTGGCTTTGCACCAATTGGCTTTCACACACTGTCCCTACTGCTATTTTTTATTTTATTTATAATGTATACGAGTACACATACGTGGAAACATTTCGTGGCAAGACTGACGTGTCATAATGTTAATTTGAACTTTTGTTTTCGTTAGCGACGGGAACTTTGGTTCTGTGGCCTAAATAGACTTTTTAAAAATAAGTCATATTCACATCATATATGTGTATACGATAGGACAATATTACCCTCTGGTGGGTCGACTTGGATTGGATTGGAGTTGAGTCCATGCCAGTCCTTTATGTTAGGTGAGACTTATATTTTAAGATAGAGTTAATTATAGTTTAGTACCATATTGTTACACTCTTAGAGCATTTCCACTATTTGCCATGACAAAAGGCAATGGGAGGCAAAAGCTATTACTATTCACATGAATAGTGCATGTCCTATCAATTTTCTTGTTGGTTTTCCACCCATTGTCATGGCAACCCAAGGGCAACTACTATTCACATGAGATACGAGGAAATGAATTTATATAGAGTTTTGGTGTAGGAAGTGAAGAATATGGTTAGGTATTTATTAAAAAAATATTATGAAAATTTTGGTTTTTTTTTTTCAAATTTTTTTGTTATTTAAATTAGCTGCTGACGTCGTCATTAGGTCAGCTTGCCCAGGTTGGTGGAGCCAATCTCTTGGCAAGAATGGGGCACTAAAATACAAATGGGGGTCTACCTCTTGCTCGAGTTGGGTCCTCCTGTTGAAAGTGCTCTTAGGCCCTGTTTGGTGGGTTGGACTGGATGAGATTTTTTCAATTAAAATGGACATGGGTCCAGTCTGTTGCTGGTAGACTTAATTGCATCACACACTGGCTTGGGCTTAAATTTTTGTTTAGGATATGAATCCAGCATTTGAAATTCTATGGTGAGGGTCACATATGAAATTTTCATGTGGACCTTTATATTAGCCACAAGATCATTTCATTAAACTTAAGTGAAGTTACTATTCAGATGAATTATGTGGCTAATATGAAAGTCCACATCTATAGTCTATATATGGCACTCTCACCATAGAACAACACATATGCTGGATATCAAAACTCATGTCGAGACATGGGTTTCGAAGCCTCTCTTTGTCGGCTACCTCTTGTCGAAAGTGAAGTCTCCCTTGGTGTCGTCTCCCTCGCATTGTCTCCCTCAACCACTTCACGTCGTCTCTGCTCTCTCTCCTCTACTCTCTCATCTCTCCTCTCTCTTAATCTCTCCTCTCTTTTCATCTCTCCTATCTTTTGATTTTTAAAATTGATTTCTCCGTTCTTGTTTCTTTGGATCTCTTTTTTTATTTTCGATTTTATTGTTAAATATTGAGTGTTGTGGTTTTTTGGGTTTGATTTCTTTTGATATCTTTAATATATATATATATATATATCATTCATCTTTCTGTTTCCCAAAATAGTCTGATTGCATTTTTGGGTAGTTTGGTTTGTTCCTCTTTCAGATATGGTTTTCCATAAAAAATTTGCATAATTCATTTATTTTATTTTATTTTATTTTTATATAAATGTTTTTGGTTTGTATTTTCTTGGATTTGAAAGAGGAAGAAAGATATTGAAGAAAAAAATAATAAAAGAAACACTAAGGCAAAAAGTTGGAATTGCATATGATTATTGTTAGTCAAAATAATATAATAGAATTTGATTCATTTAAAAAATAATAATTCCAATCTGTTGTTTGGTACAAAAATGAATAGGACTAGACTCAAAGCCTAGCCAGTACAAGCTAGTCCAATCCAAAGCTTCAAAGACCATCCTAACTAGTCCAAGTAGCGCACCAAACGAGGCCTTAAGACATGTTAGTCCATTATTTTTCTATTTTTACAATTAGATACCCCGATCTTTTAAATTTGTTACAATGTGGTTCCGCTATTAGAGTTTTCGTCAGATCTCTCCATTAGTTGTCTACTTGGCACTGTGGGTCCCACATTTTTAACTTTATGTTAATTTTAAATTAATTAAAATATTATATTTTTGGAAAAAAATTGAAGAAAAAGAGAAGAAAAAAATCCTCCCCAACCAGCACCCCCTGTTTGCAATTTCTTCTCCCCCCAATCCCCATGACCACCACCCGCATCCACCCTCCGTTAGTTTGTTGATGTGGCATATATGTGGAGCCCACATCTCCAATAATATAATGTCACCTGTATTTAAAATTTATAAAATTTAAAAAAGAAAACCAAAATTTTATAAATTTTAAATGAAAACAATTAAAAATTTCACAAGGACCATTTGTGATAAGTGTGTGAACCTCAAGGATGTTTTGTGATATATATATGTCACGTCAACAAACTAACAGAGTTAGTTACGGAACCCAATAGCATGGATCATTAGTGATCACACATACTAACCTTGATTGAGGACCACAAATGACCAAAAAAAAAAACATTAAGGATGCAATCTAATAGTTTCATAAACCTTAGAGATGTTTTGTGATATTAAGCCTAGTTATAAAATGTGTTAAATAAAAATCTCTCTTAGCCCTTTCTTTCTAAGGGGCATTGTGTGTTTCCAGAGGAGGGTCTCTCTCTCTCTCTCTCTCTCTCTCTCTCTCTCTCTCTCCCTCCCTCCCTCCCTCCCTCCCACCCTCCTCCTTTCTCCCATTCCTCCTATTCTCGATTTGGGATTTTAATTTAAGGAGGTTATTTATGCCTACATTTATTTTGGATCATGGTTTTTTTTTATACCCAGATCTGCTTGGATTTGTAGTTTTGGTGGTTAGGTATTTTTTTGGCTCTTGGCTGCAATCTCAATGGTGTTCTCTATTTCCAAGGCGGCAACGAAGATTGTGGTGGCTGAGCCAAAAGCAATGATAATGGATTTGTTGGCTTTTGGTTGCTGTGTGTTTGTTGTTTCCTTGTTTTGTAATAATTGAATCAACTTCATGTGAGTTGGGTGTTTGATTGTTCTAGTCTCTACTTGGTTTTTATATTTGTGAGAGTTTAAAAGTTGTAGTTGTATTGGTAGATTTGGGCGTTGCGATTCATATCTAGTTTGTTTAGGAATGCGACTTTTATGCTAAAATTTCTCTAGCATTATGTGGCCTGTATACGGAATAACCATGTGTGGTTACTATGCTTCCATATTTGTATTACCTCTTTGTGGGTATTTGTATATGCTCTAGTGGCTGATGGTCTTTGTGTCTAAATAATGAATACAATTATCGCTTTTTTAAATATAAAAAATGTGTTCAATTATTCATAGCTTGTATAGTTTAGGGCTAACTGCATAAAATTCCTAAACTTTGGGGGTGATTACAAATTGGTACTCTATCTTTGAAGGCCCTACAAACTCATATCCAAACTAACGAAAACCCTACATGTAAGCCACTCCGTCGTCAAGAGTGTTCAATAATCTTTTAAATGATTATGTGATAGAAGTACACAAATAATAACAACTCCACATGGGTTAGAAAACTAATACAAAATTTTAAAATAAATTTTATAAAATAGTATAACAATTGGAAAATGTAAAAGAACTGACCCGTCACCCACCCTCCTCGATAGTCACCCTACCCCACCCACCCCAAGCCCAACCACCACCCCACCCGCAACCCTCCCTTGACACCTACCCGCAACCAACCTATGGAAACCCACATCTCAATACCCCACTAGTGAACCATGTCTTGATGACCAAACGACCCAACACCACCCATATGTTCTCTCTTATCTTGTATCCAATGGGTTTTACTGGCTCGAAGATAACTAGGTGTTTGCATGTCACGATTTATTTTCTCTGAGCCCCCACCCTTGAAATATGGAATTGGCCTTTCACCTCCCCACTGCCCCAAATGTACTAAGGACACCCATTCTCTCCGCCTAAGACATACTAAACCCTAATTGTCCTAAAAGAAAAATGGAACGAATAAGAAAATTATCTTTAACAATACCCATGTGTTTGGATAAAAAATATATATAAAAAACTTGAAATTTGGAAAGAAGTCAAATTTTTTAAAATTTTAAAATTTAAAATTTTTATTTATTTATTTTTTTTATTTTTATCAATAGGGGATGGGGGATTCAAACTTGGGACCTCGTCAAAATATTGAAGAGAGGTACCACTAGTCAGAATTATTAAATTGATAGACACCAAATCCCTTGTTTGTATTCATAAGCAAAGAAAGTTAGAAATTTAATGTGGAAAAAGACTTGGAATATGGAGGTTATATATAGTTTCCAACTAAATAGTTGTTATTTATAAAGTTTTAAGAGATTATTGAAAGTTTCAATAAATAAAAGACAACCACACCTTGTTACCATCACGACCACCTTGCCGCAATTACGACCACCTTTCAATAGTGTAGTAGAGGTAATGGTGGTGGTGGGGATGGTTGTGGTGACGATGGTGGTTGGGATGGTAGTGGGGGTGGACTATATAGTAATGGGTGGTAACCACGGAAAGATTGTGGTAGTAGAGGTGGTGGTGGCAGGTGGTGATGACAATGATTGTGGTGGTGGGGACAATTGCGGTGATGGCTATGGTAAGGTGGTGGTGTTTGTGGCAGTGGAAGTGATGAGGATGGTGGAGGTGGCAAGGGTGTTGGAGGCTGCGATGATGGTGGTGGTTGTGATGGTCAAGGCAATGTGGTGGTGGTGGTGGTGACGGTGGCGAACATAATTGTCATATTTTCTTAAAAGGAAAATGCTAGGCTTACCATATTTTTATACCACATTGTATATCACCTCTATATAATATGTGGGCCCTATTGTATTGGTGGGCTCCACCTCTATTAGATAGGTGATACACAATGTGGTATAAAAATGTAGTAAGCCTAGCATTACCCTTCTTAAAATTCTCACTCTCTTAGAATTTTAGGAATTAATTACAACTATTTGGATGAAATTTAAAGTTGGGATTTATGAATCCAAACAAGAAAACCAATGTATCTCAATTTAGAAATTCTCTGAGAAAATCCTATGGAAAAAAAGACTAGAAAAAAAACCCTAGCGGGGGTTGCGCTCCTTTCCCTTCCCTTCCCCCTCTCCTCTCCCCCCCCCCCCCCCCCCCCCCCCCCCCCCCCTCCCTTCCCCCTTATTCTTCTTTGTTAGTTTGTTTTGTGGTATGGAAACCAGTTGCTGTGAAACGATGTCATCGTTATGATAGTAGCCGTATTTTGGCTCACGTACACAAGGATTTGGTTTCAATTGTCAACCTTTGACATGAGTCTGGAGTTGTAATGACAAGAAGATGTCGGGTTGCGTGGGGTTCGACTTTATCCAGTATGGTGCTATGGCTCTCTTCGGATTGCCTAGGAGGATGTGGAGCGGTAGTACTACTTATTAGTTTTTTGTCTAATAATTTTTAGGAACTCTTTAGTAGTTTGTTGTGTTTTATTTTCTTTAGGAGACTTTATTTCTTTTTAGATTTCGATTTTCCATACGGATTACTCGTTTCTGTAGTTGCCCGACTGATTGGTATTGTATGTTTGAGTAGGCATGCTTTTGGTTGCTGAATCAGGGATTGTAATCACTTTGTGGGTTGTGCGTGATTCTCTCCATATCAATTCAACTTGTTGTTTTGTTTGATCACTGTAGAAGATTTATCCATATTTGGTATCATATAGTGGCTTTGTACTTGTTTATGTTTCTCTTATCAATAAAATACTATCGCCTTTTATAAAAAAAGAAAAGACAAAGAAAATCTAAAATATAAATTGTATCCAAATTTCTTTGTCAAATATAGTCAAATGCTATGTCATGCATAAGCCGTTAATGCTGGTGTTATTATTAGAGCATGATCAAGAATTATTATTAATTATTGGTTCTTAAAAGATAATTGCAACATTATTGGTATAACTATGATAGGCTTGGACAACTCCCCTCATACGGCTTCAATGACTTGTTAAGCATCCCATCGACTTAGTGCTATTGAAAACCACTCAGACCAGCAAGGTCGTTGAGTGGATATGCACTAGACAAAATATCAGCAAACGGAAAATCCAATTGGTGGAAAATTCCAAAATTTTGTAAGAATTCATGATACATCATCGCCAATTCATAAGCGAATGATCCTCTTTTTGTGTTTTGGTTGCTTTGTTTTCCTTGTTTTTGATCCTAAGCTTTCGAAAAGAAAATATCTGACCTTTGAAATAATGAAGATTTAAAAAAAAAAAAAAAAAAAAAAAAAAAAAAAAAAAAAAAAAAAAAGAAAAAAAAAAAAAAAAAAAAAAAAAAAGGGAGGGAGATTTTAAACTAATATTGTTAATTTTGTAAAATGGACATTTAAAAGAGGAGTTTATTTTTTATTTTTTTATTTTTTTGAGAAATTCTTGGATTGCATTCATAATTCAGTCAAAAAAGTCGCTACCGCAAAGGGTCATTACAATAATAGAGTGATTTAACATCAGAATTAAGAAAATCTGGTGCACCTTCTTTAACGATCACGCAAGATAGAAGAAACTCTGACATAGATCATCCCAACTAAGATTGCAAACTCATAACAACCAAAGAGAGATAAAGCTTAAGAGTTATCGATTAAGTTGGCTAAGATTTTTTATTTTTATTTCCACAATTGTTGTGAAATTTTATTCATCAATAAAAATGTTTACACCCTTTTCAACTCTTGGGAGCAGTACTCAGATAAAAGGCAAGCGATTCCATTCACAAGTTATATCCATTTTAACCGCAAACTCATCCACCTAGTGAGCTTCGTTTTGTGTGTAAAATAGGAGACCCCACTGTCATCCCACAATTCATGTGAAGTTTTATTGTGGGATATCACACATTGCTAACGCAATGTGTGATATCCCACAAGAGTAATGCTACACTTACCACATTTATATCTCATATTTTCATACCACCTTATGTGGCAGATGAAGTGGACAATCACATCAATTAAAAAGTGTTAATAAATCATAAAAGATAAGAAAACTTTAAATTAATTTTAATTGATGTGTTGTCCATCTCATCTGCCACATAAGGTGGTATGAGAATGTGGTATACAAGTATGGTAAGAGTAGCATTATTCTTTCGTTTATGGGAAAGGAAATTTGGGAATGAGAAATCAATTGTTTTATCATGTTTGGTAAGTTCAAACATGAAAAATGAGACGACACCAAAAAATTTGTGTAGATTTTGCACCTCATCATATCATACAAATTTATTTAATTTTCTTCAAAACCCGTTGGAGGTTCATTGAGAAGGAAAATACATTTGATTCTCCCACCTTTCGAAAAGAGATTTAAAAAAATTTAGATTTCGTCATCATAAAAAGAGGAATTCGAGAAGGAATGTGCAATTAGACTCGTTCAAAACCAGGTTGGGGTGTGAAGTTATGGATTTGGTATTTTTATGAGAGCTAGTTAGCAAGAGCAACATAGCATACATATATCTCGAGAATTTGCTCTTGCAAATAGGGGACAATAGTATCTGTCATTGCCTTCCATTCAGATGCCATTTTTATTTATGGCTGGTGCTTAACCTAAGCCCAGTCTCTAATCGTAGGGTATGCTTCCCCTTACGGCTACATCTGAAAATCAAAGGAACAGAAAAAGTACTTCTTTTCTTTCTTTTTCATGGTGTCATACGATCAGCCATATAAAAGTATAAATTATCAGGTACTGTCTGAATATTGCAAGTCTGCTCCGTTTAAAGTTTAATTTGGGAATTCTAAGAATACTGGAAAACCCGGGAGGTCGATACAAATTCACTATTTGCTAATCCGAGTTAGTATGAATTTATCATGTCCGATTATGACTTCTTGTGCATATATATAGCTGATGTTTCTACCTGGGAGAGAAATTTTATAAAATGGTATACAACATGGTGTCACTGTCCACCACCTCTAGTGCCTACACCCTTGCAACACTAAGTTAGCTTCCTCTAGCTAGGCAAAGAGTGGGCTTAGGGGACGGACATATATGTGTAATAACATTTTCATGTGACATAATATATATTATTAATCAGAGATAACAAAACAGTGTTATCCCTGTAAGTTTTTCTCCTCCTAGAAGTAGGAAATTCCAAGGACATTATTGGCCAACAGGCCAATAGAACGCACGATTGTCATAGTTGAAGTACCTACGTAGATTCCGCTATGCCATTCTGTGGTACTCGATATTAAGGGACATGTGTGGACCCTTGTTGAGGCTTAAGAGAACTCCGTGGTGTACCATCAAATGGTGTGGGTGTGTGTAGAATTATTCTTAGGTTGGCGTCCGAATCTATCGACCCTATTTGGTGGTAGAAGGCAAAATCTTGGAGAAAAAAAAAAATCAACTCTGTCGATAAGCAGGGTTTTACATACTTTCCTGTATCAAATTTTGATCCCATTTTGCTTTGTAGTTCTTAGTACTGTTACAGCAATATATATATATATATATACACATATATATATTGATTCGATCGACAGTTTATTCTAAGGCGAGGGGGACACCCACAAGGGATTCGAAGTGATGCCATCGTGTTTGCAAACAAAGACCTCAACCACTGAGGTAAACACCCACCGGCTACAGCAATATTAATTTGCATGATTAGTCAAAAGACAGATCATGAACAATAATGATAGTTTGGCTTTGATAATCATGGCCTATACTGTAACTTACTTTCTTAATAGTATAAAACGTGACAAATAATATACACTAACAATTCTTTCCACTTACTATGCTCACATCTGTCCACTCGTTGCTTTGGTATGGCCCTAACAGGACAATGCAGGTTGATTTTTTGTTTTCTGGCTGTTAGAAATATGAATGCTTTATAATGACCTAACATTGATCACGATGTATGAATAATTAAAAGAAGAAAAGGAAAAGGAAAACTGAGAGAGGAGAGAGAAAAAGAGGGAGATTTCAGTCCGCAAAAGAAAGGGACAGGAGAGAGAAGAAAGAAGAAAGACGAAGGCACATGATATAAAGCTTTTCGTAGCTTCCCATTCAGTTTGATATTTATGTAGTGGCCAAAGTTACCGAATTTTGTAGAGAATATCTTTCCTCTTTTTCGCAGTTACCAAATTTTGAGATGAGCCATATGAATCTCATTTGAATAATTCGCAGTACAGAAGAACACTTTTTTTCCCTCTTCTTTTGGAGACAAAATCTTACACTTTTTTTTTCCCCATTCAAGTATATAGCAAGGCAGTCACATCACAGGTAGTGGGTGTTGTACATAAACAGTGCTTTTAGAGAGAGAGAGAGAGAGAGAGAGAGAGAGAGAGAGAGAGAGAGAGAGAGAGAGAGAGATAGAGAGAGAGAGAGAGAGTATAATCATGATCAAGTAATCATCTACGGCTACTTGGAGCTGCCCATTCCTATTAAAGTGAGAGAGAGAGAGAGTATAATCATGATCAAGTGATCATCTACGGCTACTTGGAGCTACCCATTCCTATTAAAGTGAGAGAGAGAGAGAGTATAATCATGATTAAGTGATCATCTACGGCTACTTTTGGAGCTGCCCATTCCTATTAAAGTGTGATGCATAATAAAATACATAAAGCTTGTCTATCATTGGATTTCTTTATGGATGCCCATTTCCTATCTACAAGATAATGCTTTATATATCACTTTTCTTTTATGGATGGAAAAAAAAAAAAAAAAAAAAAAAAAAAAACACAATAAATATCTTCATCCTTTTGCAATTATGCACTTCTTTATTTTTCTCCGAAAT